AAACAAAGGATGAGGAGAAATTCAAACTAAAACTGAATCTGCACGAATTTAAAAGCTCATGGCATGGCCACGGGAAAAGGTGTCGGTTTTAATTTACCTCTCAATAGAACATCTGTCTTTTAGGTTCTCAACCACAATTAATTCTCTGTATCGGTTTTTGCTATTTTTTCCACAGGTTTTTTTCTTCACCGTTTTCTTCTGTTGCTGCTTCTTTTTTGCAAGTTTGACATTTTGTATTTTCTGAGTACTGTTTCTCAACCTATACCGCTTTCTCAGGAGGTTTCCCTCCATCTCCTGGACTTCTTCATCTGAATCATCATCGGGCACCTCTTCATTTTCTTCTCATTCATCATTATCTTCATCATCCTCTTGTTCAATTCGATCATCTTCATCTTCCCGATCATTGTTATCACAAACTATTTCTTCTGTATTTTCTAAATCTTCAGCTTTTGCCTTCTTAATTTTTTTACGGTAGAGACTCGAAGAAGATTGGATGCTATCATTAATATTCTCCTTATGCCACATTTAACTCAGTCTTCTCACTCACCTGAATACAACGAACAAGAAATCAAATGAGGTCCATGTTTAGAGCAAAAAATGGAGGTAGCTACCCCAAGATCATTAAAAACAAATCAAGAAGAGGAGTTTCAACAAGTATAGTAAATTTTATGTAATTACCATTGCAACCCGGATAGTCCTGAGCTATACAGAGGTCCTTGGAGGCAAGCGAATATGATCAATCACATAAAGAGAGCCCACCTCCACTCGATTATTATTGAAGTGATAACGTCCAGAAGGGATCACAGGATTCTCATATGCTGGGTGCCAAAAGAGGGAGTTGTCGGAAGACATGATCTAAAACTTTATTAGTCCAATCTCTATTACTGGGAATTATGATCCAATTACTGGGAATTACTACCAAAATCCCAAAGGTTAACAACTAAAATTGTCCAAAAATCTAACTAATAAGACTAATGAATGACATCTGACACATACCTTTGCTTAGAAAATCTTGGTGATGGCCTCAATATAGATTCTGCAATTATTCAAGAGTTTTGAGATCCAGACCTCCAGTATCATCACCCTTAGTAGACAGCAAGTAGATTAAAATTCTTCTTAAACCAACATAATTTGCACAACATAGAATCAACAAAGAAAAAGATACCAGACATGTTACCCATCCATGTACATATTTCAATGGTAGATCAATCTTCTTTATAAGTAATAACTTTCTAAAATGCAGAAAATTAATAAAATCCGTTCAAATGAGCTGCACCATAGTCCACAAGGCACAACTTGGAGAAACTAAACAAAAACAAGGGAAGGTATTCATGTTTTGTTAAGAGAGCTCAACACTTAAGCAAGTTAATTTGAGTTTTCAAATCAATGATGTTTTTGATATATCACATAGACTGTATTTAAAAATTCTCTTTAATGCAATTATTCAATTTACCAATAAAGATTTCAATTGGAGTGGCTGAAAGTAAAAAATACATACTTTAGGAAGACATAATTAACTTGATTAGCATCCATGGAGATCCCATTCGCAAATTTAAAGTCTTAATCAGTAACTAAACTTCATGCAACGCAGAATGCTATTTGCAGAGCCAGTTGCTTTGCATCAAGAAACTACAGTCGGAAAACCAAATGGTGCAGACTTGGTTGTTTCTTCTTCTTTCTTTTTTAATTTTTTTGAAAAAAGGAAAAACCAAGCGCAACAACTAACATTAAGTTACAAGTGAAAACATTCCATATTGCGTAATATGGCCACTCTACCCAATAGTCGATCCCAGGACAAAACAACAAAACTAACAAGAACAGTTTTAGTGAATGAGAAACTACTAGCATAGCCGGGAATGTATACTCAAAATAATAGGGAACCGGTAAAGATAAAGTCTACACAACAACTTCATATCAACACCATTCCTGTAAAAATCATACATCCTAAATCAATTATGTTGAGAGCCATTCAAAATTTTGAGTTCTCATCTTCAACAATCAAAGTTACTGCAAATCTCCCTCAATCAGACTCTAACAATAAGAGTTCAATTTTTAACTAGAGCAATTAGAAACCTCATCAGATATTATGAAATCGTAGAAAATTCATTTAATTTTGCACTCTGAAATGTTGGGTGAATGAGTTGCGACTAACCTAATCATTTGCTGGACAACGGAGAGAGGAAATTGAAGGTTTCCACAGCAAAAGCACTCTGATCATAGAATGGGATATGATTCAGAAATAAAGAGGAATTAAAAAACCACAGATTGCTACGACAACACACACATAAATAGAACTCAGTTTCAAAAAATCAGTGAACATAATCATAAGATGAAGCAACTAAATTACAATATGCATGTACTGATTAATGAATAAACATATCAAATTACATCAAAATTTTGAGAATTTGAAATCGATCGGAAGCTCGTCTAGGAGAAGCAAGATGGACAGCTTCGATCGGAAAAGAAGTTTGGGAGGATCGATTGAAACGCAAGATTTGGGGAGGAGTAAAACTGTGAAGGAGAAAATGAGCTTGGTTTACTTGTTTTTTTACAATAGGATAGTTAATTACTAATTAAAAAAAATTCTGAAAAATGAATTTGATTCTTTTGTTAGTCTTTTCACTCCCATTTGACCAGTGAAATTAACAAAAATAATCAAATGATTTTTTTTTTTACTTTTTCCATTTTAAAATTAGAGTTTTAATATCCCAAATTAGTATTTTTAATTTTTTTTTTGGCATGACTTGTGAAACTGCATTTGCTACCTTGTGCCACTTTTTTTTTTTAAAAAAAAAAACAAAAACAACGAAAGACAATTTAGCACCATATGTCACTTTTGGGAATTCCAAATTCATGTTTGCTCCTTTATATACGAGGAAGCTGGTGCATTACATGCTTTTCAGAACTTTTCACTATCAAATTTAAGAGTACAGAACTCACCTAATTCATTTCACTATTGTATCTCACCTTACATGGTATTTATTTATTCGGTAAAATTTAATAAGTGAATTTAATTATTTTTTATTGAATCTATAAACTTTTTGGATATTTTTATGTTTGAAATTTAAAAATAAATAGGCCCTAACTCCAAAAAAAGGTAAACCCTTAAGGGAAAAATTATAATATTGCAAATGATTTATTAATTGGATCAATATTGATAAGAAATTAATATAATATTTAAATTGAGTTATTTAGATGTGGTGTAAGAAGGGGTACACCAAGAAAAAATTTATGGTCCATTAAATAATTAACATATAAGGTGAGATGGAAGGGTGGGATGAATTTGGTGAGATGAATATCATTTCCCCAAATTTAAACCTTTTTAATTTATAACCTTTGTTTCATTCATAAAAATTTAAATCCTTTGTTTGTAATATCAAATTTTTTTATGAAATAATTACTTTTTTATTATATTAAACTCCTAAGTTTTTTTCTAAAAAGAAATATTTTCATTTATATCTATTTCCACAAATTCAAGAAATTTTGCAACAGTACACTCTTAAGTGTCACATCAAATATTGTAATGGGACACTATAAAGTGACTAATTTATATTATGGTTTAATACACTTGTAAGTGTCCTATTAAATAATCTAATAGGACACAAAACTTAAATGAACACTCAATAATTGTGTATTATCATGTTGAGGGCACTTCCTCAAATATAATGGGACACTTTTCTAAAAAATGTCCTATTATATGATAATAGGACACTTTTGGTTAAAAGTGTTTCAAAGAAAAGGTATTAATAGACCCACTTTGTTGTAGTGTTAGGCTGATGGACTAATGACCGTAGGACTTGTTTTAAATAGATACTTTTTTATAAGTGAAAAGGCTCACCTCCTTTTATTACAGTAATTTTACTCACAATCTTCCGTAGTTCATAGTTACTGTTTAACTTCTTTTACGATTGAGACAAAATTTATATAAGTAATTATATATTATTTATAATTGTGTTATTTTTTTAGTCATCCTATTAGTAAATTTAATTAGCAAATTTAATTAGAAAATTAAATTATACTTGTTATATTCCATATTTATGTACTATCTCTGAGTTGAATTTTGTTTATTTTAAGAGAAATATTTATCATTTTTGTAAATGGTAGAAATGGTTGATTATCTATTGAACAAATTCATCCAAAAATAAAGTATAAAAGAAGAACAATTCGCTCTGGATAGTTTCAATACTTTGATGGTTACAACTCACATAATTGTTGTGTATAAAACTTTTTGTTTGAGATCATTTTCCAATATAATTTAAATTTGTACACTAAGGTTATAGTTAACTGGTCCAAAGGTAAAAGTGAATAACAAATTTTATTTAAACCATATTAATTCTGAAATTTATTTATGCCAGTTAGAAAATAAAACTTATAAAAGTTTATCAAGGAAAAAGCCAAATAAACAATGTGATTATTTATTTATTTTTAATCTTTTTTATATATTAATAGTATCTCAATTTTAACAAACTATTTCATAATTTAATAATATTTAGTAAATATCTTATGACTTCAAACTTTTCAAATTTTTAATTTTTTTTGAAAACTTAATAGTTGAACTCCGTTATTTTTTTTTTCAAATTTTGAACTTATCAAGTGTAAGAGTTAAACTAAATTAAAATTGGTTAGTATTTAACAAGTAGAAACCTTTCATTTATTTTACACCCGTCGCATATTTCTCGTACAATGCACAGGGTAAACACTAGTTTTAATTAAAAATAAAACTTTAAAAATATATTTTCACGTGTTCTCTCAAATTATTATAAATTATTTTTAAAATTTTATTTTCAACTAAAAGAACATACTATTAATGAAATTCAAAAGAAATCAAGACGCCTTATAATAAAGATCAGAGGGAAAACGAGTTAGGGACAAGAATCTAAATAGCTTATCAAGATATGTATAATTCTAAAAATACAATCTGCAAGTGACCAATAACTACGCATCTATTTGATCTCATCAAGAATTACCCTTTTAGTTCATGCATATGACTACGTACTAAACTAAATCTTGTTCCTCTGAAGCCAGCTATCATAGAAGTGCAATGACTCACTTGGCTTGTACTCGGGCAAAACCTGTCGCCTGCACAAATCGTACGGATCATCCAATAAGTAAAAATATGAGAAGAATTAATTGAGAGGGGAAAGAATGTTAGTGAAGTGTGTATATAGTATTTAAATGGGGGAGAGAGAATAATGCTAGGAAAATCTAAAACAAAAAATACTAAGGAGACGGTCAATAAGTCAAGGATCCACAGAACGCGGCAATTATTGAAAATGGAGAATTATGATAATGTTGATATCTATAGTTTTATTCATTATTTTTAAAACATATTTTTTTTCCCCTTTGTGTTTTGCCTTTATTTGTGTTGGCAATTCAAACGTATCTTGGTTACAACATACAAACTTTAATGATCCAAAAAAGAAGAAGATTAAAATGAGCAAACGGAATTTTATAATATGATCCAAGGAAAGTACATTTGTCCATTGATTTGGATAAGATGTAGAGATATATATTGCTTAAATGATTTTTCAAGTTGTTATTTATTTTTACCTATTGAAAGCAGCTGCCACTTAAATCACGTGGCAGCTGTATTGAAGATGATTTCCCGCCCAAATTAAAGCTCATTAAAAAAAAATTAGAATTCATTTTTACCTATTAAAAGTGGTTGTTCCTAAAATTACTCTATAATTTATCTTTCATAATTAATTTCCAAAAGAGTTTAGATTAATGTTGAAGTTTCAATGTGGTTAGATATATAATTACACTTTTTAAAAATATTTGTCTTTATAATTTTTTTGATTCTTTATTAAAAAAAAATATTATCATTTTCATGTAAAAGTCGTACAGGCTGAGAATCTAGTATTAAAATAATACAATAAACATAACAATCATTTTAGAACGGAGACAATATTTTTTTCCTAATACACAAATGCACCAGTTCCTAATAGCTTCCTAGCTAAGAGTAAAGATCGTAATGTCGGAAAAGTTATAACGGCTCTACCCATTGGAAATTTCCTTGTAAGTGACAAAAATTAATAGTATAAAGATGGTTTTCTATCAAATTCTTTGGCCCTCAAGCCAACGAGTATAGAAGTCTAGTGACTCTCGAGGTTTGTATTCTGGTACTGTATGCCCAGCTCCCTGCATAGCAAATGTGAATTAATTTGGAAAGAGATTGGAAACTAATTTGAGATTTTTTTTTATTTTTTTTTGTTTACATAATTGCATTACCTTTATGGTGAGAAAAGTAAAATTTTTGGCATATACTTGCAGGTACCTAGTAGGACAAAAAAAAAAAAAGAAATCACTCGTCTCATTCTATGAATATATACTTTGATAAGAATGATAATGATGTACTGTTATTTTCATATTTATTACTTAGATTATATACATTGTGTATTGGTAGCCAAGAAAATAATGGAAAAAATAAAAGTTGAATGATGAAACTAATATATACCCTGCAATTTGGGAATCAGACTCCCAAGATCGCCATTCGTCTACGATTTTCAGACCAAGAGAGGCAGTCCATGCTTCACTTCCAGTGAATGGAACACACATGTCATGATCACCGCTGCCAAAGAAAACCGATTAGATAGTTTTTAGTATATCAGTTGGACGTGACATGAAACTAAATTAGAGAATTCTCGAAATACAATCTCCGCATTCCAGAAAAAGAGTTACATTTGTGGAACTAATTTATACTACCTATAAATGAGCGTACGATATCCCTTAGCAGTAAGGTTTTTGTGGTAAGGGAGCATGCTTCCGGCATTATGGTAATATCTGAAAGGATCAGCGCATATAATCCATTCTTCTGCCTCCTATTTAACAAAAATTTGTAAATCATAAAAGAATTATTCAACTAAATTTGTAGTTGCAATTTCATGTGAATATAATTGTTTAACAGTAAATAAACATGACATACCGGACTAACATGAAGTGCTTTTCTAACATCTTTGTCGGTCAGATATCTAGTTGCCACTTCATCGTTCTGCAAATGTATTTTCACCACTCTACTTAGTGTTGATAACTTATACTATTAATCGATAAATTAAACTAAGTGAATTTTTTTTTCTTTGGAACGGAAGGAATATAGTTTTGACTCACATAGCAAGGGACGACGGAGTTGCGGTCGCGCTTGAGTGAATCGGTCAACTGTGCCCAAGTAGGAACTAATCCATCCCTAACGGGAGCACGATACGGCCATGCACGACCAAACATCCTGTTTCTAACTGGCAATGGCTTATTAGTCTTTCCCAACTCCCGAAAGCTTGCTGGTAGTCCTGTCATATTCTTTGCTCCTACCGAATTGCCATTGCCATGGTAGCAAGGTTCTAGTATATTATAAATGTTCAATCCAGATGTCACCTGAAATTTGAAAAAAAAAAGGGTTAAAAATCCAAAAGTCAGCTAGTGTTTTAAAATCTGTACTTGGGACTAGATGGTGTGTGTGTTTTGAGAAGAAAGGGTTTGTAAATGAGATCCCCAATTTTGTTTATTGACAACCTACCTAGCTAGTTAAATATAAGGTGATGGATTTTCTGTAACCATTTTATAAAGTAATCTATGTTATAGTATTCCTCGAAAGGCTCTAGATTCAGTTCAATAAAACTAGCTTTTTATGTGAAGTTACGATAAGAACTTACATTATAAAGTTCACGTATGATTAATTGGCATTCCCGATCTTTGTTTTCGAAGTCCCCTCGGCAAATTTTGTAAGCTTCCTGCAAATGCCATTAAAAAGAAAATGACTTATTGAGTCATTTACCAATCTATTTTCCCCACAATAAAGTAATTAAATCGGATATCTCTTATTTTCTTTATGGATAAAACTTTAAACTTGCGATAAAAAGATTGTGAAATTATATTTTTATAATGAATTAGATCGTGGAATTACGAATAATAATCACAAATACAAATATGTATCACAAATTGCATTCTCTATAAAGTGAGAAAAAATAATGATCAAAATAAAGGATGTGTGTATTTTATTTTTGTCAAATTGATGTCACCTTATAGAGTGATTCAGAAATGAGGCCCATGCCGTGAGCAAACGGAACAAAGGCATTATCTCCATCATAGTAATCGTCGCAAACTCCGTTTCCTATCATATAACCCTACATGTATGAAAAATACAATATTCATTAGAAATCAAAACTAGATAGCAGTGTTGTATATTTATAATTAAGACTTGCCAATTTTTACTGACCTTCAGATTGATACCAGGTTTCACCCCAACTTCTTTACCTGTGGAAAAAAGTAACATGGTGACATTTTTTTTTTTTGGTAACACTTAGTATTACTGTTATTTTAACTCCTTTTGTTTATCGTATTTATTATAGTTCAACAAACAAGAGTCACTTTTACTGATCCGAGAAATTACTTGTTTCTCTGTAGATTGGACAAGGGTGAAATAAAAGGGAAAATGTAATTAGTGATTATAGAATACCTTTGTCAATTGCATCAATAAGGGTGGGTATGTAAATCCCAGCATAAGACTCCCCAGTGATGTAAAATTGATTTGGTTGAAACTCCGGATATAACTTAAACCACTGTTTCAAACAAGATCAAGAAAATGTGCACATGTAATTCTATCGAAACGCAACAATTTAATTTTAACCTAGTAAATTTTCTTATCAAATTATTAAAAAAATGACTTTTATAGTTTTATTACATCGATCAAATTAAGGTCGGCCCGGGAAAACCTTATATTATTATATTTTTAAAGTTCGTTGAATTCTTCTTGGGTCAAAGAAACTTATTGGTGCATGAGAATACCTTGAGAAGAAAAGCATGAGTATCATTAGCCGTTTGTAAATCTCCAGTTTCCAATTTCGGGTATGAAAAGCCAACTCCCGATGGAGAATCCAAATATATAATGTTAGAGACCTTGTAAGAAAGAACCAAAAAAGAAATTAATGATCAATTTGTCAGTGATAAAAATATATGTAAATTCTTTCTTGTCACATAAAATATAAAAAAGTAGGGCTATTATTTTTATTATGAAACGGGGAGTTATTACGCTAATGGTATAAAAATCAAATAATTCACAATTATTTGATGGTTTCTACATCCACCTTAGACCAGCTGAAGGGATTAAGATGCAAGATTGGTAGATCCCCTTCGTTTTTGCCTTTCTCAAAGTTAAAGGGTCCTGCGTGGATCGATATAGCATTGGTTTATAATGTCATAATAAAAATTGACTGAGTAGGAAATTAAACTAATTAATTAATTATTTTTATTAAAAAGATTAAGTATACTAACCATGTTCATAGACAAATCCATCAAAACTAGAGCAACCAGGTCCACCATTTAGCCACAACACGACCGGATCCTTAGTTGGATTTCTCTCCGATTCAATGAAGTAGTAAAATAGATTCTTTGCGGGTTTGGTATCCAGTGTCACATACCTCAAATAAATAGAAATTGAAAAAAAAAGAAGAAAAAGAAATCAATAGTCACACCATGTATATCATACAAATTGCACCTTGAAAAATGTAGCATAAAGAATCAAAATATAGAAATAGCTAAAAATTGACCCTATAAAAGTTAAACTATCGGATTGGACAACCCCAATGCACGAAGCCGTAATGAAATTGAATATTGGGGATATAGAGATGACGAGTTAATTTTAATTAAGAAAAAAATCATTGACACAACCAGTAAAAAATTATAGTGAAATTGAATATTCGTGATGATGAAGTGAGAACATGCAATTATGTACCCTGAATAATGTTTTGATGGAAAAGTGCCATTAAATCCAGGAAGGCTTTTGATGAGTGAAGCTTCGGGAGCGGCTTCAAGAAAACTAGTAGTAATTTGAAGCACAAGCCAATAGGTTAAAAAGACGAACAGAACATGTTTAGTGAAGGCCATGACCCTGAGGAATATGAAGATTACTTTTGATATTGTTTTTTCTTCTGGTCTGTGTTAATGAAAATGAGTGTTATTTATTGTGGAGAAGAAAAATCTAAAAAAAGGATAAGTGGTCAAGGATTCACATAATATACTTTAATTTGACAATTAATTACTGAAAAATGACAGTCATGACAATGTTAACATTTATTTCATTAATGCCTTTTTTTAAAAAAAAAAATAGTTTAAAAATACACCACTCTTTCCTTTTGATTTGTTGGCAATTGAAAGATATCTTTTTTTTTAATTGGGACTTTTATGCTTTATATATATATATATATATATATATATATATATATAAAATAATCTGATTGTCCAATGACAGTCGATCAACATTGATCTCATGACAATCACAGTCTCCCTATGTCAAAAATCACAAAGATGTATAAATTTTTTCTATTACCAAAATGCATCATTTTCTCATCATATTTTTTTATGCTTAACAAGATCATGATTTCCAAATGTCTAAAATATCATGGTGTACAAGTCATATTTTCTTGCCATAAAAAGATCATGATGTAATCAATGCCTAAATTATTCTTCAAGGCTCCCCTCCAGCTGTATCAAGTCAAACCCATAAATAGAAATTTCAAAACTAACAATCTAAAAGGAAGTCGTAAGTTGACTACCCTGTTTGACTAACAAGATAGCATTGTAATTGACTAGTATAATATGGGTAACAGACAACCAGACAAGGGAAAATGTATTTTGTCGTATCTACTTCCAAAATATCTTGAATGCCAGTCTGCCATTGGCCAAATACATTAGCGGCTTAAGGTCTCAGGAAGTCTAAAACGAGTTTCAAAATTTAGACCTTTTGAAAATGAAAAAATTAAAAAAAGAAAAAAAAGAAAAAAATTTTAACCTTTCTCCTTATTCATATTTTGAATAGATATTACAAATACGAAAATTTATAGTAGGTGAACTTAAAGTTTTATAATTTTGGAAACTTTTTTTAACTCCGCCTACTATATATAAATAATTTTGGAGTTAAAATTCAAATAAATAAATTTTTTGGTGAAAGATTTTTCTTAAAAATATATATACATATACTATATATATGATATTAAAAATACTAAAAATTAGGGGTCCATAATAATTAGGGGCCTAAAGCGGCGGTTTCACCTGCTTTATGGTGAAGCCGCCCCTAACCAAATATGTGAAGTTTTGAGTAATTCTTTTCTCTAAAACTAATATTTTGATATGTTATACAAAATTCAAACAACCACCAAAATTTAACCTAAGTTTCAAGTTTTAACCAAGACCCGATGATTATAGGTTGGATTATGGAACAATATGAGTTGGTTCTTAATTCTCAAAAAAGGATTAAAAAAAATGCACGGATATGAGTCGTCTTCCCCCTCCCTCGTCCCTCCCCCCCTTCTTCTTTCATGTAAAGAATTGCATATAAGAAGTCCTTTTTTTGTTCTTCCGAATTGCAAATTACTCTCTCCGGCTAAAAAAAAGTAGTCCATATTATTGTATGTATTTTTGTTCAATAAATTGTATTATTTTTCATAATTTGGTCAATCCCAAATGTGCTGGGAAGGAAGTTGAATAGAAAGGTTTAGAGTTTCATCCGACAAAGGTAACGAGCTATGACAAAAATTGTTATCTCTATTAACACTGGAAAAAAAAAGAAAAAAGAAAAGAAAAGATACAGACTAATGCAAAATATCTCTCAATAAAAATTTTTTTTAAAAAATTAGGCTACGAATCTCTTCAATCGTCATTTCTTCTAATAACTCATTAAATGTTCACCACAATTAAACTTTAATTACAAGTAGTCAAATCTTGTTCCCCTGAAGCCAATTATCATAGAAGTGCAATGACTCGCTTGGCTTGTACTCTGGCACCGTATGACCAGCCCCCTGCACTTACCGTAAGTCAAAATATTATGAGAAGAAATTTTGTACCAAAAAATATGAGAAGAATTAAGAGGGGAAAAAACGCAAAACATTTTTACAGCAAAAAATATTTACGATATACCTTTATGGTGAGGAAAGTTAGATTATGGGCGTATCCTTGTAAAAACCTGCATCAATCCCAAATCAGTTTTGTCATCAAAATTCTTGCTTTATTAGTTTTGTGCTCTTAATGTTAATTAACGATAATACCTAGCTAACTAATACATGCACATTTTTTCGACCAAAAAAAATAAAAAAGAGTCACGTTTGTTAAATAGAACGTACCCTGCAACTTGATTGTCTGTAAACCAAGGTCTCCATTCATCCACAATTTCGTAACCCATGGAGGCAGTCCATCTTTCGGTTCCAGTATATGGAACACACATATCATGATCTCCACTGGATAAAAGAACAATCGTTTTAAATACTAAGTTATAACCTAACATGTGTTTCTAATTAACTTCATATTAAATGAATCTAGTTTTGTTTTTAGCTTTCTCATTATCAAGATTAATAGAGTTTAATGAGAAAATATTTTTTTAAAAAAAAACATACAATATAAATAAAAAAAAATTAGATACCTGTAAATAAGTGCTTTATATCCTTTGGCAGTAAGGTTTTTGTGGAATGGGATCATGCTCCCTAAATCTTGATAATAATCCAACCCAACGCATAAACTCCAATTTTGAGCTTTCTGAAGATTGAAGGCATATATATATAATCAATTAATTAATTGGTTAAAGTCTAGGTCAAAATAACAAAATGTGTTTTACAGTTTTACCGGACTAGCATGAATGGCCTTTCTAACTCTTGCATCGTTCAGATATGTGTTTGCTACTTCATCATCCTGCATCATCATATATATGTTTGTCAAAACTCCAACTATATATGGGACGACGAAATTAGGAATTCGCGATTATATACATGAAAGAAATTAATTTGAGCTGGCTGCTAGGATTAATAATGCACTTACGAAGCAAGGAACACTTAGGCCATGGAGTAAGCGAGATTCATGAAGTTGTTGCCAAGTTGGAACTTTGCCGTCTTTAACATGAGCTCGATACGGCCACGCCCTCCCAAACATCCTGTTCCTCACCGGCATCGCCCGATTGTTACTCTTTCCCAACTCGTAGAAGCTCTTCATTGGTGAACTTGTTGTGTTACTTTGCTCTGGATTTTGGCTATGGTAGCATGGTTCCAATATGTCATAAATGTTCAACTCCTCCGTCGCCTGATCATGATGATCATTCAAAAAAAAAAAAAAAAAAACACACACACACACACATATAGTAACTCTAGATCTTACATATTTTAACGAATTACCTAGCTAACTAGCTAGGCTAGAGATAGGGTAATGAAAAATAAGCATTTAAATTTAATGCTAGTGAGATTCGAACTTTTATCTTCTAGATCAAACCCCACTAAACAATGGTACGTGTATATATGCTTAATGTATGTCATTCTATCTTCGAATCATTCATAATCAAGATTAACACAAATTAATACGACCATTATAGGGCTATAAAAAGAAAGAAAGAATATGTCTCACGTACGCTGCCAATTTTTGACCATGTCGTTTGGCATTTGTTTTCCTCCTGGTTGCTAATGTTTACGCAACTTTCAGCTTCCTATGAGTGTAAGAAGAAATAATAATTACGGATTGAAGTTCAGTTACTTGATCATAAACGATAATCTGTAAGTGTTAAAAATAGACTTGACATATACATATATATATACATATTCTTCGGTCTCAAAAGAAAATAATATTTTTTTCTCGAAAAGAAACAATAATAGTACTACTAGAGTCAACCTTTTTTTTTTAACTTGCCTTATAAAGTTGGTCGGGAATTATGGCCATTCCGTGTACAAAAGATAACAAGGAAGAATCTCCGTCAAAATCTGAACCGGTAACTCCATTTCCAACCATGTAACCCTGGATCAAATTAGCCAAACATTTGTAAGATTTAAAATCGAGGGTTTCTAATGACCTAATTAATTAGGCTACCTCGTCATTTTACCCCATACCTTTAGGTTGATTTTAGGTTTAGCACCATTTCTTATTCCTGCACAAATGGTAGCATACTTCATATATGATCATTTGATGGTTTTAAATCTCGGGTCTAAAAAAAGGAGAGTTAAGGGAATTAATGAAAAATAAATAAATAATAGAGACGAGAATGAAAATGTACCATTGTCGATTTCAGCAGCAAGAGTAGGAACGTAAATTCCAGCAAAAGATTCCCCACTTAAGTAAAATGGATTAGCTTGAAATTCCGGAAACAGCTCCAACCACTGATTTGATTATTTCCAAAGAGTATAAATTCACCATTTTTTAGCTATAAAATCAATCTTTCTAATTACAGGAAATACATGTCATTTTATTATGTTTATGAATAAGACATACCACCCTCTAAAGATAGTTGTTGTTGTCTCTATTTTATTGATTATTTTGATCGGGAGAAAGCATATCTTTGTAGATTGTCCTTTTCCCCTTTTACAAAGTCCGAATTATTAACTTGTGATAAAATCAAAATGTAAATGCAAAACCCTTAAAAATTGATTTATTTGTGATCATACTTCAAAATTCTATTCAAATGTAGGACACTAATACCTTGAGGAGAAAAGCATGAGAATCAGTTGCGGTTTGTGAACTGTTTGTGGGAAGTAAAGGGTACGAAAAGCCAACACCAGATGGTGAATCCAAGTATATGATGTTTGAGACCTGCGCTTGTCCAAAATTATTGCAACAAATTGAAAAAATGAGGCCAAAAGTAAATTAAAGATGAAAGATAATGTACATTAGAGTTTTTTTTTTTTTTAATTTTCCTTTTCTTTTTGAGAAGTTTTTGTGTACTTCTTTAAGCAAATAGACAAAAGAAAAAGATGGTCTCCAATTTCACCTTAGACCAGCTGTAGGGATTGAGATGTAAGCTTGGCAAGTCCCCTTTTTTCTTCCCTTTCTCAAAATTGAAGGGTCCTGCAATACAACACAAATACTTATTTATTTTTTTAAAAAAAGTAGACACAACGTTGATAAACTGGAAATTAACTACATTACGAGGATAAGAAATGCAAAACTACGTTATGATGATAAGAAATCCTTACAATGTATTATGCCACACACAATCAAGGCGCGGAATATTTCATTTGATCGTTTGATGGGACACAAAGTACTTATGAACTAAAATTAACTAAATTGTTAGAACCTGAATTATTATAATATTATTATTAGACACGAGAAAAGAAGAAAGTATAATAGGTACCATGTTCGTAAACAAATCCGTCAAAACTAGAGCAACCAGGTCCACCGTTTAGCCACAACACAACTGGATCCTTTCCTGGATTTCTTTCGGATTCAACGAAGTAATAGAACAGGTTCTTTGATGGTTTCGTACCATTCAATTTCACATACCTTCATCACAAAAGTCCCACCAAAAAAAAAAATAAATAAACAAAAAAAAAACATGTAACATTACATTCAAGTTGCATTCACGTTTAACAAAGCGCAAGCAAGTTCCAATCGTTATTAAAACATTTGAATTCACAAATAAGAAAGATGACTAATTAAAAGAATCGAATATAATCCTCGTTCAGCATGTCCAAGACTTTTTTGTGAGATGAAAAGAATAAAAATGTACCCAGAGTAATGTTTTGAAGGGAAGGTGCCATTAAAACCAGGGAGTTTTGTCACCAAAGAAGACTTGGGAGCAGCTTTGACAAGAGTAGGGTTATAAGACTGAAGCACAATAATAAACAAAGCCCATAGGATGAAGATGTGCTGTGTTGGTAAGAACGCCATTGTTCCTCTCTAAGAGTTATTCTTTTGAAGTCTCTCTTTGTTTGGGGATTATGTAGTTTATTTATAGATAAACAAATAGAATTATTGGATCATTTCTAATACCTAATATTTGTCTAGCTAGGAACATATATATGGATGGTTGGGACTTCCAAAGGTTGTGAATCTTTGTTGATTAGGTACTCGTAGCAATATAGGACTGTTCGGCCACTTTATAACAAGTAAACAAGACTCTATTTTATTGGACAGAGGCAATTAATATATCCTAATTAGTAATTACTTGAAAGTCATTAAAATTCTTTTCACTTCTAGTCTCATGAAAGTGGTCCACTTCTTAACATGGGATTGAAGAACTTGCACCACACAACAGACTCTATTTGTTCTCTTCTTCTTTTCTTTTTCCTTTTTCTTTTTCTGCTTAATTATCGGTTTATTTGGAACCACAAATCTTTTATTAATTGATAATTATGGTTTTGGGTTAAAAAGAATTTGAAAGTGATTGAACTCTTATTTTTGAGTTCCATGATAATGGGTCGATGGGAATAATTTTCAATGATTTATTTGTTTCTAAGGACTCGAATCCAATTTCACGTACTTTCAAAACCGAAAAAAAAAAAAACAGAAAATGATATCATTAATTAAATTGAAAGCATTCTTTTACGCTTTAGAACGATTACATTGAACTCAGGAGCGGGAAAAAAAAAAAAACAAACAAAAGATCGACTAAAAGGTATCAAAAATATGCACAAACCCTCAGTAATTATTGCTTCTGTGGTTGATTTGTTGGTGATAGTCTTTTAGTGAAATAATTTGATTCTCTTAATAACAAATGCACGTTAATAATAAATTTAGTAAAGAATAACAAATTTTGTCGTCTTGTGACTCATAAAAGCCTAAAACGTTTACGACGTTCGGTGATATCGGACATTTTTGTGAGATCGAATAATAATACAAAACTCTCTTTGGTTTTGCAAAGATAATGTTTAACGATTTATAGCATATAATAAGAAGTTATCATATTGCCAATATATTTTTAGGTATTATCTGTAACGAGGCAGACATTGAAAATGCCACAGCATATATATGATCGATCTTTTGTGGGAAATCTACTCTCCATGAGTATAGTTCAATTAACGCGGATTCAATTCCAATTTATACTATTTACTAATATAATTTCTTTCAAGCTAGCTAGTTATAGCTTCCCTTTCTCTCTGTTTATGAATAAATTTTTTGTTTTCTTTTTTCTTTCTTTTTGGTTGTTTATGATAAGAAATATTGTAATGAATAAAATCTAAGTATATATGATTGGATGCCACGTTAGTAATAATTACATCCATGTAAAAGTTAATCTCTCTATTATAATTCGCAATGCGCAAAATTTATTGAAAGTTTTCTAAAATTATGGGTAAAATTTCTGGGGAAAATTTTTTTACTGTTCTCAATCCTCGGCCACTGAAATACAGAATAGAGAACTAGTAATTTAGTGAAAATGATGATCCACTTCTCCTGAGGATAAGGTATTGTTTGAGCAAAAATTATCACTCGAACTGTGGAAAAGAAACAGAAAAATACCCTAACACAAAACAAATCAGACCACTATAGATGAGTTCGAAAACTGGCATTGGACCTAGAATCGAGGACTTAGGGTTAACTTCGGTTTAATAATAAGAAGAAAATATATAGAAAAGAAGCGATACAAGCCAAAGTGATGGCCTTGAATTCATTAAAGGTGGGAGAAAGAGAGATAGGTAGCACTGACTGACTATAGAAAGCATCGATAATGCGCTATTACAAAAATAATTGAATTCACTGAAGTAGAAGATGAACGACTACCAATTTCTATGAAGGAAAATAGTCTAAAAACTATCTAGGCTGGGCTAATCTATGAAAACATGTAAAAGTACATAAACGAAAAAGACGAAAAAGAAAGAAAAATGAATGATATCAATTGATGATGTTGAGAGGTGTCTATTTTTCTTCGTCGCGCGGCTGATTGAATAGAAGATTTGGAGAAGCTGACTACTGCTTGCTTTCTTGGGGCGAAATACTCTCCTCAAAAACAGGACTTAGAAGTAGTGTAGTAGTCCTCTACTTCGGTGAACGGTGGCCTAACAAAGATATTTTTTTGTTCTGATTAGGTTGACCATCCATCCATGCAATAACCTAATCAAACTCAATGTGATGTACTTCCAGCCAATGAAATCCATTCCTAGGTCATAGGAATCAAGTAGAGCGCCAATAGGATTATGTTGTTTAGCTCTATGCAAATTCCACTAATGTAGTATTCCAATTACTCACGTGGTAGGCATTTTGATCAAAATACAACTTCCTTTTTTTTTTTTTTTTAAGAATAAGTAACTTCCACGTGATTCTTTGGCCACCAAAACCTAATAGAAGTAGAAAACTAATACAATACTCAATTAAGTCCAAATTAGTCCCCTAAAGTCTTGCTCAAAGTGGAAGCCACGTGAATGCTTAATGAGGAAGAAGACTAATCATCAATATAGGATCAATTGCGTGAGACCCTTTCTCAATCTCAGCCGAATTCTAACTCTTTTTTGTAGTCACAAATACATATTTTTGGTGCAAACATAAAGCCCCCGAACATCCATATAGAATGGAATAAGATGTGGCCATTGAATAGCACAATGTTACCAGAAATAAGCATTCGACATGGCACTAACATCAATATAAAACCAACCTGCTGGAACAAAAAAGTAACATGGCACCCATGCAAAATGAGGAACATAATGATTAAAGCGAGATGCATGCTTACTTCACCCAGATGTTGCACGTCTCCTTCGAAAATCACTTGCTACGCCAGAACTTCTTGAACTGCATTGACGCCAAGTATGGTTGCCAATATTGCCGCGACGAACCTTATGAGATTGCTGGAACTGACTCTCATGTGCAGTAGAACCACTATTCTGGCACCCACTATCATTCTGAACCTGAGAGCTTGATGTGGTGTTGATACTTTCAACTGCTTCATTAATCGTCGACAACTTACTAGCATCTGTAGCAGAACTTTCTTGATCGTCGTCAGCCGTATCGTCATTTTCCGACGCTTCAACAATAGACTTCTCATGGTTGACCCCACATTGGGTAATTACATCGCTACTAACCCTAGCTGATATGTTGTTGGACTTAGTATCAACAACCTTCGTCTCAAATGCTCTGATTTTGCTAGGCTGCATAACGGAAAGTGTAAGCATCTTCGACTGATCTCTTGCAGAATGCTTCTTTTCTCGGCTAATCAAGGATTTCATCAACTCACGATCTTTAGCCAAATCAATCCTCCATTCTACGGCAGCACCATAATCCAAATAGGCATAATTACTACCGCCTCCATCAAAATCAACGCCACGTAATTGAGGACCATCATCAACCTTTTCTGCAAAGTGAAAACTATGCGGTATTGGCTTCCCTTTACTCCCCTTACTTCTTATGTTGGCAGAACCTCTCTTGTTATAAAGCCAGGCATGATTAAACTTCTGCTTAACTGGTAAGGAATATGTTGCATCATTGACCAATTCGGCACTACTGTTGCACCGCCGATCTTGGAAGCCATCATTAGAAACTGCAACCTATTAGTCTGCTGCTGCTTCTTTTGGAACATCAGCAACTACGTATTGTGTAGGTTCAGTTGTCACAGATAAATTGACATCAGAAGTTGCCACTTGGCCTTGCTCCTGCTCACTCTTAGTTTTGTCGATACTTGGACAAACAGAATTATCAATTGCAGGTGAAACATTGTCAAAGCTGTCACAAATAATCTCCTCAATATCACTGTCGGTACAAGAATACTCTAAGATTTCCTACAATCAGCCACAACAGACTCGTTTTCAACAATAACAGGTTTATTAGACAAACAAAACGAATCAGTATATACACAATGCTCAGTAACAACTATAGTTTTAGCAATCGGCAATGATTCACTCGCCAAAACTGTATATAATTGCTGTGATACCTGTTCTTCTGAAGCGACAAACGCTTGTTGGGGGTACCTCTTTCTGCAGGTCTTCCCTAACCTTGACACATTCGGCATCAAAATCACTAGGTAGCCCCCTGGATGTTGACGATAAATCTGTCACAGAACTTTCTTGCAACTGACCTGCTGTTGCAACTGAACTTTCACTTGCTTCTTGCATCAGCTGAGTTTACTGTACCATCTGCAAATTCTATACCTGCAGTAATACTTGCTCATGATATTGTGCCGACGAACCCTGATGTTGTTGCGTCGATGATTCTGCTCGCTGATGTTGCACCGACAACAATTCTTGTTGATGCGTCGGTGGCAGAACTCGCTGATATTGTGGCGACAAAACCTGCTGTCGCAGCGCCTGTATCTGAACTTGCATATGTTGCAGTGACAAAACTTGCTGCTACAGCGCTTGCATATGCACTTGAACCTGTTGTGGTTGCGCCTGCAACAAAACTTGCTGATACTGCTGGGACAAAACCTGCTGTGGTTGCGCCTGCAACATAACTTGCTGATGTTGCACTGGCGACACCTGTTGTTGCTGCTGCACTGGCCCCTGTTGTACCATACTTTGACCATTATGTGTAACCATTGGAATACCACCGATGGCCAGCCCCCCCAATCTTGAGGGATCTTGCACCATAGACCCATCATGCTATCTGTCAACACAACTAGATTGTTGTTTCGCGCCATATTGACTATAGGATTGAGGAAAGCGGCCATCAAGGGTAGCCTGCCATCCGATATTATTTTTAGCCCCCAAAGAATTATGTCCTATATGTGGAACTGCGGGTTGTTGAAAGATATGCCCACCAAGTGGCGATTGACTATAAGAATATGAAAATTAGGGATTACTAGGCGACCTATTATATGGAGAACAAGTATAGATTGGATCCCTAGGATTACTAAGACCATAAATATGACTATTGGAGTAGTCCATAATAAGAAAGAAAAAATAGAGAGATTTTTTTTTTAGAGAAGAAAGAGAGATTTTAGGAAGAAAAGACCACCACGATCTAGGAATCAAATCAAAGCCTGTCCCACAGGACGTGCCATTTTTTATGTTTGAGCAAAAATTGTCACTCGGACCGTGGAAAGAAGACAAAAATACCCTAACACAAAAACAAATTAGACGACTGTGGATGAGTTCGAAAATCGACCTCGGACGTAGAATCGAGGACTTAGGGTTGATTTCGGTTTCAAAATAATAAGAAAATATATAGAGAAAAAGTGAAACAAGCCAAAGTGATGGCCTTGAATTCATTAAAGGTGGGAGAAAGAGAGATAGGTAGCATCGACTGACTATAGAGAGCGTCGATAATGCACTAGTACAAAAAGAATTGAATTCACCGAAGTAGATAATGATGAACGACTACATATTTCTATGAAAGAAAATACGCTAAAAACTATCTAGGCTAGGCTGATCTATGAAAACATGATAAAAGTACATAAACAAAAAAGACAAAAAAGAAAGAAAAATGAATGATATCGATTGATGATGTTAAGAGGTGTCTGTTTTTCTTCGTCGCACGACTGCTTAAATAGAAGATTTGGAGAAGCTGGCTACCGCTTGCTTTCTTGGGCCGAAATACTCTCCTCAAAAACAAGACTTAGAAGTAGTGTAGTAGTCCTCCACTTCGGTGAATGGTGGCCTAACAAAGATATTTTTTTGTTCTGATTAGGTTGGCCATCTATGCATGCAATAACCTAATCAAATCCAATGTGATGTACTTCCAGCCAATCAAATCAATTCCTAGGTTATAGGAATCAAGTAGAGCACCAATAATATTATGTTGTTTAGCTCCATGCAAATTCCACTACTGTAGTATTCTAATTACTCACGTGATAGTCATTTTTATCAAAATACAACTTTCTTTCTTTCTTTTTTAAGAATAAGTAGCTTCCACGTGATTCTCTGGCCACCAAAACTTAATAGAAATAGGAAACTAATACAATAATCAATTAAGTCCAAATTAGTCCTTTGAAGCCTTACTCAAAGTGGAAATGCTTAATGAGAAAGAAGACTAATCATCAATATAGGATCAATCGCGTGAGACCCTTTCTCAATTCCAGCCAAAGTCTAACACTTCTTTGTAGCTAAAAATACATATTTTTGGTGCTAATATGTATAACTTCTCACCAATTTGATGGTTAGCTTCATGGAACGGACAACTTGAAGGCTACGTAACCGACTAATTTATAAGCCGAAGTTACTCTCATAATCATCAAATCCTCATATAATTGAGATCCTACAAATCACATGATTCAACTCTAACGTAAATAGATAATGTTTCCTATGCTTTCTCTTTTAATGTCCTCATAATTAGTATAACTTGATCGTCATAGAGTTATTTCTTTTTAGTAGATCTTTAATATACATACACTTATATTCTTGGTGGTCGCCATTGGTAGTGTTCTTGAAAGATATGGCGTGTTCTTGTTTCATTCATTTGACATAGTATAAGTAATGGAAACTGAATTTTGGTATGCAACATAATAATAAGTAATTTTATTTTTCAAAAAAAAAAAAAAAAAACTTAAACGTTTAACTCATTGTTTTTATAGTCTCTAAATGGCTTGTATACATCTCCCTCCAATCTCCGAATTCAAATCAAAACCAAGCGTTTGAACTCTCGTCTCAACCGACAAGGCGACAACCGTTGCACATATTGCAAATGGCTTTAAAGAAATAAAATTGGAAAAAAATAAAAATAAAAATTAGTGAGATACACATTGCCTGATGTGATGATGTTAAGGAAAAAGTTAAAAATGTAGATATCGTTTTGGTTATCATCATTTGATCAACAGTCATAAAATGCTAGGAAGCAGGAAAACATGCAAAACTAATATTGAGCGAATATGTGTATTTTTTATTTTTATTTTTTGTGAATTTATTCTTTTGAGAATATATGTGTAATACTTAATTTAACCTTTTTTCGTATAACAGTCCATTTGAGAAACTCATTTTGTGCCAACTTTTATTATATTATCAAAACTTTCAAATAATTATCCATACGAATTATACTCCCTTTATCCCAAAATATTGATGAGTCTATTTTCAAAACTTGCAAATCATATCCGTATGAGTAATTAATAAAATTTGTGGTTCACTATCGTACTTTCTTCGTCCTAAATTACTATCTTGTTTCACTATTTTGTTATGCACAATAAAGATGTTTTGACTTGACGTATATAATTACTGGATATCAACAAAACTACATGTATTTGACTAAAAAAAATGTTTTGAAATTTCGAAATCAATCTTATGAAATTAATGATAGTGATTTAAAGAATAATAATAGGTGTAAGGAAAAATTACAGGGAAAAATTACAAAGAGATGATCTCACCTATCCATTTTAAAAACTTTCCATACAGGGTTTAACATTTAAGATTAGGGTCTGATTTAGATGTTTGACACATCATTCTTTGTAAATTTTTCCTTGTCATTTTTCCATGTATGTATCATTATTCGTGATTTAAAATTTTGAAATACTTAGTTGAGAGGATAACTAACAAAAAAAAAAAAAACCCCTCATTTAATACTTGTTTGAAAATGTAAATTCTCTTCGGATCTTGTGCCCAAAATGACCGTGGTAGCATAATTTAACCATGCAATGTTTGACTATTTTTTTGAAACATAGGAAATAATTTTTTTTTTTTTAGAAATTGTTATTTTGTGGTAGTAATGATACCTAATCAAAATTGGATTAGTTAAAGATGTTAAATAAATAAATCGTAAAGCAATAAATTGGAAAGACGTAGCGAAGTAAATAAAAAAACAGTCAGTCGTTTGCAGTTCCCGATTATTCTTCTTCTTCAGTCTCCAGTCAGAGAGTTTCTCATCAATCTCTCTCTCTCTCTCTCTCTCTCTCTCTCTCTCTCTCTCTCCCTCTCCAGTCACCACATTCTCAGTCAGGTTTTCAATCTTTTCCGAAATCCTCTCCTCCTTCTTCTGTACTGTTTTTTGTTTTTTTTTTTTTTTAATTTTTTGGCCCTTTTTTTTAGTTCCTTCTGTCTTTCTCTGTTACTTGTTTCTCTATCCTCTTTCCGCAATATCTCATCGTACAACTCTTCAGGATTCCCGGAGCTGCAAATCCCTTGTTTTTCTGTGCTACGTCAAGTCAAATCACACACAAACACACACACACAATCATCATCAATGTGTACGTAATGGCCGACGCAAGCGAAATATAATGCGTGGTAGTATTTAGTTTGAGTCTTTTTGTTGGTGGGCTAAAAAAGGGTTTATCATCATTATTATTGGCCGGACGCCGGCCGGGTGCCTAAAGCTGGTTTCGCCGTTGAAAAGTGAGTACAATAATCTCTTTCTTGAGTGAGGTCATGAATATAAAAGAATATTATATAAAACCATGAAGTTTGGAAATCCTCTTATCATATTCTTGTTCTCTCTGTGTCAAATAATGTCGCACATTGGAACATGGGTTTTTTTTTTTTTTTTGCTTTGCTTTTGGTTTCATTATGAAGTTTTAGTGATTCCCCCATTGTTTTGTGACAATCAAGATCGATAAGAAGAAGGGAATTGAATGTAGTCGTCGAGTGTGTGTTTGTATGTGGCAGAATAGGCAAGCCCAGCTTTTGTGATCATAGTTTATAAAGATTGATGATTGAGATTTTCATTGCCTGATTCTTTGGTGCTTCCTCACTCCTCCTTTGATTTTACCCACTTCCTATTTCATCCGGATTGATAGCATTTATGCCCAATACAACTTTGGAAACAGTATGATCAAAAATAGCTGAGAGTTGAGATCACTGCCCCCAGTATTTGTTCTTCGATGATTTTTATAATGACTTTGATCCTTGAAAAAAACCTTGTATGATTAGAGATTCAATGCATTCATTTTTTTTTATTTTTTTTTTTGACTCTTGTAGTTGCAACTTGTATTGTCCTACGAGAATTCTCACATTCTCTGGGCTTTTTGTAATAAAAGCAGGGGTTCTCTGAAGACTTCCTGTGCTGAAAAGGCTGTATTATTAGTCTTGCTGGTAATAGGGGTAGGATTCCCATACTAAAATGTGCTTATTGTAAATGAATGGACCAAACTTCTATGCTTAATTATGGTTCGTATTGGTCCTCAAGTTGTTCCTAGTGATTTGTTGTTGCTTCGTGGAATGGTCTGCACTACTTTTTTTTTTTTTTTTGGTTCCAAAACTTTTTTTGATGGTTTTAATGTAAACCCAGAATAGATATTAAGTTTGATACGTTCTCTACATTAAGTTTTATAAGGTTTATGTAATTTTCTTTTAGGTGATATGGATTCCAGAACAAGCTCTGTAGCTCAAAGGACAAGGGCTAAAATACATGAATCGATGTTGGCTGTCCATAAGCTGAATCAGAAGAAGAAGAAGAAACCTAATTCTGTTACAGCTGCTGTGAGAAAGGGGAAGGTGTGGAATCGTTCTGACAGTTCCAGGAAGAATGAACAATTGAATGCGATTAATGCAGAGGATGTGGTAATTCTGGATGATGATGATGAGGAGGTTGATCGAAAGATAAAAGCAAGACCAAAGGTTATGAACACCAGGAAGAGGAATAATGTAGATAAGGAAGTGAAGGAAAAGCTAAACCCCAAGAAAAGGAAGAGAACAGTAAGAAGGTCTCTTCATAATCATGATAGTGAAGAAGAAAGTGACGATGGTGTGCAGTTACTGAGGGAAATGCCTGCCCTAATAAATGATACTTCGAAAAGAAATCCAAGTGTTCCTGATGATGATGAGGGAATGGACAGGGATGCCCAAACTGTGAGTAAAAAGAGTTTTGTAAATGCATCAAAGAGGGGTAAAAGTTATGAAAATCGGAAGAGCTACTCAAGTTCTGACTCCTCAGCAGCTGACTTCTCAAGTTCGGAAGAGGACGAGGATAGGAATATCCAAATCATGAGTAAGAAGAGTTTTGTAATTCCATCAGAGGGGGGTGGAGGTTATGAAACCAGTAAGAGGTCCTCTATTCCTGCCTTCTCAAGACCTACAGAGGCAGAAGATTTGGCTCTCCAAACGTCGAGTAAAAAGAGTTTTGTTGGGCCATCAAATGGGGGTAGAAGTTGTGATGATAGGAAGAGCTCCTCAGGCTCCTCAGGTTCCGATTTCTCAAGTTCTGAAGAAGAAGATGATTCTGATGATACTTTTACCGGGGGAGAATCAGGGAGTTCAGATTCACAGTCAGATGATTCAAGTTACTGTACTGGTGTCAGTCAAGTTGAAAGCGATGATTGTAATGATACTGAGGGCAATGCTAAACTGGCTAAGGCGAATGCTAAGAAGAACTCAGTGGATGTAACTGCTAGTGAGGAGTGCGAGAGAGACGTTGGAGATGGTTTCAAGAAAATTAGAGCTGATGGTTTGGACATTTGGGTGGATCTCAACAGGACAGACAAAGGAAAGCAGCAAGGGAGGTCTGTGCGCCTCAGGCCAAGGTCAGTTAATGAGTCGGAAAAGAAGAACTCGAAATTTGGGACTTACTCTTGTCCACTTCGAGTTGATGAAAATGAGAGTTGTGATTCATCAGATGAGGAAGGCAGCCACAGAAGTAAGGAAAGACGTAAAGAACTTCGGAAGCCTTCTAAGAAAAGGTCTCTCAAGTCAAAATCTGTGGGCATTAAGAGAGTTATAAATTCGATTGTGGATTCAATATTAGGGGAAGGTGAAGCGTTAGATGAGATTCTAGCTTCTAATAAAGAAGAAGCTTCAGCTGAAAATGCATTACCCTTGAGATTCAGATTTGAGGATGAGGATCCTCCTGCTCCGCCCGAGAAGCAGGAATGGGAGAAAGAAGTTGACGGCCTATTTGCTGAATTGGAAATGTGCCTTGAAGTGCCTGATACTGATGCTAATACAGCATCCATGGTATGCTATTGCTGCTCTGTTGAATTTGATAGATTTGAGCTTTACTTGTTACCTTCATTTGAACATGAATTGTCAATTACTCCTGTGGGTCTTATCAATGAGACACAAATTTGAACTAAAAAATATTGTTTCTTTTTCTACCTACATTATTGTTGTAATTGTTTAAAGAAGTAGTAGATATCCTTCTGAGGGGTATTTTCTTTTTCAATCACAGTATGGCTGATGCTTTATCAAAGTGTGAACAATAGTTTTTGTAGAAATTGTCTCTTGCGGGTGAAAGTGTTGTCGATGACTGTGGCCATTTGATGATATTGTCGTGTCCTTTTTTATGTACTTCTGAAGTATCTGATTGAATAGGGTAACTCATTCCTTGTATTCTGTGGTCTTCAGGCTGAGGATCATCATGTCAATGATCAGATGAAAAATCCAGTAGAAGAGTGTCCATTCGGAGGGGACCATCAGCTGGTTCTCGAAGAACCCACTGGAATCTTATGCAGACGTTGCCAAATTGTGTGCCTGGAGATGAAGTACATTTTCCCGGAACTGGTATGACCATGAACTTGTCAGTTGTCATGCAGCATTTTATCTATATATTTTGCACTTCTGCACTTTTTGTCCATATCCTGTGCTTATCTTATTGACACACTCTTGCATGTCATCTACGAGATGTTATTGTCTTAGTCAAAGCTATAAAGCGAAGTATTGTCCTTTTTTTTCCTCCTTAATACATTTTCTGGTGATCATTGGTGATAGATTATGCTGTAGTGGGTAACTAGTGGACTGGGCTAATGATGTACCGCATAAACTGCATATTATGTGCTTTTCAAGTGGAAACTCCTTCCCTTTGGATATTTTGATGGTTTTGCTTCTCTGTTCATCAGTTTTATGTTTAATTGTATGCGAACTTGATTCATTTGTAAGCTTTGATGATGAAGAGTAAAAATAGATGTACCGCATAAGTGCATATTATGTGCTTGTCAGGTGCGAACTCCTTCCATCTGGATATTTCGATGGTTTTGCGTGTCTGTCATTAGTTTTAAGTTTAATTGTCTACAAACTTGATTCATTCGTAAGTTTTAATGATGAAGGGTAAAAATAGCTGTACTGCATAAAGTGCGTTTTATGTGCTTATCAAGTGCTAACTCCTTCCCTCTGGATATGTTGATGGTTTTGCCTATCTGTTCATTAGTTTTTTTCAGTTTTATGTCTACAAACTTGATCACTATTCATAAGAGTTGACGATATGTAAACTGCTCTTACCCGCAGAAAATGCCGACTCCAGGAAAGCGAGATTCAGTAAACTCTGAACCTGGTGGTTGCTCTATGTTTGATGAGTTTCAATTGGGTGATTCAGCACGTGATAACTACTCTGCCTTGAAGCCAACTAAAGGCGATGTATTGGACCTTATTCCTGCCAAAATCCGGAAGGACATGTATGATCATCAACTCGAGGGCTTTAAATTCTTGTGGAAGAATGTTATAGGAGAAACCAGGATTGAAAAGTTGCAGTCTCATTTATCTAATGAAGGAAGTGGATGTATAATATCACATGCACCTGGGACGGGAAAGACATGTCTGAGTATTGCTTTCATCATGTCAATGATGAGATTCTATCCAACATGCCGACCCGTGATTGTAGCTCCTCACAGCATGCTTCTTACATGGGAACATGAGTTTGAGAAATGGGACTTTGGACTTCCTTTCTACAATTTAAACAGCGAGGAGTTGCTGGGAGAGGAAACTGAAATTGCTTTGCCTCTGCATCGCTTCTCACGACGACCAAATGAGAAAGATAAAAGACATTTTAATCGAGTGGCAAAGTTGTACTCATGGGCAAAGCAGAGGAGTGTTTTAGGAGTGAGCTACACACTGTTTGAGAAGCTTGCCAATGGGTCTATTGGAGAAAAGGGCAAGAAAATTCTTCTCGAGCTGCCAGGTTTCCTGGTTCTTGACGAAGGACATACACCTCGCAATAAACGCAGTCATATGTGGGAGGCCTTGACAGAAGTTAAGACTCGTCGGCGCATAATCCTCTCCGGCACTCCATTTCAGAATAATGTGGATGAGTTGTGTAATACTCTATCCCTTGTGAATCCCAAGCTCTCGGTTTACAAAAAAAGTTTCAAGTCCATTACCGAACTCAAAGTTATGATAGATCCACTCGTAAATGTGTACAAAGGTTCTATACTCCAAGAAAGTCTCCCAGGTCTGAAAGATATGCTGGTAAAATTACGCCCTGCCGATCAGCAAAAGCGTGCTTTGCAGCTAATATCGGATGTTAGAAGTTTCCTAGAGAAGGTGCATTTGGTCGCTTTGATCTCTGTCCACCCTTCGCTAGCTACAAAAAAAATGGGGTCCCTCTTCCAAGAAAGTGGGCTGGGGTTGCTCGACCCAAGCCCTAATGCTGGTGTGAAAACTAAATTCGTCGTCGCCCTTGTTGCACTATGTGCAAAACTACATGAGAAGGTTTTGATTTTCAGTGAATATATTAAGCCTCTCAAATTCATAAAGCAGCAGCTCGAAGATAAGTTTTCTTGGACAGAAGGCAGAGAAGTCCTGTATATGGATGGGAAACAAGATGCCAAGATTCGGCAATCATCCATTAATTCTCTGAATGCTCCTGAAAGTGAGGTAAAAGTGTTCCTCGCATCGACAAAAGCCTGTTCTGAAGGAATAAACTTGGTGGGGGCTTCAAGAGTTGTGTTGCTCGATGTTGTTTGGAATCCGTCAGTCGAGAGGCAAGCCATTAGCCGTGCATACAGGCTTGGCCAAAAAAAGATTGTATATGTGTATCACTTGATCACATCAGGGACCTTGGAGGAAGATAAGTACGAGCAGCAAATGAAGAAACATCACTTGTCTGAGCGCTTATTTTCTTGTCAAGACAGAGAAAACAAGAAGTTCTCTTCAGCTGTTGCAGAAGACAAGGTCTTGGAAGCAATGATAGACGCCAAAAATCTGAAAGATATGTTCGAGGACATTGTTCACGATCCGAAAGAATCAAATTTGTTTGAGGATTACAATTTCCTTGAGCCAAAGGACTAATTACTGATTCATTAGTCTAATTCAAGATGCAAGCTTTTGTTAAGGACTGCTGTGACCCTAGTGGCTTGTAGCATTTTGTTAACTCCTAATACTGCCGGTTGAAGTTACTTTCAGTCTATTTGAATTTGTATGCTCTTGCAGTAGTTTCTCCCCATACAGTATTTGAACAGCAGGAAATTTCAAAGTATATTTTGGACTATAATGTGATGCTGCTGCAATTTTGGTGTTGTGCACTATGCGGCAACCTTTTCTGGTTAGTGTTCTATGCCTATCCCCCTTCTCCTTACCTAAATTGGCCTTTTAACTCATACAGTAAAAATTGAAACTCAGTCGCATGAATTGCAGTTTGAATTTTTGCATCCATCACCCAAGAATCGCACGCGTAATCTCGCACGAGGGTTGCACAAACATATATACATGGTTGATAGCTTTGAGTTGGTTTGAATTGCGATGGATGGCTGATTAAGAACAGTTTCGTAGCATGATTTTGAAAATCGAATGATTGTAATTTGTAGCTAGACATCCTAGTTAAAAGGAACTTGTGAACTTTGTTGGGGCTCTGCACTTTTTTTGCACAACCAAAAATCCGAAACTGGTATAAGGTCATTGTTTATTTTTCAGGCTTGGAAGAAGTCATGTAACTTGCAATATAATGTTACACAACAAATAGGGAAATATTAATTAAAAAAAAAAAGAGAATATGATACACGAGAAATAAATGATTGACCAAATTACATTTGATTGTTTCAGCCATTTTCAAGTTTTTCACCCCTATGATCTGGTCACCATTTTCTTCTCTATTCATCAGGCATTCTGTTAAGTCTCCCCTGATCTCATTCACCCTCATTAATCGACATTTGACGTTTGCATTTTCTTCTTTTCAAACACCATTTGGAATGATTTAGTTTAATGGCTTTTCCCCTGTAGAACAAGTTCAGAGATTTGAAGAACTAACTAATGATTGATTGGATCAGGAAAAAGAGCCCAAGAAAAAACAGTCAGAATTCAGTAAGCCACCTGGATCAGATGCCAATCCCTATTTCTGAACGCTATGCCGGTGAAGGTGGTGGCGGTGGCGGCAGGCGGTGTTGACATTTCTGACATCTTTCATTCCTTCAACAAACAGGCCGGGTACTTTGATTTAATTGCACATGCATGCATGCAAGCACTGCTTATTATTCGTGGCAAATCTCGTTATTCTTCTGAAGAACTCGTGTATTTTTCTATCTGCATTGTAGCTTTTCAGTATAAATTATACCAAATAACGAAAATGTAATATGATCTATTAACAAGTATCAAATCTACCTGATGTGAAATATTGCCAGTTTCATTCTGCAGTCAGCCTGTTTACATTTTAAAGTTCAGTAATGTGAGTCGATCAGCGCGATTTTAATGGATTATTTGAAGTCAATTTGTGACAAATGTGCAGGAATATTCTTAGGATTCAGATTTAGGTAGGATTTCTTTTTTCCTGACTTAACAAATTCCATATCCAGAAAGGCGTAAAAGGATGCAAAACACTGAACAGTCTGTGCGCGAAATTTCTCCTTCAATGGCTACTTCATCAATCCAAGCACAGGTTTCTCAATTACCAAATGATCAATCTAGTCAATCCCAAAATTCGTTGTTAACTCGACATTTCCAGCCTTACACTCCTGTGTCGAAAGAGGTGAAGTTTTTATACAGTCCGGGATTGAGCATTCCATCTCCAATTGACAATCAGTTGGCCTGTTCTCAGTTTGTGAACTCAAATGGAGGATATCCTCCATTGCATGCGCAAAATGACGGCATGAAGAAGAAGAGTAATGCAAGAGCAGCGGTGAAGATCTCTCATCCAGAGACTAAAGAGGAGCTTAAACTTGATGAAATTGCAAAAGCAAGAAAGGAGTCTAGTACAAGGACACATTTTGGTGTGCAGACTCAAGCTTATCCTGTCACCTACAGCCCCTATAGCTTCATGAATTATTATCCTCACATGCAGCTGGATCCCCTAATCTCGAAAACTCCAACTTCAGCAGCTGTTACAGGATCGGAGATAGTTCCTGCTGCTGTACGACGAAGTCAGAATTATTTAGGTGTGTGACACTGTCTATTTTTAGTTGGCAAAGAATCTGAATGTCTGCTTTCATTTTTGGCTCAGATATGCATGGTGGAATCATTAGTTTAAACAAAATATATGTTTCATCAGTTGCTGATGGCAATAATCTAACAGTAATGTCAACAGGGCCTAGAAGGAATGGAGTTAACCATGAAAAATTGAAGACTCAACCACAAGTTGCAAATAAGTCAAGGCCAATAGTGGCGGCGAAACCTGCAACTTCTGTCGCGTCATCTCATGAAGCTAATCCTTCTGCAGTATCTGCTGATCTGGGAAATGTTGCTCGGAAAGCCATGAGAGATGATGACAAGACTCCAGAAATTGGAAATTCAGATTTAAATAAGAAAGAGTTCCAGCAACAGCAGGTATGGTTTCAGCATAGCAACATAATCCTTAAATTGGTCGGAGCAATGACTTTGGATACCAGCGGCAAAATATATCAAAAAAAAAAAAAAATTATAATAATCCTTAAACTAAATATTATTCCACCCTTTTCTTTCATGACATAAAAGTAATGTAATGTTTCTGTCCTTTGAAGGATCGAAAGCAATCTGAATGTGCGTCTGAGTCGCCTCTGATTTCTAGAAATAGTACTTCTACATCTCGAAAATCAGATGGTACTAATTCTAAACCACTTTCCTCCTTAGCAAAGCCTTTTATCAGTCAACTGAAGATTCTGCCTCATGAGGTTGCTGGCACAGTTAGCATTAGAGTGTCAGGGAAACTGAAGTACTCAAAAGATTTTCTTTTGGCATTCTCCAGTCAGTTTGTGGAACTTCCTACAGATTTTAAATTGGTGGATGACACTGTGAAGTGCCTCATTTCAAGTAATTTGTCTGCTCTGGATGGTCATCAGTACATAGTTCAGGATGGTAGCATGTGGATCAAAACAACTTTCCCTAGTGAATCTAAAGTGGAACCATGGAGCTTTGTCGGGGAGAATTTTGGAATCCAAAACTTCCATACTGATGGTAGAACAGGTTTGTTGCAACCACCAATGTTGCATCGACCTCTGAGAAGCAAATGCCGTGATGTTGAGTTAGGTCTTAGAGTTTTGCCGCGATCCTCTATGCAATTCATGCATAAAGCCGAGAGAAAATATGAGGTGCGGAAAGCAATCGTTGACATTGAAGAGGCAAAACAAAGAAGGTTGAAGTCTATTCTCAACAAGTTAACACCTCAAAACTTTGAGAGGCTGTTCCAGCAAGTCAAGGAAGTTAACATTGATAACACCATCACTCTGTCAGGTCTCATTTCCCAGATATTTTACAAAGCCCTCATGGAACCTACATTCTGCGAGATGTATGCAAGTTTTTGCTGGCATCTCGCCGGCGTGCTTCCTGATTTCGTCGAGGGCCATCAGAAAATCACATTCAAAAGACTCTTACTGAACAAATGTCAGGAGGAATTTGTGAGAGGAGAAAGAGAGGAAGCAGAAGCTAGTAAAATAGAAGAGAGTACCGGAGGAGAAACCATGCTCGCGCTCGCCAAGGGCAAAAGAGCGGAAACAAGAACTGGAGCACGAAGACGGATGTTAGGAAACATAAGATTGATTGGAGAACTGTACAAAAAGCGAATGCTGACAGAGAGGGTGCTCCGCGAATGCATTAACAAACTCCTTGGAGATCAACCTAATCCTGACGAAGAAGACATAGAAGCTCTTTGCAAGCTAATGAGTACAGTTGGGGAGAGAGTGGACCATCCGAAAGCGAAAGATCAGGTTGATGCATACTTTGAGAAGATGAAATCCCTGTCAGAAGACGATCATCTGTCATCAAGGATCAGGTTCATGTTGAAGGATGTGATTGATCTCAGGAAAAACAAATGGAAGCAAAGGCAAAAAGTCGAAAAGCCAAAGAAGATTGAGGAGCTACACAGTGATGCAGCTCAAGAAAGAAGAGCACTTGTGAATCAACTCATATCTGGCTCAAGTTTCAACTCATTCAACAACAACAACAACAGCAGAAGGGTCCCTGGAAATTCAGTTTCTGCTGGATCAACATCAGCTTTCCAGTCTCCTCAAAATTCCAGACCAATGATTCTTCATGGATTTGCAGCTCAGGGTGTCAGAGGTTTACATACCAAACATCACATTCAAGGGTCAGGCTCAGTTTCATTTCCCAGGAAAAGTGATGCCAAAAATACAGCCCAAATGGTTGGAAATCGAACTGGTTCTTCCAGAAAACCGCGTACTAGAACTAAAAGCCAATAAAATGTTTCTTCTCTTTGCAGTTATAATAATTCTGTATCAGGAAAACAGAATCAAGGCATCTGATTATAGACCACTCCGTGTAATTTATTTTCTTGATGAATAGCGCATACATAATACAGCAATTTGTTTTTGGTTTTCAATGACTAGCTCCGCATATGTGACAGATTTTTTTTTTTCCCCTTTCTATTCATAGCATGAGGAAAAACTATGTAACATTTCCTTTGAGAGATTACATGTCAGAGAGATTACATTATGATCTTTGTTATACTTTTATTTGTAATCATATTAAAAATGATGACGGTTTAAGGAGAGCATGGGTTGTGGAGTAAGATCATGCCTCTCGGGAATCAAATTTTGCGGCCGATTATTTGGCATCCAGTAGCAGAGAATCTAGGAGGATACCAACGATTAATAGATCCACTACTTAGGATTAAACTGTGGTTAAAGTATAATATTATTGGTGTCTCGTACACACGTAATATAATCATTTGAGTTATTTAGATGTTTCGCCTCTTCTATTGTACCAAATCATGACGCTCCATGCTAATTCAGATCATGTTTTATCATGAGTGCTCTATGGTAAATATAAGAAGGGAAAAAAAAAAAAAACTAAAATAAGACGAAGGAATATATTTTGCAGGTTATTTTTAATAGAAAAACGGAAAATTCAAAAACTAAAGGTTATTTCTCAAGCTTTTCTTCTTCTTCTTCTTTCTTTTTTTTTTTCAAAATTTTCTTTATTTATGACATGACCAGGGATCCATAATCGCCGGTTTGGGTTCTCAAACCGCCACTTACGACTCCCAAACCGAACTATATAAATAAGATTTCTGTTTGGATTTCCGGTTCCAGATTCGCTTTAATTTTTTAACATTAGTTCAGTTTCGATTATAATTTTATCCCAATTCTAGTTAATTAAATACAATGTTTTCTAATTATATTATCATTCGATTTTGATTATGATTTTATCTCGATTTAACTAATTAATTAGTTACCGTTACCGACGGAGGATACCTGTAAATATGCAAAACAAAAAAATGAAAAAACAAAAACTAACTAACTAAACACAATTTGTTCTTTTTCTTTTTCCTTAAGAAGGTCAATTATATTATGATTCATCATAGTTTCACTCTAGATTTTGTAATAGTTAAACGATAAAATAATTCGGTTCCGGTTTGGGTTTCGAACTAAAAGTCGTAAACTTAGTTTTATTTTCTTCTTTTTAAAAAGAAACAAAAATAGTCGTATGCAATACATCTTCAACGCTCTCTCTGAGAATAGCAACCGTAGAATCAAACGAAGCTGGCCGTTTCAAATGGTAAATTTTCTGTCTCTTACTCCCACTGCCCAGAGATAATCTACGATATGGAGCTATAATTCTCAATTTGTTTCACTTTTGCTAACGGTTTCGGTGATTTTTGAGTCTTTTCCTTTATGGGTCCGAATTTCATCATGTATTGTGGTTTACATTTTGATTTCTTTAAGAAATCGTATGTGGATTGAGCTTACTGTTTTCCGTTATATAGTTTATCGAGGTATGGCTATTGATGAGATGAAGTAATGATTTGGCATATCCGTTCTGTAGTTTTATTGAGGCATGGTGATTGATTAGATGAAGTATTGATTTTTCATAGTTTGATTGGCATTGTGAGTGTTGGAGATGAGTTAAGTGTAAGAAATCCTAATACTGGTTGTGTATCGCTTCCCATATATTGGAGTTCTCCATTTGGTAATTGGAATCTTGGAGTGATCGGGGTGTACTTGTTTTGACAGAGAGGTTTGTGAAGATTGATTGCTGTCTGATTTCTGAATTGACTTTTATATCTCTTGTTGGACGAAGAGGGCAAAGAAGGCTGGAGGTGTCGGGACGTATGGTGAGTTAGTTACTGTCTTTCGCAGTTTCCTTTTGGTTTCATCTCGTATGTTAGCAGTTAGTTCCCTGATGAAATAATGTGCTTGTGTAATGTATCATTTACTTCTAAAACCTGAGATATGCCGACATTGTCTTCACATGTGTTATAACGGAAGGGTGGTAGATTCATATTTCTTTTCCATTTTGAGGAGACTTTTTGTTTCATTTCTTTTGTTAGTTCCCTTATGAAAGGTGCTTGCGTAATGTAGGTTTTTGTTCTTAAAACCTGAAATATTACTGAGGTTTATTAGAAATGGAAGGATGCTAGATTCATACTTCATTTGCATTTTTGGGGGAGACTTTCTGCTTCCATTCCTTGGAACTGCTTTATTTTGGGCAGGCTTTTTTCTGAAGGATATAGTTATTTCTGCCCTTTTTCTCATTTGTTTGGGGACTTTAAATCTAGCTACTGCTCAAACATTAGCTCTTACATCCTTTGTGTTTGGAAAGACATGGGATATGTCGATCATACTCCTACTGCAAGCATAAAGATCTGAAGAAATCAATTTCTATTCTAAGTCAAGGAAACACTCAGATGATTGCATTATTCGAGTTTATTGGGGTGTGAGATTTTCTTCTTCTCTTTGGAAAAAAAGAGCTAATTTTGAGTTGTACTAAAACCCAAACAGATCCGATTCTAAATTTGGAAAAGTCGGTTCAGTTCTGGACATAGGGATTTAAATTCATGAACTTCCAGAACCGATTTACCCACCAAATTTCTTAAATGAACAACCTTGTTGGTCTTTTACTTTGACAGATATGACGGAACTGAACAATCCCCTCATTGGAATTATCAAATGCAGTAGCACATGAGCAGAAACAAGGACATTAATTCATTAGCTGACATCTCCACCGTGATCGCCGGCATGGACAGAGTTGGCAGTGGCACATTAGCGATATCCACTACTGATGCAATCCGCTCATTCTTAACAGCATCCTCTATGAACCTTGACCTTCCGCAGGACCTGAGAGACCTCGCTTCCTCCCTTTCCCAGCACCCCTCCGTGTCATACAGATCTCTCAAGTCTATTTGGATTCAATCTGACAACAATACTCGACCTGATCTTCTGAATTTACTTGCCGGTTCGAATTTCATTTTCACCAGCCCCGTGCCGAGAGAAAAGGTGGGAATTTTTTTTGAAAGTGTTATCAACTTCTGTTCAGTTTTTGGCCTTTTCACTTAATGATAATTGATTACTATTTCCATTATATTTCTTGAAGAGTGAGGAACTCAAAGCAAGGTTGACGAAACTCGCAGTAGTGGCAGAGAAGAAAGAGTATGCAGAATTGGTGAAGGATATTACACCCAAGAAGCCTGTGGAGGAGCCTTTCTCTTCATACAAAGATCAGTTAGGATTTGGTTAGTTTCTCTTGACTTTATTCGTAATGTTCTCCTGAATAATTTCCTTTTGATATTCTTTGCACGATTCTTTGCCTACAAAGCACTAATGCTTACGATGCGTTTGTGTCATTTTGTTGTTGATTAAGTTTGCGATGACCCAATCCTATACTGACCTTTGGTGATCAGCTCTGATAAACTCTAATCGCCAGTTATTATCTTCGAAGTTAGTGTTGTAATTTAGAACGTATATTTCATAGTTATTGCGACATTTCTATTACTTTGCATTGATATTGAAAAACAGTTGGCAGAAGCCCTTGAGAAATGTACATTAGATCAGGAAAGCTTTGTTCTATGTAGATTCTAAAGTTTTATGATTTTGTGTATCTTTACTAGAGCACTACATCCCACTATCTATCACTTTGAAGAGATCTTCTGGAAGTATTCTATTGGTTTCTTGGGTGGCGTTGGCTAAATACATTGGATTATTAAGTATGAACTCTGCTTTGAGTTATATTCTCTTGTACATGTAGCTCAGGTGAAAAACTGGCTCTCACTTGTCAAGGTATTTAGTGGATGTATGCAATGTCTGCAACTGTTTTGTTCCTTATTGATGTATTTTTGAAATGTGTGCTGTGTTGTTTTGTTTTGTTTTTCTTGTGCTTTTTTCCCAATAAGACAGTATTTCCTTTACTTCTGATGACAGGTTTGCATGTTGTTGTTACTATGTTCACCGGCTATTTGGTAGGATATGCTGCATTTAGAGCCCTGTTCAGCCACAATGTTGCGATGGTAACTTCCTGATTTTAAGACTATGGAATCATTTTGTTCAAAGTTCTGACCCCTTATGCTATCTTCTTTTCTTTTATTCTAACGAAGCTATTTTTCTTGCTATCAGAGTGCTGCAGGAGGCATCCTTGGTTTGGTTGTTGGAATGCTTGTTGAAACGCTTCTGTTTATTATACGATTTTCCGATTCGGATCAGCAACCCAAATCTTTCACGTCGAAGACTAAAAAGGATCAGTGAGCTTTTAAGATGGATGTGCATATTTTTGTTTCTATATAGAATTTTCTCTGTTTTTATAATACTGGTATTAAAACTGAATTCTGCATTTGCCGTCTTAAGATGGGCCTGCATATTGGCGATTATGGAGTGGTAATCTCGTTGTTTAGGAGTTGAACTTCTTGATCCCCTGTTCCTTGTATTCTTTGAGAGTCTCGTTATCCCATTATGATCCAAAAATTCTGCTCTGCGGGGAATTAGTTAAATCTTGGGTTGTATTAGGAAACACCTCCAATCTCTTCTCTTATTAATTAAGCAATAAAAGGAGGGAGGGGAGCATGCAATCCAATGTAGGTAGTTTTGTTTTGCCTCTGTATTCTTTTTCCCATGCAATTTATGATTTCACTAATCTTTTTTATAACTTTGAAGGAGAATGTGTTTTGGCAAGTATGATTAACACTAAAGATCCAGATTCTTTAGCCAGAGCATTTTGGCAAAGATTGGATCCATAGAATGCTGTTAATCATGTTGTTCAAAAACTAACAGCTTGTTTGTCATAATAATACACTTGAATTCGTACTTAGATTTTCGATTTACATTGGAATCTGCCTTCTTGTACTCGATGGATGTCTGGTTATCTCCTTTTCATTTTTTGAGTTGATGCCGTATTAAAGCATGTAGAATCACAGGATGGTGAATCTGTTTCTTCTTTCCTGCACTTTATGCAGTTTACTGGTTTAGTTCTCATAGGATGCAATTGCATACTTGCATATGAGAGGTGCCCTGAGGCTTTAGGTACATTTTAAGTCTGCAACTATGAATTCTTAGGTTGCTGGTCCGGGTTCCAATGTTAAAGTAAGCACAGATTGAGTAGAAATTGTACATCAAAGCACCCGATAAGAGTCAGCAATCTTCAGTAGGCAAGGACAGATTATGCTGCTTTGCATATCCAAGCCTCCTTCAGAGAATTCACTCAAAAGCTAGTTTGATAATGTTGGATTGGGCAAAAGAATTAAAAAGAAAGCTTGGAGTTATCACCAGAATCCAAGTTAACCAAATCAGAGATCATACAAAAACAGATTTCTCTTTGGGGTTTCTCAAAGATAATGTTTGACGAAATGATTTAACCAAAGCAGAGATCTTTTATGAGGATCAAGTTTCCCTCCATGAGTACAACTTTTCTAACAGTTCAATTAACACGGAATAGATCCCACTTTAAACTTCATCCCGAACTTTTGAGGAAAAAAAAAAAAAAAAAACCACGAATCTTCCCAGCAACGTTGTCTGTATAGTAGGGAACCCCATAATCTAAGTCTCTTCTAAATTTTGTTTCCCTGAAGCCAACTATCATAGAAGTACAATGATTCACTTGGCTTGTACTCTGGCACCGTGTGACCTGCCCCCTGCACATATCCCCATTTCATTTCATCCAATAAGTCAAGGCTGTTAAACATTGATTTGTCTTTTTTGTAATAATTGATTTGAACGTGTTAACATGATATGGAAGAAAGAACATACTCCCTCCGTCCCATAATTATTGTCCACTTTGCCAAAAAAATTTTGTCCCAAAATTATTGTCCAATTTGACTTTTATAGATCAAGTTACACATTTGTCCTTAGTAAAAAATATTATCCATAAAATCTCAGTGGTTAAACAATTACTTATGTAAGGGTATATCCGGTTGTTTAAGGTAAAATATAATTAAGTTTGACCAAAAATAAAATTTTTCATTTTAGTAAAACTGGACAATAATTATAGGACGGAGGGAGTAGTATACAATAAATTCGATTATTTTCAAATTACCTTTATGGTGAGGAATGTCAAATTATGGGTGTATCCTTGTAAGTACCTGCCATGTTGTAATGCCAATTTTGTCATCAAATCGGGGCTTAGTTTTGTGCTTACAATACTAAAACTAAGTAGACTGAAATGAATCTCTCTTCATTCCAGAAAACTATCTTTCTCGTCCCAAAGAAATAATCCACATTATAAATTATGAGTTATTATAATTTTTAATTTATAAAATGAATATTAATTTTTGTAGGACAAAAAGAGTATTAATAAATAAATGAATGTAACAACTTAAAACAAATTAAGCTTAGTAAGTATTCTTCACTAACGATAACCTACAATTAAAATTTTATTTGTGGTAATAAACAAACGTACCCAGCAACTTGGTCATTAGTGAACCAAGGTCTCCATTCGTCGATGATTTCGTAACCCAGATCGGCTGTCCATTCTTGGGTTCCGGTGTATGGCACACACATATCATGATCCCCACTGTCCAAAAATAACAAAAAATAAAAGTTAAAAAAAAAAAAAAACCATTTCTTATTTTGTTTTTATTATTTTTGTTTTTTTTTTTAAGAAAATGAAATATATTGTCCACCAAGTGGATGACAAGTATACGTACCTGTAAATGAGTGCTGGATATCCTTTGGCAGTAAGGTTTTTGTGGAAAGGGATCATGCTCCCTAAATCACTATCGTAATCCAAGTCGACGCATAAGTTCCAACTTTCAACTCTCTGAAAATTGAAGCATATATTGGAACTCAATTCATTATATAATTGACTATGTTTAACAAAAATCATGTACGTACGTACCGGGCTAGCATGAATGGCCTTTCTAACTGTTGGATCGTTCAGATATCTAGTTGCTACTTCATCATTCTGCATCAAGTATATATATATATATATATATATATATATATATATATGTTCAAATAATCTCGTTTTGTATTTTAATTTTTAAATGTAATTGAAAGAAGATATAGAGTGGATGATTGATAACTTACGACGCAAGGAACTTGTACTCCCTGAGCTCGGGCCGATTGCGTCATTTGTGGCCAAGTTGGGACTTTACCACCCCTAACACGGTGAGCTCGATAAGGCCATGCCCTTCCAAACATCCTGTTTCTAACCGGCAAAGCCCTTTTGTTACTCTTCCCCAACTCATGAAATCTCTTCAATAATGGTGATGAGCTTGCGTTGCTTTGTTGTGCTGATTCATCACCATGGTAACATGGTTCCAATATGTCATAAACGTTCAAAAACTCCTTCGCCTGATGATATGAGCATCAATATTTGATCATCAAGATTAATGAATATTGATTATGACTTTAAAAAAAACATACTTTTATGAACTAATTAAGGTTGATTCTAATGAACAACCAGTCCCTGATTTAGACTAGGCGTAAGAATCACAATTAATTAATTAGTCGCTTTACTTATCACTGTACACACCTAAGTTGCAACTATTTATAATTGTTATAATTACTATTAGACACATTGGCTCAAAAATATTAAGTTTTCAGTCAAAAAATATCCACATTGAACATTGAGATTTGTACTAATAATATTTATATCCAAGCAGTTTGAGGGGACATCTCACGTACAGTCTCAATTTTTGACCATGTCGACTCGCAGTTGTTCACGTCACCTTGCTGCTGGTTGCCATTGCTTAAGCAAATTTCTGCTTCCTGCAAGCGCGAACAACTAATGTTTACGGTCTAATAAACACTGCTGTTACCAATTGATAAAAAAACAAGTACTATTAATCTTTCGTACCAAATGCAATTACCACAACCAAAACTAACCGCTGAATGATTTTTTTTTTTTCCTTTCTTTTTTGGGACCGAAATAGTACTACGTAACTAACAAGCAATCGTCCCACGAGAAAAAGAAATAATAGCTAGCAGATGAGCTAGTGTACGAAGTTATACATGCCTTGAAAAGTTTGTCGGAAATCAAGGCCATCCCATGTAAAAAGGTGATAAGGGAAGAATCTCCGTCAGCATCTGACTCGGTAACTCCATTTCCAACCAAATAACCCTGCATCAATTAATCAAACTTTTAAGAGGTTAGACTAAGGTTTAATTTTTACGTATTATACTCTCTTCATCCCAAAATTGTTATCTAACTAGTTTGGATTTTCATTTCCATGATACAATTTTTCTAAAAATAAAAATAAAAAATCAAATTAAACAGTCGCACAATCACTTTGGAACTAAAAGAGTAACTCATTTAATCAACTACGTTATCTCATCATCATTTCCATACCTTCAAGTTGATTTTAGGTTTAGCACCATCTCTTATTCCTGCATGTACAAATGGTAGCACACTTCATTATATATCATTAGTTTTCGAAAAGAAAAAAAAAAATTAATGCGATTAGTTTTGGAAGAGGCGTTCCAAAGATATACCTTTGTCGACTTCAGCCGTGAGTGTGGGGACGTAAACTCCAGCCCAAGATTCTCCGCTTATATAAAATGGATTGGCTTGAAACTCTGGATATAGCTCGAACCACTGATTAGAGAAGAGAAGGTATTAATTTCTAAGCAGAAAATCAAAGTCGTCGATCGGTAGCTTATTAGTTTGATCATTTATCAAATCAAATAAAACAATTTCAACAAAGACAAGATTAAGTGTGTGTAATACAAACAAAAATTTAAATTTCGTGACAATGTAAATTATGAAAATACAAACAAAAAAAAAATGAATTTAATTTGTCATCTACAAAGTTATATATACGTAATGTAGGAAAATGTACCTTGAGGAGAAATTCGTGAGAATCAATGGCGGTTTGCGAATCACTTGCGGGAAGTAAAGGGTATGAAAATCCAACCCCAGATGGTGAATCCAAATATATGATGTTTGAGACCTGCATTAATTTGTTGTAAGAATTAGGCCCAAAAAAATAGAATAAAATAATAAAAAAAAAAAAAAAGAAAAGAACAACTCTAAAGAATACATATAGTCCAGTCAAGGGATTGAGAAGAAGATAAGTGAACAATTTTACCTTAGACCAGCTATAGGGATTGAGACGCAAGATTGGCAAATCCCCTTTTTTATTTCCTTCTTCAAAATTGAAAGGTCCTGCGTCACAAATCATTGTTTTCATCACATCTTCTTTTTTCTTTTTCTTTTTTTTACTTCCTCCGTTTCTTAATTATTGTCCAGTTTGAATTTTCATTTCTAGTTCAAATTGTACTAAAAGTGAAATCTCAAAGTAGACAATAATTTTGGGAGAGAAAGAGTAATAGATAGTGTGGAGGACGGACGAAAACTATTATTATTTAAAAGTCATTGTCAATGCATACTTTTATGATAATATAAAAAAAATCATGTTATTTAAAAGGACAGTTTAATTATAGAAGATTTAAAAAAAAAAAAAAAAGTAGTATACGTACCATGTTCGTAAACAAATCCATCGAAACTAGAACAACCAGGTCCGCCATTGAGCCACAGTACCACCGGATCCTTTGCTGGATTTCTTTCCGACACAACGAAGTAATAAAATAGATGCTTTGAAGGTTTTGTATCCAATGTCACATATCTTCACAAAAACGCAATAAAATAAATAAATTATACATAACGAATGCAATTTATAGGCCAACTTGAAAGAAGATTAAATTGATCCAAAAAAAAAAAAAAAGATTAATACCCGGAGTAATGTTTTGAAGGGAAAGTGCCATTAAAACCAGGGAGTTTTGTCACTAAAGAAGCCTCAGGAGCAGCATTAATATTAGAAGAGAGGAACACGATTAGATATGCCCAGAGAACGAATAGATAATTTGTAGGTCTTAAGAAGGCCATTTTTCCCTCTAATTAAGAGTTGAATTATTAATACTATCTCCTAATTAATCTTCTACTCAAAGTCTCTTTTTGTTTAGTTACAGTGTGTAGTTTATATAGACCTACATTGGAACTTCTTACAGCTAATCCTTGTTTAGGTACTTTTGGATGTATAAGACTCTCTCTGATCCTCTTTAATTACAAGGCACATGTTTTTAAATAGAATCGATGGAGATAGTTCATTATTAAATATTTAATTTCAAAAATTACTTAGGACCTTCATAAGAGACCTTCATACAAAAATTATCGTTATCATCAATGCATAAGAGACCTTCATATACACGACGTTACGACAGAATTTGCCTTGGACTTTCCCCCAATTTATACATCTTTCCTGATTTACATCTCTTCTTTTTTTTTTTCTTTTTTTAAATCTTGTTATATCTGAGTTCATCGTACTAAAATTTTCAAATGTTATTGTCACACTTTCGGTCTTATATATTACTACCTCCGTCCCACAAAAATAGTTCACATTGAGTTTTAAATTTTGTGCTAAAAATAACACAAAATTTAAAACTCAATATGAACTATTTTTTTTTGAGACGGAGGGAGTATTAAACCACCAAATAAGACACTAATTCGGACGAGAACTTAAAAAATGAAGCTTTGTTTCAAGCATATCAAACATTCTAATGACAGCCTTAAATCGATAAGCTCAATTTTGCTATGCCAAATAATTGACGCAAAGGAGTGGTCGCAATATAACATAGTTTTCACAGCGTGCAAAACAAATGAAGCCAAATCCTAGTTGGCAGTTGGCACCACTTCCATGTTATCGAATATTATCTCTTTTCAATGTGTTTTCAAAAAAGAAAAAGATTATCTCTCTCATTTTGTCAGGGTAATATTTGTCCAATTGTTTTAGTTTACTGAGTAGAAAATTTTCAAGATCGTCTTATAAAGAATAGATGAATATACTTTTTCTGTCCCAAAATAATAAATAATAATTATTGTTATGAGTGTTGTCAATAATGAACACTTTACAAATATGCAAATAATTATAATAATAATAATAATCATCATCATTTGGAATGATGAGAATTTAAGAAATTATTTAGGCATTGCCTTTAACATTGAAGAATTAAATAAATAGGGCGGCCCTTAATATTCATCGAGAGGTAAAGACAATTGGTAGTTGTTTAATGTTATCTAAGATCAATTGATAGTTTTTGTGTATAGAGTAAAATATTGATTATACTTTGTTCCCGTCTTTATGGTAAAAGGTAATCATTGCACCCACGGCCTCAACATGATCTTCATCGATCTCCTTTGTCCAAGCATCGCCTTAATTACTGTCAAGCGACTTCTTCAAAAAAACGGCCTTCTTAAATCTATTTTCGTCTTCTTTTCTAACATCAACTACATAATTAATCACTATAATTATATAATCACAAGAAATTGTGTCTCCTCGCGAATAAGATCGGTGATGTGGACCACATGGAATAATATTTTTTTTTCGCGATTTCTCTACATCTTTTTTAGTACAATTGAAAAATTTACGTATGAAATTTTACCTTCGAATTGTTTGTATGTGACTGACGTACTATAATAAAATATATATGGTATTGCTAGAATTGTATTTTGAAAAAATTAGATTATCCCAACCAAACAAGGGCGGAGCTAGATACAGAGTTGGTGGGGCAAATGCCCCAGCTGAAAAAAAAAATGGTTATTATCCCTTAAAATTTTAGGATTATTTCTTTAGAAAAATAGATTTTGCCCCACTTAAATTAATAAATTTATTTTTGTATATTTGCAGGTTGTCCACCGTCTCTTAACATTGACTGATCCTTCTCGTTGAATTGTAGACACCTCACTAAATTAATAATATTAAAAGGAAAATACATTAAATTAATAATAAAAATCTATTCTCATCACTTCTTCAGGGCCTAGCGCCGCCCCCACTGGTGAATTTAGGCCTAGCGCCTCCACTAGCCCATCTTAAACCTTTATTATGTATATTTAAATTTTTTATTATAATTTTAATTATATTTAAAATTGCTGTTTTAGTAGTTATTTTTCTATTTGGGCTCAGAATATATTTTCTATTTCATTTTCTCCTAATTTGGCATGGGCCTTAAGCCTATAAAAATGTTTCACCGGTCAAAGTTACTTCTGCTCAATTATGTTTGGTCCTAAATAATTTTGGCTTTCATTTTACAATAAGTAATTATAAATTATAATACTAATAATGATGCAAAAAAAAAAAAACAATGTAATCTATAGAATATTTGATCTAGAACTTTAAACAGAAGTAACAAGTTTTCTCATATCACAACTTTCATAACTGAAATCTTTCTTGGTGCACAGAGAAAAATATGTTGCTCTCTTTCTCAGTGTATATAGTTTTACAAAACTATATTTCGTTATTAAAAAATAATAATTCTGAATCACGTGAGCTTTAGCTATACCAGAAATTAAATTTAGTAAAAAATCTTATGATCAAGTTTGACGATGGTTAAAAATCTGAAAACACAAAAACACTTTATAAACGTTAGTAGAAGTATAACTTTTATTCTTTAATACTGTAATTATAGTTGACCCCCACTGTATTTTTTCTGTCTAGATCCGCTACTGTCCACCCTTGCAACCAAATCATGGATCTCGCACTAGTAATACTGCCTTTAATTTGTTTGTAGTCTCAATGAGTGTATTGTTTAAATCATAAAGTTTCTTTTTCATTTTTTTTTTTTATTTTGGTTTGTGAAGGATCTCATATGTTTGATAAAATAAATTTACTCCATTTAATCTTTAAGTTTTTTTTTCATTAGGTGCCTAGGTCGAACCATACAAATCCTTTTAGTAACAAGTCACTTGTGCTTGTCTCAGAAATGCCTTTTGAGAGCAAGCAATATGATCCAGGGCAATCCACTGAAATTGTAAACCATGTTTTACCTCATGAACAAAATAAGGACTTTGAATCGTGAGTGGATCCGTAGGAATAATTATAGTTAAATTATCAAGAAAATTTAATATTCTGGAATTGAGAATTGAATGACAGCCTAGTGATTAGGTTATTGTCTTTCCTTGTAACAGACCAGAGTTCGATTCCCATCAGGAATTATAAAGGAGGGAATTTACCCACATTTAAGATGGAGTCCACTGGGGTGGATTTTTCTTTTTTTAAAAAAAATATATATACTCCCTCTATCCCAAAATTATTGTCCAGTTTGAGATTTCACTTTTAGTACAATTTGAACTAAAAATGAAAACCCAAACTAAATAATAATTATGAGACGAAAGGGAGTACCATTCTGAAATTTAATTATCACTCTAGCTAACAATAAAAATTTCTCCGAGAAAAAAACTAAATACTAACATGTAATGGCACAAGTGGCATAAGGTAGGCTACGTTACGTTCGGCCCACGTTGTGCGCACACCACAAAGACAAATCGCACCTTATCCCAACACACACACACACATACTGGGGGGTAAAAGAAAAATCATCCAAACCAAGCAAACCCAAAATGTTGTGGGTACCTGATGATCAATGGGGTGCAACTTAGAGAGATGAAAGCTTCTGCACCTTCTTCTTCTGTCACTTGTTCTTCTACTTCTTCTCCTCTTTTGGCTGCTTTTTCCACCACCACCAAAACCAAATGTTGTCATACAACAAAACTCATCTTTCATAGCTCCACCAAGTTCCCTTCTCACACTACCAACAATAATGCCGCCTCCTTAGTACTCCAACTTCGTCCTACCCACAAATTCCTCACTCGGGGTAAATGACTACTCATACTTATTCCACTTTAATTATTATTATTATTATTATTATCATTAATGATACATTCAGCGATAAATAAATAAATAAATTTGTATTATCTTCTTATAATATATTTACTAAAATGTGTAACATCGAATTCTTTAGATAAATTTTTTGCAATATTGTATTGAGAAACCACTGTAAATGTTATGTGATCGATGCTTCTTGGCTCGATTGGATTGAGTTGTGAATGTGACAATTGTTTGTTTGGTGCTGACAAATGAATGAATAAATTGGCAGTTATCAATGACTCAAATCAAAGCGAGTTGGTGGCTACGGATGAAGTCGCGGCTGAAAAATCCGAGGGAGATAGGATTGTGGATGGGATGGATTTCGGGGAGCTCTGCAACGAATTCGAATGTATCAGCAGCCCCTTAGTCGAGGCCACTGCTCGGCAACTCGTGCGCGACATTCTTGAGCTTCGTCAAGGCAATCGCGCCCTAGGAACTTTTGCTACTTCCGTTAAATATAAGGTATTATTGTTGATACTTGTTATTATGAATAATAGTGTTACTTTTTTCATTACTAAGATTACGAATTAACAAGATTTTATATAACATTGCAGGATCCAGTTAGAAGTTTTATTGGTCGTGACAAGTACAAGAGACCAATATGGGCTACTCAAGCCCTAGACAATCCCAAAGTGGTATGCATTCTTCGTACCCACCGTATATATTCGTCTGATAGAATAATGATAGAGAGAATGAATTCATTCTGAAAAAAAAATAATATGTTCTTTTGCGTTTGCATTTTCTTGCTTCAGAGTGTGCAGGAGATGGTGATGTTGTCAACGAGTTTGCTGAGCATTAAATGGACGTTAACAGGGAAGCCGAAATCCCTAGTTGGCGGTGGAGACTTGATTGTTAAGATACATTCCAAATTCACCCTCAACCAAATCAGTGGCCAAGTGATTGAGCATGAAGAATTGTGGGATTTGTCAGCATCTTCATTTCTTGCACAAGCATATTTCTGGGCATCCCGGCGTCTCTTCGCCGCGTCTGAGGCCGGGAAAGATGCTGCAGATTCTGTCAAGGACTTAAACGAACGATTCACCACAGATAACAAGAATGTGGAGATGTATCCAGATCCAACTGGTGATCCGACAAAGGTGATTGATTATTTAGTAGTGTCTCTTTAAAACATGTTGTTTTTACTTCCTTTTTGATGACCTCCTTGGGCGGTTATTGATTTAAGACGGGCGTTTGTGTTTTCTTGATGATGATGATTCAGTTCTTCCAAAGGGATGATGGCTTCCAAAGGGATGCATACCAAATTGCCCTGGCTCTTGCGGTTCTATATTTCGTGGTACAGTATTTGAAATTAACCTTGTGAAAAAAAAACCCCTTTTGTAACTCCCCGAAACTATTGTACAATTGTTTTTTGTTTTATACTTCATCCAAGATAAACTCAAGATTATACAGCACAAGTAACATTTGTAACATACATAGCCACAGGATTTGCTACTCTAGTAATGCATCCTCATTTTCTCGATACATTCCGTCATTCTTTCCATACTCATATTCTTCTATACCAATGATGAGCAACTAGTTTCGAGCCAATGATGCTAAATACACTAGTTTTCTCTACCAAAGATAGCGACAATGTATAGCAAAAACTCAGAACAAGACAAGGGTAAGCAGAAAGATACAACATCTTTTGAATGTTTGAATGGATATGTACACAATGGGAAGTTCCACAAATGTGTATCAGACAATATATGTTGTCCTCCCTATCTGTTGTCCCCCGCCCCCCCTATAGGTTTCCCCGGTCATCAAAGGAATCAAGAACATCTAAAGTATATGTCCAGCATCAACCTCTCAAATCCTTTTGGAGGGCCTATTTTCTTTAAAAGAATGAAATGCAAAAAATCTGCTATAGTTTGTGAGGTTGAGTTTTAAGCTACAAACATGATGTCAATGGATCCCTGCAAAATGATTTTACTTTGTGACACAGGAAAGTAAATTCTGGTGCAAAGAATCACCATAATGCTCTCACATAAAAGGTTCTGAGGTATATCACATGATTTACCAGCTTGCTTGATCAACTAGGATAGAATAGCAAGACGGCGATCAACAACAAGAATCTTAAAAGCTTTCCCACACTCAAGTCACAAGCAGAGGAAAGATCATGATAACCAACACTATATACATTCCCAGACTTGTCATCCTTCACTTTGATGCTTGAAGAGCCTGCGAAAAGAAAAGGAATGAACTCACGCATATTGTGCAAAGGAACTCTTTAACCAAAAATCCTCCACCTAATGACAAATGCCTATAGTTTGACTTCAATGTTCTTACAGTCCACAACTTAACATTAGGCAAGGGATAATGAAAAGATAAAAGAAATTCACATTGTAAGGCCAAAATTAAGACAAACACGGCTTTTCTAAGATTTCAGAAGTAAATAAAGAATCAAAGATGCTCGACCAGAATGAAAATATCCGCAAAGTGAGGCCCAGCGACGACACATGAGATTTTCAGTGGTGCTTGGAAAACAAATTTCCAAAATTTTGCAAACTTAGAAATACGTTTTTTTGCGGTAAAATGGATAACATCTGTTAGATAAACTTTCCTTAGAAAAAATAACACCAGCAATTAGTATGAACGATAATTCCCCAGAAAGGTTCTCTACTACAATGGCAAACTTGAAAGGGTAGAAGTTAATCACAAAGCTAACCCCTTCTGTGGAGAAAAGGAAACTGAAAGTACTTACAGTTATATTCAGCCCATCCGATTGTTTGATTTTCAAGATCATACACAACAAGCTTGTTTGAGAGTACAAGATCTGCATACAGGGATAGAGACAAGAAGATTGACAATATCAATATGATGAATACTATTCCCAAACCAATCAGAACCTAGTTACGAATAATGTATATTCATCTTGTAGCTTTATACTTAATGTTACAGGGTCCAACAAAAACAAAATGCGAAGATGTCCACTAGAATAACTACTGCTCTCACAAGAAGGTTGGATAATACCTCCCAGAAGAGTCACTTCCCTTCCATCTTTTGTCTGCATGCCCTTGTTCTGCCAACCAATGCACCACTGATTATCCTGCATCAAATTACAAAGAAAATTAAGCTCAATTGTGGATGAGATGAGGTATAGCAGATGAAGAATGAATGTATACTTGATTCTAAATTATAAGCCTGAAAGACTCAAAATATGTTTCATTGCAATACTTCAGACCTCAGACCCATTGTAACCTTTTTACCATCTAGTGCTGGAGATGCCCCGTAATTTGCCTGACCATTAGCCCATCCACTACAGAAATTCTTTTTACCTAATTTTCATCCTATAGTCGGTTACTTTTCATACCTCATATTATTGTTAGTGGCATCTGCCAATACTAACTGTTATTAGGTAACTCTCATTTCATTTCTTGCAGTTAAGACAAAATGTCCGAACATTATCATTCCTAAGAAATGCACTAGGCTGATAGCCAGAAATATGAAAAGATAACGGTATTTGAATATTCCAGTCTCAGACATCTCAATATCTGATTCCATGGGAGAATAAAAATGTACACAAAAGATGAAAAAAAAATTAAAATTAAAATCAGGTACTATCAGAACTAGCTGAAAGCAAAATGTCAAAATCGTCAGAAGGAAGATACAGTATATTACCCGGAGGGTTGGGTGGGGTGGTTAAGGGTGAGGATGGGGGATGGTTATTACCAGGAGAGCAGAGGTTCGATTCTAGCTGGGGCCATCCAATTTAAATTAAAATAAAATAAAATAAAAGGGTATACAGTATACAGCAGCCACTGCAGTTACAAAACATCACAATAAAATTCAAAAGCCTTATGAAATATCGATCGGAAATGTATTTAACTAAACATTATAATGAAGTCTAGTGAGAAACCAAATATGCACCTGATCTTAGAAAACACAACAGCATTCAAATGGAACCTTATACAAACATAAAACTGATTGTGGCACCTGATTTTAGTGTGATGTTTTGGAATGCAACCTTATACAAATATAAACAGTACAAATGTGTTTTTTATTATTGAACAATTATAAAAACACTTACATTAAGAGCAAAGAGATATTCGTGGGGATAAACTGTCAGAGATAGTGAATCCTCAAAGTGAAGAGTAACAACTGGGAATCCATCATCAACACTGCACAAGCACATGATTCATAAATAGTCATTTTTTGAGATCATCATCATATCCACCGAAACTGACTAGCACTTAGACCGGTACATGTTACAATTTATAAAAATTTAATATAAAATGAATTTAGAGAGAGAGAGAGAGAGAGAAGACAATAGTGGCAACTTAACAATCCCTGAGTCAGAATATTAACTAAAAACTAACTTAAGAAACCTGCACATCACGTTTCAAAACAAAAAGACAATTTCCTCCAGCTATTACTACTTCATTTAGTAGCACTCTACCATCAAAATATGTGGTGTCCCCAGTCCAGTGAGTCCCCTTAATGGTGACTAAAACAGAGATGCTGAGCATAACTCTAGGGAAATAAGCAGCACGCGACAACATTTCATATATCACAATGGCACATCCAATCCCACATATAGCAATGAGACACAGATAGAAACATTATGCATCATGTGAGAGGCCTTACTTTCCAGAATAGACAAAACACTTGAATGAGCCCTCAACTGTATGAGTTTTTAAGCCAGGTTGAGATGCCATAACCTGAAAATTAGGATAATTCATTAGGGATCAACGATATGCAAGTTTGCGAGTATTAATGTACAAACAATAAACGTCTCTGCACAAATTTTAGAATAATATGTAAAGTTGATCTTAAACTACCTTCGCCATAAATGGTGTATAAATATCATTGGGAAGATATGCCAAGGTTGTACCACTATCAATAATTGAACTACTTCCAGATCCGTCTCCAGAAGCCTCTGTTGAAAGGTCTAGAACTTCACCACCCACCTCTATTGCTTTCATCATCACATTATAATGCGGCCTGCGACAAAAAAAATTTCAAATAAACCAATGTAACAGTTAACCATTGTAAACTACACATTACCAGAAACATACTTTAACCACCGATATTAAAGCTACACTTAAATGAAGAAGCTACTGAATACCCATCTCAAGCTTGGGTATACAGGAGCTCAATCATTTTTATTTTTTTTTTCCAGTTCAATAATTTGACTTGGGCCAATCCAGTTTGAGACACTTTGAGCTGTAATCAACCTAAACCAAAAACACAATTTTGAGCCTTATGAATGTCATGAAACCAAGTTTTTATTCTACAATCATCAGCTTGTTTAGGTTTTCTCATTGCAAATCTATCAGCACATGCAAACCCATAGAATAAGCAGTCACATATCAAAATTTAGAGGGAATCCTTTTTCGCGCCGTTGCAGATAGTCCAACAGATATGATTTCATGACCTGCAAATTTCATCTGGCTACTTAAAAGAAGGAAAAATAATATTCACATCCGAATTTGCCCTAGTGAAACTGCTAACAAGATTATGTTATGCTAATGTCCCAGCTGCCATTAGAAGTGATCTAAGGAAAACAAAGAAGTTTTCTCTTCTCTAATCAAGGCAGCAAGATTTCCACTTGCAATAATCAGCGAGATTAAAATGTTAAAAATAATTCGGCTTGCCTTTTCCGGCCCCCGCTATTAGGGCTTCACTGCATTTTCATGGCAACCAGTATTCAAAGGTAATTCTTTTACAGTTTCATTTCTTCCTATAAATCATTAGTACCCACGATGAGCAGAGATTATATGTGACTCGAGTGGGAAAAACCTCGAAAGAAGTCCTGCCCCGGTGAATGTAGAAATCAAAGGGAAGATATAAAGATTACAATGCTTATTATATTAATGGTCCTGGGAAATTGGAATCTAGTGGGAGTCAAATAAAGGTGACTTTTTGCACCATATTTTACACGTTTTCTCCACTAAATTAGGAACAAATATCATTTCAAGTTATCTATCAACTTCATACATAAAAGATTGCTTATTTTTGCACAACTATTTCTTTATTTTTATTATTTATTTATTTTTTTTTTTTTCAAGTTCCAAAATGATCGAAATTATAGTCAGTTACCAAAGAGTGTAAACCTACCAAGTTCGATGGATCCAGGAAGTCATGATAATACCAAAATAGTTCTAAAATCCTATTAAACTAACTGCTTGGACGGGAATGTAAAAAGGCATAAATAGCAGCCAAACATACTCATTTGGGATCAATGGCGTGGTTTTCAATTTTGGCTGCACTACTTGTCCAATAGCAAAAATACCACCTCCATTTATGCCATCCAAGCAATGTGAGAATACTTTCTTAACCTTCCCGGTCGAAGCAAGCTGTGAAATAATTGATGAATTTGCTTGTCCAAAACCAACTATCCCATCAACTGCTTCAGTAGAGGAGCCCAGCTCTCCAGATTGTTGAGATGAGCACCTATCTTAGATCGCAAGAATATAAGCTCCAGTGAGAGCACATTAAAATGCTTTATAAGATACATTTGTACTATATAAGAAGTAAGAAATTTTGAATTGTTCCAGAACCCCAACAAATATGAGAAATAAGAAAACAACCACAAATTCAGATAACGCTGACGGCGCAACCATCATTTGTATGAGAACCAAAAGGGGAAAGGCCTTGAGATACTCAAATTTCATTAACAAAAACAATAAAATCAATCAATGCAAAAGATCTGCAAGCAACCTACATCGATGTCCTTGAATCTTCTTGTTGATATTAATATGTAATTTTGATGTAATAACCATGAAAAATAGTTTATTTCGTCGATAGCAATAGATTAAATATTCGGATTAAACTTTCCCAAACGGTCTGAATGTAGATATAAATTGTGTAATTTTCACGTAATAATTATTGAAGGCATTGCTGCTTGGTGGGCAGCAGTCAATTTCGCTGAAGCATTCAAAATGTGACCAACAGAATAGCAGAAAAGTACATTTACAAGCTAAGATCCTGGATCAACTAACCTCATTAGACGACAGAAAATTGCACTTACCCAAACACTATAGTCCCGTTCATGGAACTTGTTTGAAGATTTCCTGACACTTGATTAAAGTTAGCATAATCTCTCACAAAATATCCGCCAGTTGTGCTTCCATCTCCATAGGTGACAGAATATTCACAGGGGAAACCGACCTTACAATCGGAGGATGGGGCATTAAATGCAGAAAGGCAGAAGTCCTGATCACAAGTGACCGATTTTGCTGTGCTGGAGGACTTCATGTCATAAAGCGTCAAGTCTATCTGCCACCAATCAACAGAGGCACCAAAATACCCAATGAAAATAGGAAAGATTGAGCGAATGAGCTGAAAACGTGACATAAAACTGCTTGATCATTGGTCAAAGTGTCGAATAAATAGCTAAAACACGTCGACTTACTCCAAGACTGCTTTTCTTCGGACACTTGTCACAGCCAACACAATTTACCCAGAGAATGTCACTTCCCGTGTCCACCTGTACATAGTAATCCTGAGGAGGAGTCCCGATCGAAAGCTTAGTAAAATAAAGCCTGTTCCATCAGATCAAAAATGTAAATAAATGCAACTTGCAAAGTTCAGGTATAGAGTAATATCGACGGCACCTCCACCGCTCTATAAAGTAAAAACTCATTGGCTCAAATCTTTATAGGTTGTTTTCAAATAAAAAATAGAAACCTAGGACGGGCTGAGAGAACTGAAATTTTAAGTACCCAGACATCAAGGGTTGAGAAGTTAACTGCCTCTTTGTCCATACATATACATCAGGAATAAGACTCAAAAACCATAAAACCTAGACTTCATAGACTGAGAAAAAAGTCAGAATTCGAGCTAATCGACAAGCTTATAAGATGTCGCATACAAAGGAAACAAACTGTTATTGAAACTCAAGTTACAGAAGCAAAAGGAACAAGCAATTCCATGGAAAGAACCAAAGTTCACCGGTGCATGAGACCAAAAATACAATTCACAACTAAAAATGACATCACCGTGCCCAAAAACAAGTATATCATCCAATGATCAAACTTAAGTTGGAACCTGCGATGTAAAGGAAAACTTTAGTTCCCATCCCAACAAAACGTAGTCCAATCATATCCCCATCTTGAAAACCCAAGACAAACACAATCCTGAAACAGACCAAAATTTCAATTCTATTTCCATAACATCCTTGTAAAAGAACTGCAGATCAAATTGCAACTGCCCAAGCACATTCACCACATTCAGAAAACTTATAAACAGCAGGAATAACAGCCAAGCTGCAGACAATTACTCTTATCAGACTGGATCTGAACATGTAAATTTGATTACATGAGAAAACCAAAGATCATATCACAAGAAATCAATCCCAAGAACAAAATCAAAAACCCATAAAGGAAAAAACAAATTAAAATCACGTAAAACATTTAAAAGCATCAAAGCCAAACCAAAAAAAAAAAAACATTTGCACAAAACGCAAGCGTAACTATAGAGGCATTAGCTGGATAAAAAGAACTAACGCTGCATCTGTAGGAGAGCCGTTTCCACCCAAAGGGAGGTCAATGGCGGCAAGCATCCTTCCATGGCGATAGTTATCATGTGCCTTAAGTGAAGTTAACAGAGACCCATCTCTTCCATTGCCACCGTTTGACCCTTTAAACTTATGTTGCACCTCAAAAACAACCTTTTCATTCCCTTTTACCACCGAAACACCTACATTTAAAACCAATATAGCCAACAAGGCTACCACAACCACCGACCCTTTTCTCCTAATTAGATCCGCAACCATATTAAAACAGAATTCCTGGAAATCCCAGTAATTGACCAATTACTTATCACAAAAGAAACCCAAAAAAAAAAAAAAAACAAAGACATGCACTAAGGAAGCTCAAATTTCAGAAAGGTACCATCAAGAATTGATTTTCATGAGGTGAAACGGTCCAAAGACTGGATTTTTATGAGGAAGATTAATGAAAAAGAATATGGCAGAGGAAAATTTCTGGAATGAATTGGCAAATTGAGGGAGGAAAGAAAAAAAGGAAAAACAGGGCAGGCTGGCTGGGCTAAAGCCTCAAAAAAGGGTCGGTGAGGAACCGATGCAAATAACACGATGTTCCTAATGGGGACCGAAGACAGGGTCTCTCATCACACGGGGAGGGAGTTTTGAGAAAAACAAAAAAACGTAGACAAAAGGGAAAAAAACCGAACCGAAATGTGAAAAGAAGATAAATTCAACGGCTAAGAAAAGGAAAATGTATACTGTTAATAAATTCGCAGTTTTTATTGTGTCATTCTGTTTGTTCTCTTCCTCTTTGAGGGTGTGGATTTTTTACTAGGTAGCAGTTTCCTCAAGTTCTCCCAACGTTTGTCCAACACTCAAAGTCATGTTTTTTTAATAAAGAAAAACAAAATTAGTTTCTTTTAATGGATTTAGATACAACCGATTGAGTATTGATTGGTTTTGAGTGTATTTTTGTTGCCAAGTTTCTTCCCAAAGTTGTCCAACAAGTAAAGTTTTCCAATGGAAGATGGATATTTCAAAATTATTCCAATCAATACATTTTATACTGTGATTCTGTGAATTATATCGATATGTAGTAGATTTGATACTGATTAGAAAAATATGATCAACGGTTTGAATTATTGACAAAACCATAACATTTCGAAATGGAAAATATTTCTTTTTAGCAAAGAAATTGCAAATGTATCTGATCAAAACATCACCCATTGAGATTAATGTTAGTGATTAAAAAGATATCACAAATTATTTCATCAATCAGTGATTTATTTTGTTGGATCATTCAGTTCAAAATGGCACATGAAATAATTGATATGATCAATCAATGTTAACAACACTTCGTGTTGTAAACAAGAATGTAAAAACAAAATGGCTAACATCAAGAAAAAGGCAAGAAAATTGTAAAACACAACATCAATATCAGTAAGAAGGGATAGGGATACAAATTTTGGAAATGAGGAGGAAATGACGCGTTTTTTAATATTATCCAAAATCTTAACCGATTGCATGTATTTATTCCTTCAAAACTCAAAAGTGTAGTTCATTTTGCATCTTTGTTTGTGTGGGCCCACATTCTATATTTGGCAATTAAGCTTATGAGGCTTTGCAAAATGCAGACTTCACATTATTGTTTTTTTATTACTCATTTAAGCCTCTTAATTAAAGTTAATTAAAGGTTTTACGTTAAGTACATGTGTACATGAATTGTCTTTCTAGTTTCTAGTGGATATTTTCTTTTTAGTCCATCTATTTCCTATTTTATCATTAAGTACAAATTAAATTCTGATTCTCGTTTTCCAGTACTCTCTTTGTCTCGAAATAATTGAAAACGTACTAAAAATATAAACCGCACGCAAAACATTTCTGGATTGGAAAAGTACTCTTGAGACAAATGGTCAAATTGAATGGCATTTTGACTTCTTATGCTATGTTTTATAATTTATTTTCGTGCCGTACTTTGACAAACTCCGTTGGTTTCAAACTTTCAATCAATCACACATTAAACTTTCCGATGACGTACGTCAATGCTTAGGAGTCTTTTGTTTATTAGGATTTGACTTCTTCTATTACGCTCTTTCCAATGAATTTTAAAGAATGAAAGTTGTATCAATCCAACTAATTATAAGATTTAGATAGATCCAAAATTTAAACAACCAAAAAAAATATAAAAACACGTAGATCTTAACGTAATAGTCTTTCCATATCAAGTTAATGATATCTGCCTGTTATAAAAGTTTTGGGTTTACATTTGTGGTTCCTACGAAGAGAAGCACTCCACACACACAAAAACCAGTACATAAGCAAGTACGAGGAAACATGCAACAATCAGTGGGGGGTTTTTATAAGTGGATAAGGCAATTCGAATTAATGATCAGGGAATTTTGGTGGATCGGACATCGAGCCGTCGTGTCGTGGTTAGTCATTGAAGTATCCGAAAATAGTGAGAGCTCTTTTCGTAGACTTAGGCTATGTTGGTCCCTTTTTTGGTTAATTTTTTCAGAAAGTTTAATTAATATCTATTCCATCTCAACATACATTTTTACATTCCTTATGCACCTTTTTACATTTTCAATCCGTCTTTTTACGTTCTCAAAAAAAAAAACACACTCAAAAAACCTTCCATGCATAGCCTTAGAGTTTCTTGTGTTTTTCCATTTCAGAACTATTCACAAGTTGCAATGGGAATTATTTTTTATGAGATGAAGGGAATATTATTTTAACGTTTTGCATAAGAAAAAAACATCAAATTATTAGGACTAAGAAGTAATCCAGATATTGTCCGCACGTTGGATGGGAAGTCGCGCTCAACCATTTTCAGGCAATGGCACATTGAAGGCTTTTCACAGTATCGGCTGAAGGGATGTAATAAATCTGCACTACAGCCAACAACTAGGAAGCATATTGCCCCGATGAATGTTCCTCAGCATGAATGCCAACAGATTTGTTTGAATGTCTGCTAAATTTGGGTTACAGCACAACTTAGGTCAGTTTATGCAGTACACATTCCTTAGAGGATTCTACTAGATCTACAAAGGGAATGTCATGATGAGAGTAGGCTCCGCTAGCAAGCTTCTGAAATCTGTTTCCGCGCTCACAGAGTAGGCGCAGAAAGAGATGTTATTCATGGTGTCAACAATTTTTCTTTTTTTCCTGATCACAAAAATGTTGGGAAATGGCAATGGCAATGGCTTACAGCAGGATAAAATTTACCATTCATCATATAAACTATAATTCCACCCCCGCTTTCGTTCCATCTCACCACAGACATTCATAAGCAAAAACCCTACATGTAAATCTTGACAAAACACTATGATACGAAGTGATCTTAATTTCCTTATCCACTATCAAGGAGAGCAAGTATTCGAGTTACTATAATACAATACAACATGATTTAGAATGTCCTACTAAGTTGGATTACAGAAATAAGCATGAGTGTTAATAATAGGATCTCAGTCTGCCAGATTTAGTAGATTTGCTCCATTACCAATATGAACAGGTTATACAATGGACAAAGAATATTTAACTGTTTCTCACAGTTTCAATAGCAGCCACTAAGTCGTCAAATTTGGCCCCGGTAACTTCTTTCACAACTTTGTTATCTTTCAGGATCTTAAAGGTGGGAACCACTCTTATGCCAAGCTCTTTTGCCAACGGCTGTAAGATTTATAACATTGTAAGTAAATATTCATATAAATTCCAAGGATTTTAGTTAAGCACACAGAGATTCTGAGGTTCAAAATCATAAATAGGAAGTACGTACCTTGTTTTCTTGGTTGCAATCTAGCTTGAGGAAGACAACATCGAGATATTTTTGCGACAATTCCTGGAACTTTGGAGCTATTATCTTGCAAGGGCCACACCTGGACAATATAGAATTCAGTTTGTTTCAAATATCTCTTTGTTTTGTATGCAACGAGCACTAAAGAGGAGTAATACTCTAAGCAAATCATATATTGAGATGACTCGGGGAACAATGCGTATGTACAAAATAATATAGCACGCTCCTTAAAACATGTACCATGATGAGAAACGATTATGTCTTATCAACAATTGCATCGTTTTATTTACACGTGCATGAATTCATTGCAGTATCATTACTCAGTGTTACTCGTGAACCGATATGTTAACAAAGAGCTGGACTAAAGGATTTTTTGATCCAGTCACTACTTTAAGTACGTACTTATAACCATGTAGATGGAACATAGAAGTAGAGAGAAAGCAGACATTATATCAGGACTAGTAAATATCACCATTATCAGGCCTGCCATTGAAATTTTTAGCATGCTTCGTTAATCATCAATCCATCAAGCAAACCAAAAAAGCAACACAAGTACTTGACAAGAAGTAAATACAATTTCTCATAACGTGGCATTGCTAAGTGGTTAAATATGCAACAGAAGTTCGAGAAATGATCAAGAATTATGCGCATACCATCAAGGGCAACAATTTGTGCTGTTTCGGGTCTCTGGATAGGGGCTGTGACTCTATATACAAACAACAATAAGCAGAATCTCAGTTGCTTAATTATTTGCTTCAAAACTTAACCTGATCAAGCTTTCCTTTTCTTCTAATTACAAACATATTAGCAACCCTTAGCTGACTGGCTTCAATTCAACTCATATATAAAGAAATTACTGCAAACTAGCCGCCAAATCCCAATCTCGAGGAAACAAACACACCAACAAATGCAGAGGAATCCTAAACAATTTTGATTAAGGGTATAGAAGCTAAAAATTAACAGAATTTCTTCCAAAGTTTATCTACTGTAATGTAATTGCAGATGAAGATTAAAAGATCAGCAGAACCGTAAGCAGCGTTTTCAATTATAAGACGGTTATTAAACCAAAGTTATTGCAAAATTACCATTGGGTATACATGTCGAGGACCACAGTCTTATCTCCAGCAGCTTTGACAATTGGCCAAAAGGTGTCCTTACAAACTTCCGTCACCTGGCCCACCACCGCAACGGCGGAAGTATCCGCCGTAGCATCCAAGCTGGACCTCACTTTCAAGGACAGTCTCCTGGAGCTTCCGCCGACAAACGACGCCCGATCACCGGAAACGCAGACCATAGGCTGCTTGGTGGACCACGGAAGTGAATTAGGGTTAGGGTGAGCAGCCATGGGAGTTCCCCTGTAAACTTGAACTTGCAGAGCCATAATTCTAAGTTAGTAGAGCAATATGGAACTAAATGTATATGTTCGGAAAATGAGGTTGGTGCGGCTGAGGACGGCGGCGGAGGGGAGGCGGAGCTTGGAGAGTGAAGCTGGTAAGTGGCGGAGGCAGTTTTATAAGGAATGATGAGTGGGCGGAGAATTTCGGATCTTTTAATTTGGGCTTGCGAAATGACTTTATTATACTAGAGATATTTAACATCTTTTTGGAATATGCTAGGGGAATTTGGTAATTTCGGAATTGAATATTTGTGGCTGACCATGCTTTTGTAAAATTGCATTATATATATTTTTTAGACAAAAGAAAATCAGATGATTGGACGGTCCACCAGGATTTAGATTTTGAGCAGCGGATGTTCACATATTTTCTTCATTTGACTAGTTTTCTTCCCTTTAAAATCGAAAAAATAGAATATATATGGATTTATAACTATGGATTTATAACACAAAATGACGAGGAAGGATACCGGTTTTCATTTTCTTTTTTGAAATTGGAAAGATACGAATTAGTATAAGAAAGATCTTTTGAAACACATTGGATTGAAAACGATTTTACTTTATACTAAAAAAAAGAAAATGATTTTACAAGGTAAACTTTCGAATATTTCATGGAATTATATTGAGAACCCTTCCTTTAATATACATGGCCGCTATTGATAATATGTAGACGGTAGATATACTAACATTGTAAAATTTATGTATGGAAAAGGTATAAATGTTGGTTATTCATATCAAAAATACCAAAAACACTAATTAAAAAAAAAAAGCAAATTACTCTAAAGTTTTTTTTGGGTAAAAATGTAAATTTATATTCACAAAGTCACTAAAATGGCAATGAAGTTCATCAAACCTACATCTCACTTCTATTTGTTACAAAACTGCTGATGGTAGTAACCATCTCAACATCCTGTTATTTCACAACTAGACAGAAAGATAAAACATATATACAACTCAACTGCTAAATTAATCAGGAAAGTAATGCTACAAAATCTGACTTTCAACTCTGGTTTGCTTTCTTCTCTGACATTTCAAAAACCTGCATTTCAACTCTCTTTAGATTACCAACAGCAACTCATCCGTTTTCTTCTCTTTGTCTGTGAAATACCTCCTGTTGCGTTCTTCCCACAACTGATAAACACATGCCATCATAGCTGCCAACAGAATCTGTCTCTTGAGCTTAACTTGTGCCACACCTTCAACAATTGAGCCTTTTTATCTGGTTTCCAATACTGAAATATTGCTAAAAACAAGCCAGTTCACCACAAAGTTCAATAGGTTTTTAGAGTAAACACATTCAAAGAACAAATGAACTCCTGTTTTAAAAACATGTTCACAAAGTAGACAGTTCAAATCCAATATCACCATATGCACAGAGATTGTTAGCAAAAGAACCCTTTGGGTTATAAGGAAGAGATCTTTTAAGTGATAGGTTTAGGAAGTGAAAATGGAAGAGAAGGAAATTTTGGGAGAAAGGGAGCTTTACTACTTTGTAGTAAAAGGAAACAAGGTGGAGTGTGTTAAGCTTTTAGTTTAAGATTTCTCACAACTCTCTACACATACTTACATTAGGGGGTTAACTCCTATTTATAGGAGTGCATGGAAGGTTCTACACTCTTTCAAGATGTTTCTACTCCTTCTAAATATCTACATATTTTATTCTAATATCTAGACTTTTCCTTACTAATATCTAGATATTTCTTCTAGATATTTTCCATGAATTTTTCTACATACTCTTGATATTTATGTAGAACATTTCTAGAACTTTCTACTTCTAGATATCTTCTTATCTAGACAATTCTTCATTGGACTTGGGCTTAGGATTAAACATAAAGATTCATGGTCCAAGTTAATAATTTTGGATAACCCAATATTAATTGGACCAAATTAAGTTTACTTACTAACACCCCCCTTTAAACTTGATTTGGTGACTCCAAGCATCATCCTCAATCTTGCAAAGTCTTCTCCTTTGAGTGGTTTGGTGAAAATATCCGCAACTTGATCACGTGATCTTGTATGCTTCAACTCAACGATCCTCTTGGCCACACATTCCCTTATGAAGTGGTACCTTGTATCAATATGCTTGCTTCGATCATGGTAGACTGGATTCTTTGCCGGATCGATGGTGACTTGTTGTCAACATATATCTCTGTCGCCTCTCCTTGTGGCATACTTAACTCCTTCAACATGCTCCCGAGCCGGATAGCATGACATACACATGATACTGCTGCTACGTACTCGGCCTCGCATGATGACAAGGTGACTATAGGTTGTTTCTTAGAAACCCATGTAAAGGCTGTGTTGCCAAGGAAGAATGCGAATCCAAGTGAGTACTTTTCTGTTCGCTCAAGTCTCCGGACTAGTCACTATCACTGAATCCCACAAGCTTGAAGTCATCACATGAGGAATATAACAAGCCAAGATCAATAGTACCTTTGATGTAGCGAAGTATCCTCTTGGCAGCCTTCAAGTGTGTCGTAGTAGGTGCTTCCATAAATCGACTGATAAGTCCCACAGCAAAGAGAATATCAGGCCTTGTGCATGTTAAATAATGTAGGCTTCCAACAAGGCTCTTGAAGTGAGTTGGATCTACAACATCTCCTTCATCATCTTTTGAGAGCTTTGCTCCATATTCAATGGGGGTGGCTATTGGCTTGCACTTCTCCATGCCAAATTTCTTAAGAAGTTCCTTAGCGTATCTTTGTTGAGAGATGAAGATTCCATCATCCAATTGCTTGACCTCGATACCAAGATAATAGGATATAAGTCCTATATCAGTCATCTCAAACTCTTTAGTCATTGCCTTCTTGAAATCTTTGATCATGCTAGGCGAATTTCCTGTGAAGATGAGATCATCCACGTACAAACAAACAAGCAACATATCTCTATTGCCTGAAAACTTCACATAGAGTGCATGTTCACTTGGACATTTCTTGAAACCATTTTCCTGAAAATAGTGATCAATTCTTGTATTCCAGGCTCTTGGTGCTTGTTTCAAACCATATAAAGCCTTCCTTAGCCTGAGAACTTTATTCTCATCGCCTTTGACCACATATCCTTCTGGCTGCTCCACATATATTTCTTCTTCAAGAAAGCCATTTAAGAATGCAGACTTTACGTCCATTTGATGGATTTTCCATCTATTTTGGGCAGCAATAGAAATTACTAACTCGATAGTCTCAAGCGAGCAACGGAGCAAATACCTCTTCGTAGTCAATGCCATGTCTCTGCTTGTAGCCTTTGGCGACAAGTCTTGCTTTGTACTTCTCAACTTCTCCTTTAGCGTTCTTCTTTGCTTTGAACACCCACTTTACTCCAATTGCTTTGTGGCCTTTTGGAAGAGAGGCTAGCTCCCAAGTTTGATTCTTTTCTATGGATCTTATTTCCTCATCCATAGCGTGTCTCCACTTCTCATTCCTTGCTGCCTCTTCATAACCTAGAGGTTCACAGTCAGCAAAAAGGCAGAAGAGTGTGAGAGCCTCTATGCGTTCTGTTTCCTCATAGATCTCTTGTAGGCTTCTCGTCCTTTGTGACTCTTCATTCAAAGGTGAATGTGGACTTTGAGGTTGTTGAGTATCTTCACCTGCATCACTACTGTCATCATCGTATTCATGGATGACAGGAAGGAAGTCGTAGCTTTCGTCACCTTCAATATTCCAGTTCTGTGTTCCTTTTTCATCAAACTCTACATCTCTACTCACAATAACTTTGTTCGTGACTGGATTGTAGAGCTTATAACCTTTTGACTGTTTGTCATAGCCAACAAAGACATGCTTCTCGCTTCGATCATCAAGTTTGGACCGCTTTTGGCTTGGTACATGGGCATATGCTATACTCCCAAATACTCGTAGGTGATTTCTGTGGGCTTTGTCCCATTCCATGCTTCTTGTGGAGTCTTGTCTTCTAGACTCTTCGTGGGACATCGATTTAGTAGGTATCTTGCACAATCAACTGCTTGACCCATAACTCCTTTGGCATCTTCTTGCTCTTTAGCATGCTACGAAACATATTGAGAATGGTTCTATTCTTCCTTTCAGCAACTCCATTTTGTTGCGGAGAGTAAGGAGCGATGAGGAATCGTCTAATCCCATGTTCTTCACGAATTTGGTGAATTCACTTGATGTGAATTCTCCACCTCTATCGACTTTAAGGCTTTGATTTTCAAGCCTTTCTCCTTCTCCACCACAGCCTTAAATGTCTTAAAGGCATCAAAGGATTGTGATTTCTCCTTCAAAAATACACCCAAGTCTTTCGAGAGAAATCATCAATAAATAGAATGAAGTAGGTGTTCTTACCATGGGATGGCGGAGAGATAGGACCACACAAGTCTGTATGGATGAGTTCTAAAGGCTCCTTAGCTCTTGATGTTGCTTCTTTTGGGAAAGCACTCTCGAATGCTTCCCAAGTAAGCATCCTTCACATACTTGATTGGGCTGATTGATAGGAGGTATTCCTTTCACCATGCATTTGCGATAACATTTTCAAGTCACCAAAATTTAAATGACCATACCTCATGTGCCAAATCCACGAATCATCCTTCAAGCATGCTTTCATGCAGTTCTCATGTTGAATGTTCATCAAGAACATTCTATTACTTGTCATTGGCACAATGGTAATCAATTTTCCTTCTGGATCCTTAACTATGGCACTACGATCTTTCAAATGAATATCGTAATTTTTCTCCAGAAGTTGTCCCAAGCTCAAGATATTACTCTTAAGACTTGGAACATAATAAACTTCTGAGATGTATTGGTGACTTCCATCTTTAGCAAGGATTAGTATCTTACCTTTGCCTTCAACCCTTGCTCTAGAATCATCTCCAAACATCACGCACCCTTTGGCTGGTTCCATGTCTACAAACAACCTTTTTCCCAGTCATGTGGTTACTCGCAATGAGTCAAGATACCACGTCTTCTTCTCTCCTTCGTCCTCGTGTCTTGCCATTAAGAGAGTGAGTTGAACTTCATCTTTAACCTCCATAAGATTGGCTTTCTCTTTTACTTGACTAGAATTCCTACACTCACTTGCATAGTGACCATATTCTGCAATTAAAGCATTGGATTCGAGATTTACCTCCTTTCTGAAACTTCATACCTCTTCCACGACCTCTTGTAGATTGAGAACCTTTGTTATTGTCATCCTTGGTGGATTGAACGTAGCCACCTCGAGTCCTTCCTCGTCCACGTCCTTGACATCCACTATTGCCTCGTCCAAGGCCTCTGCCACGTCCAAAGCCTCCATCTCTTTCTTTGAAAGAGAGTTTTGTGTAGAGAGCTTGCTCCAAAGATTCTTTGGGCCTTCTCTTCTTTAGTTTCTCTTCATGGGCTACTAAAGTACCCATGAGTTGATCAATGGTCATAGAGTCAAGATCTTTTGACTCCTCTATTGCTACCACAATATAATCAAAGCTTGGTGTCAAAGAGCGAAGAATTTTTTCTATCACTCTTGTGTCACTCAAGCTTTCTCCATTCCTCTTCATCTCATTTGACACTTTCAAGACACGAGAACAATAATCCGAAACAAATTCGGACTCCTCCATTTGTAAAGCTTCAAATTCTCCTCTAAGAGTTTGAAGACGTACCTTTTTAACCTTCTCAATGCCTCTATTAGCATTCTCTAGAATATCCCAAGCCTCCTTTGATGTAGAAGCATTTGCCACCTTCTCGAACATGGAATCATCTAGACATTGATGGATAAGTGAAAGAGCTTGTTGATCCTTTCTCCTTGCTTTGTTGAGTTCCCCCTTTGGGCGGGAGTCAAAGAAGCCTCATCTAGAGGTTTCTCATAACCTTTCTCAACAATCTCCCAAACCTCGTGAGAGCCTAAGATCGCCTTCATTCGAATGGACCACTTACCATAGTTTTCTTTGGTAAGTTGAGGGAATGGAAAGAGATCATTCCATTTGCCATCTTACTTCAAAGTGGACCAACACCACTCGATACCATTTGTTAGCAAAAGAACCCTTTGGGTTATAAGGAAGAGATCTTTTAAGTGATAGGTTTAGGAAGTGAAAATGGAAGAGAAGGAAATTTTGGGAGAAAGGGAGCTTTACTACTTTGTAGTAAAAGGAAACAAGGTGGAGTGTGTTAAGCTTTTAGTTTAAGATTTCTCACAACTCTCTACACATACTTACATTAGGGGGTTAACTCCTATTTATAGGAGTGCATGGAAGGTTCTACACTCTTTCAAGATGTTTCTACTCCTTCTAAATATCTACATATTTTATTCTAATATCTAGACTTTTCCTTACTAATATCTAGATATTTCTTCTAGATATTTTCCATGAATTTTTCTACATACTCTTGATATTTATGTAGAACATTTCTAGAACTTTCTACTTCTAGATATCTTCTTATCTAGACAATTCTTCATTGGACTTGGGCTTAGGATTAAACATAAAGATTCATGGTCCAAGTTAATAATTTTGGATAACCCAATATTAATTGGACCAAATTAAGTTTACTTACTAACAGAGATCAACCTGTCTTTTTATAAGCAATCTGTTCTCCATCTCAACCGAGCGATAAAAGCGTGTTTACAGATATTTCTGCTGGCCCAAATACACTGAGTTTTCGGGATTCTATTTCTACCATCCGTAAGCCATTAGTAGCCAGAGCTGATGGTATACTTACCATTACAATTAGCCTTCCATCTGCAAATATCAAACTCCTCTCTGAACTAATCTCGGAGCTTTAACAATTGCTTCCATTGCTAGCTCAAGTCGTTTTTCGCCTGCACGTAAAGCTAAAAGAAGCTACTCCATAAATATGGTGTAACTATGACTTGATTATTAAGAGAGTAGGTTCATTTTGATAGACAAAATTTCATCAGCCAAAGGGAAAAGAAAATTAAACACAAAATTGGTTTCTGTGTAACCATATTCCCCTTTCTAATTAACCCTCAACTTGAGTACTCTATATACACCAAAATGCAAGAACTGTTTATATTATTACATTTTAACTTACTATACGTTATATTATGGATTTCCTGAACATTGCTTATGCTTGCCTTAATACTATTGTACCTTGGAAAAGAGCGCCTTACTATTATGAGCATGGGATCACAAAATTGACTTCTCTAACTATAATTTGCAATATGCGTGTTTCTAATGAAGATGTGTAAGGATTTTTTTTTTTTTTTGTGCATATTGTAGGGTGTTTACTGTCGGCAACCGTGATTAATCTTCCTCACTCATGGTAGACACCTCGATGAGTAAGAAAACTGACAAAATGATTAAAGGTTGTTCCATACTCATGACGAGGTTTGAATTCTCGACCTGTGGTTAAGGGTGGAGAAGTCGGGTAAGGATTCACTAGTCAAAGGACCGCAATTGGATACGACCATAGCCCACAGGAGACATGAATGCGGGCTAATGTGAAAAAACGGAAAAAATCGTATGTTGTTTCATTGGATACTAGTGGGTAGCCCAACCTCGGAGCTACGCAAAAGAAGGCCAAATTTTTTTTTTTTTTTTTGTCTCGGTATTGTGCAAAAAATCTCCTACTGGAAATATGAACACACTTAAAATGAATATGGAAACTAATCAAATTATCACCACTGGAGATGAATTATGATGCATGAAAATAATTTCATATCACGTAAGATTATAAAGATAATTAACATTTGATTTCCTCACAAATAGGAACTTCCACAACACCATAACACTTACTTATCTAAGACAAACTTCAATTCACTTGGCTTATTGTTTAGTAAAATCTGTAATTTTTTCCCGTTTTTTTTTTTGGGGATGATTGATTTGTAATTTCTAGCGTGAGAAAAGAAGAACACAACGTCAAGAGTGCAACCTGTACAACACAGAACACTGTATAAGGATTTGCCCTTTTAGCAGCCGGTCTTCGCCTCTGTATACATTAAAGGAGGAGGAAGCGGTGCGTAATGTAACTGGGCCATATCACTCACGCGCCCAAGAACTTAACCCTGTGGGTTCGCGGACCCCACATCCGAACTAGAGATTACTTGTCCGGATCAGATTAGATCAGCGGCCTCTGCTCTCTCCCAGAGTCTCCAGTGGATATCCTAACTCCCCACACTTTAAACACACTTCGCCAACCAAAACGGCGCCGTACCCGAAAACACGCCCTCACACACTTATTATATCATTCCCTCAAAACTGGCTGTTCTCTTTCTCACACTTTTGGCATTGGTTTCATCGACTGTGTCGTTGGTCTCTTCATCTCTGGGCGGATTCCCCAACACACACACACACACACACACACATTTCTCTTCACTTTCTCTTTCTATAAAGAACTCCCCCACTTCCAATTCCTTCAGCTTTTTTCCTTCTGATTTTTATACTTTTTAGCCGGAGGGGGCCGCCAATCTGTTGTTGTTGTTGTTAATCTTGGAAATGGCGACGGCGTTTGGAACAGCTGCCACATCTTCAGCTGCGTCGTCCGTGGCGGCCAACATTTCCCCTAATTCCTCCCCCAATTTGCCTCTCTGCCCCCGCCATTCTCACTCCAAGGTCACCTTCCGCCTCTCTTCCAAGCCCAAGCTCCGTTTCTCCTCTACCAAGGTATTCTCTCTCTCCCCTCTCTTTCTGTGTAATATTTGTAATTGTTTTCAGCGATCGCGAGCTGTTCTGTTTGTTGATGTGTGATGGATCTTATCTGCTCTTAGTCCTGTTTGCCAACGTTTTCAAATAATGTTGTCCCATGCAAGATCGGTCATTTCATGTCTGCTTTCCTAGTTTGGATTATTGCTCCTTCGGATCTCCGTTCTTTTATTGCATTCCTAATCAATGCAATCTCAGTTGAAACGTTGAAATGTGGAATGTTATTTCAACTGCTTCTTTTGGGGAAATTGAGGTTAAATGTGTCAGGAGTGGAAATATGGTCAAAATTAGGTGCAATGCTGATTAGTGTTTGCTGGAGAATTGAAATTTCAATTGTATTTACTGGCAAAGTAATTTGGGTTTTGAGTTGCATTTTTCGGTTGTACTGCTCTTTATGGTTGCAGTGAGATAATCTAATTTTCTGAGGTTCTTTGCACTAGTAGAGATTATTGCCTCTGTCTGACTAGAATCATGAGCCTGAGGGGGTATGGTTTGTTAGTTTTAGATATTCCTCACACCATGTCCATGAAAGCCCAAAGTCCAAACCCTTTATTTTATTTTACTTTCTTATTTGGAATCCTTGAAATGAACAGCAGTTTTGTTGCTGATGGCCTTTTTAAATTATGTCATATCTTTGGATAGGCCGAGCATGATGATGCGAACATATGATCCATACTGTCAAACATGCATAGTAGAATAAGGACTTCTTGTTGTTTTCGGACCAGGGTTTGCTTTGATACCAGTATACAAGTTCACTATTTTTAAACATGTCAGGAGGCAGTATTCTCTTGGCTCTTTGTCCTATTAAATTTAGCAGCATTACACGCTTTTGAATCCCAAATAGTGCATTTTTTTGCAATGAACCAAAAGAAATGAAAAGAAATTACACACATTGATTGGGTATATCTTCGTTGGAAATGATCTGATGCAAATTAAAGCTTCTGAATTACTTCTGTTAGGTTTATATAGTTCTCCTCTTCAATCAATTTACTCGAACAGTGTTGACTTTTGCCTGTTGGTTTAACACCCATGTTGTAGGGTTGGCAGTCCAGTTGGAATCGCTCTGCTGTTGTGAGAGCCCAATCAAATGAGGTAAGCTATCTTCAATCGTTTTCACTCGAGGAACTTTTTTCAAATTTTCATTCCTTTGTGAACTCGCTTCTGGGGTCTTCTGTTTCCTTCAAGGTCGCTGTGGATGGTGCCAAGGCCAATGCTCCTGCCAAGTCAGCTGAAGTTAAGGATCCGAAGCCTTCCAGTGAGCCTGCCCCTGTTGCTACAGAAGAATCAATCTCAGAATTCATGACTCAAGTTGCTAGCCTTGTGAAGTATACCGAGTCCCAAACTTTTTCATTGTTGCTGCACTTTACCTTGTAAATAAGAACGAATGGCTTGTCTTTCATGCAGACTAGTTGACTCCAGGGATATTGTGGAACTACAATTAAAACAATTGGACTGCGAGCTCTTAATTCGGAAGAAAGAAGCTCTGGCTCCCCCACCATCTCCTGCTCCAATTATGATGGCACCATCTCATTATCCACAACATGCCCCACCAATTGCTGCTGCACCTCCACCCGCCCCTGCATCCGCCTCTGCACCTGCACCAGCAGCAGCACCCGTGCCAGCAGCAGCTCCTGCTGCCAAGCCAGCCAAATCTTCTCTTCCAGCACTTAAATGCCCCATGGCAGGTACATTCTATCGTAGTCCAGGACCTGGTGAACCTCCTTTTGTTAAGGTAATGTCTTCTGTTTTTAAAGTAGTTCTACACATAACTGAAATTTCTATGTCCCAGACATATTGGTTGTTCTGGCAATGGCTAGATTAATGGTCCTTTTGTGCAGGTTGGAGACAAAGTGAAGAAGGGACAAGTTCTTTGCATTGTTGAGGCGATGAAATTGATGAATGAAATAGAAGTAAGCATTTCTTATTTTTTCTCATGAACTTGCTTCTGATCTGGTGACGCTACTATTCTTGCTCTGTGTTTATTTGTTGATTTTTGTTTTGTTATGTTTGGATATATCCTCTAACAATGCACAAAGCCATATTTATCTAAGATACTTTTATCAGACATGAATAGAAGATTGTCATAACTCAGAGATGAATAGGCTTTAGAAGATTGTCACAATATAAGGCTGAACAGTTCATTTAACAGTCACTCCTGTACCATGTAGGCCTTTTCTATACTCCATCTGTCCCAAAATGATTGACCACTTTAGGGTTCTCACTTTTAGTATAGTTTCAACTAAAAATGGAATTCAAATTGTACAATCATTTTGGGACAGAGGAAGGAGTATTAGTTTTTTTTTTTCACTCAATGAGATAGTTTTCCGTCGCAAAGTTAGCGAGGCCAAGATGGAGGGCCTTTTTCCTTCAGCCTTCCACGGTTCCACCTTTTCGTGGTTAAGTTTCTAAAAGGTTATCATCTGGATCATTAATGGAAACAACAGGAAAAAATTACCAAATGATGTTGAAGTCAATTTGCATGTGTCTGAGACTACTGGGATTCAACTTGTGACGTCCTTAACATACAGGGTTAAACGGATTTGCTGTTGCCCGCTTCCTGGTCCCAATTCTCAACTTTTCTGAAATAACCTCTTACTTGTGCAACCAATCAAGAAGTGTTAAAGAAACATACTTGACCTAACCGTAGCTGATCGTATGTGCTACATTTCTGATGCATAGAGGGAAAGATTAAGATCTCAGATGATGATAGAAGAATTAGATCCAAGATGAAAATATATTTCTTCATCAAATTGTGATTTTCTTTTTTTTCTTTTTTTCTTTTTTTCCCCCTTTCTACTATTTAGCATGCCAATAAGAGAAATTTTGACCTTCCCAAGTGGAAGTGCAGATATACTGGAGAGGGAAGTGATATCTACTAGAATTTTGCTCTTTGAATGAAGTTCGCTCATCTTATTCTGTTCTCTGCAGGCTGATCAAACGGGGACAATAATTGATGTACTTGCAGAAGATGGCAAGCCTGTTAGCATCGACACTGTGAGTTTCTTAATACTGATATGTAGATTAATGACTCTTACAATTTTACTATCATTTTATCATGTTCTTACAAAACTTTTTCTTTTTATGTACAGCCACTCTTTGTGATTCAACCATAGAGGCTACCTGGGAGAGCTGCTGTAAAATCTTAAGCCGGAGATTAGGGAAGTGTGCTGTAAACTTGTGGGAGAGAAGCAGGGTTGTTTTTTGAAGACGCTACTTAGTTGGAAAGAGATAGTACTTAGATGTGGAAATTTATGAGCCATTGATAAAAATGTTTCATCAATGTTACAGTTTTTCAGCCAAGCGCGTTCTTTTAGACTCTGTTATTACCATTGACAAATAAAACTGGTGTTATTTTTGCCTTCAATATGATTTGAGAAACTTTTTGATAGATGTCTTTTCGAACATTTTTGCAACTAGATCACTATCATTTGGCCCTCCATCTTCTTTTCAACAAGTGATCCATGAAATTTTTGTCTGCACAGTTGCCTTTTCTCTTGGATTCGGTGGGTGTATAAACACAACATAAGCAACTGATGACATTCCGTGGCCAAGCTATTCCAGCTTTCCAAGTTCCACCAGTTGTGGAGCTTTTTATACAATTAAGCTAAATTTCATCGTTATTTGGTATCCATTGACATCAAAGACAATCAAGTAAGCAATGCCTGATGGCAGCCACCTGCAGGTGGCAATGTTTACAGATAACCTGACAACCGGCCAGGCGGCGACAGTAGCTATGACGAAGTGTGAGGGGGAGAGGACACAGTAATCATAGTTGGGGGAGTGTATGTAGGCTGATTTCGATATTTAATTTTGTTTGGAAGAGCAGGTGCCATGGCTCTGCACGATATAAAAATTCAGTAAAGAGGGGTGAAATTAATTTTAAAAGACAAATTGTTATCTAGGTATTTAGAATAGTCGTGGATAGTTTAGTTCATTTTGTGTTACAGTCCCAAACATACATAAAGGATGACAATTACTCTGCTATCTGAGAATCACAAGGAAAAGTATTTTATCTTCCTAATTTTTATTTTTTTTTTCTGGCGCTAAGTAACCCATTTTTAGACAAGAGCACCAGCAGCCACAATTAATGAGTTCTAATTTGACTTAAAACACACTATCATCATGATTCTAAAAGTAGAATACTATATTTGATACCGACATGCACTAGCGCACTTACCTTACGGTTTCTTCACTAACTCTTCACAGATTATCAAATTCTTCAAGAAGCTATTCTCCATTCTTGTTGACTGTTAACTCTTACTAAAGGAAAGATGCAAGAAGAGAAGAGAAAGATGGGAGAAGAAGCAGATGATGGTAATAATAAACATTCGGAGCCAACAACTATTGGGTTCATTCCTCTTCTAACGCCTTACAAGATGGGTGAATTTGATCTTTCACATAGGTACTTTTCATTTTTAACTTCAATTTTCTTACATTGTGCGAGTAGGCCTTGAATGAAAGGCTCCAAAACAAGTACATAAGCAACCGGTTTTCATCTCATCTGAATGATTTCTTTCCCTGAAATTCTTGAACATGGAAGGAGATTTGTCAAGCTCTAAAGAATAAATGTATTTAACACTCAATATGAAGCGCTAAAACTTTCATTAGATTGATTTGTTTACTCATCTGAATGTTGTAAAGGGTTGTTTTGGCGCCAATGTCGAGATTGAGATCCTACAATTTCACTGCACAACCTCATGCCATTCTTTATTACACCCAAAGAACTACAAAAGGTGGTTTCTTGATTTCAGAAGCCTCCGGAATCTCAGACACATCTAACGGGTAAAATACTACATGAAGACAGCATATTACCTTAATTTATACCGTCTTGTCTGCTTTATTAGAGTTGTTCTTACTCCTCCGTGTCTTGGCTTACGTGTGAATCTCAAGGATTCCAAACATTCCTGGGATCTGGAAGGAGGAGCATACAGAAGCTTGGAAACCAATTGTCAAAGCAGTTCATGAGAAAGCAGGAATATTTTTCTGCCAACTCTGGCATGCTGGAAGAGTTTCAAATTGCAGTTAAGTCTTCAAAGTCCCATGCAAATGTTAAACCTATGATTGCACAGGTTCTTGTATTTATTATAATCAAGTGATGTTCAGGTTTCCAGCCTAACGGGAGTTCCCCAATCTCCTGCACTGATCAGCCCATTAAACTTGAATCTCATTTTGATGGCTCTGACGATGCTTATTCGCCTCCACGGAGATTGACGATTGAAGAGATATCTGAACTCATCAATGACTTCAGAATAGCTGCAAGAAATGCTATTGAAGCAGGTGATGAGGAATCAATGTTGGATTTTTCATGCTAGGCCGAAAACTGAATCACTATATTCGCCCCTGCAATATGTTTCAGGTTTTGATGGGGTGGAGATACATGGAGCCAATGGTTACCTTGTGGATCAATTCATGAAAGATGGAGTGAATGACAGAACCGATGAATATGGAGGGAGCCTGGAGAATCGGTGCCGGTTCCCTCTGGAAATAGTTGAAGCCGTAGCCGACGAGATTGGAGCCGATAGAGTTGGAATTAGGCTGTCACCATTCACAGATTATAACGATTCACGGGACTCAAACCCTGAAATGCTTGGACTTTACATGGCAGAGGCATTAAACAAGTACAACATACTGTACTGCCATGTGGTTGAACCCAGGATGGTCACTCAGTTCGACAAGCACGAGACCGGAAAAAGTCTTCTGCCGATGAGAAATGCATTCAAGGGAACCTTCATTGTTGCCGGCGGGTACGACAGAGAAGAAGGGAACAGGGTTATCAGCGAAGGAGGAGCTGATCTTGTTGCTTACGGACGATTGTTCTTGTCTAACCCAGATTTACCAAGGAGATTCGAGCTGAATTCGGTTCTTAACAAGTACGATAGGAGCACATTTTACTCTTTCGATCCTATTGTAGGTTATACAGACTACCCTTTCCTAGACGAAAATGCTTAGTCCTCTCACACAGCTTTATCAATTGATCCAATTCGTATCATCCCAATTGCAAATAACATTTCAATTCAATGTACCACCAAACTACATTGCTATAATTCATTCTTCTACATCAAGATTGATCAACATCTATCTCTAACAATGGAAGACAGAATTCAAACGCAAACTCAAAGGAAATTCTATTGCACACATTAACTGCTCAAAACGTCATTTCTACATCAAAAGATGATGAAAAATAGGGAAAACCAACCTAAAAAAACGCACAACAAAAACAAGCGCCTGCCAACGAAATCTAATTTAGTCCAGTTGCCTGCCGGCAGCTTCAGCAACGAAAGGCAAGTATGGAGTCTTCCCCAAGATACTGGAAACCAGCCCGTAAATGAAGCACCCGGCCACGAACACAAACAGAGCATTATACATCAAGATGGTGAATTTCAGTCCGAGCCCAGACCGGCCCGGAGACAGAATGTTCTGCAGGAGCGCGGGCACAGCCAACAGGACGTCGAGAACTAAGGCCTGGAGAGCATTGAACCGGACATAGCGGCTGAAGCTAGGGTTTCGAACGATGCCCAGGTAGAGAGCGAAGAAGGAAATGAAAGACGCGGAAGGAATGGAATGGTAGAGCGACAGGATGGGGAAGAGGGGTTTGAAGGGGACTGCCAAAATTGGATACTGATTGAACAGGAAGCCGCCGTATCTGAGGCCGTTGAAGAGGGGGAAGAAGTAGGAGGCGGCGGAGATTAGGCGGTCGGTGGCGGGGGTTGGGGTGTAAGAGCAGGAGATGCGAGAGGTCGCCGTGGATTTGGGGAGATGGGTTGGTCTGAGATTAGGGAGGCGAGGAAAGGGCTGGCGGAATTTGGAAGGAAGAGAGGGTTTGAGCTGGTGGGAAGAAAGAGAGAGGCGGATGATCGGCACGGCGGCCATTTTTTCCGAATTCACGACGGAGAAGCTGCGGGGTTTTAGAGCGGTTTGGGATTGAGATAGATTTTAGATGGGAAGTAAATTGATATATCTGGTTTAAAGGCTCAGAAACGACAGCGTTTTACCAGTTTATACTTGCCATGATATTGTGGAATACGCCATGATTACTGGACAAAACACAAAATTCCGTTCCGCAAAAATAGTCAACATTAAATTTTTAATTTTATAATATTTAAATTTTGTAATATTTTTATTATAAATTTAAAATCTCATGGACTATTTTCTTGAGAAGAAGGTAACATATAATTATAAGGGAAATAAAAACAAGTCAACTTACTTGCCAAACTTGTTAATGACAAATGAAACAAGGAATTTAAGCACTTTTTTATGCTCCGAGAATTATCATTTCTGGCTATAAACTCTTCTTGTGTAAACGAAACAAGGAAGCCATGTACATATATATCTCAAAAGAAACTACAGTTGAGTGACCAAAAAAATGGCTTAGATAATCAGGTACACATCCACCAGTAATGGAATCCCAAGCAAAATGTGATTTACAAAAACTTAAGGTAAACTATTCCAAACGGCTGTTCTTTCTATACTGCTGCTACCCATGTAGACTAAGCAGGTCAGCCAACAGGTCTGCTAATCACATGCGTGAATTATACCTTTGCAGATTCTGTTGCTCAAATTCTAATCTCAAAATTTACAGAGGCCAAATCTTTGGAGTCATAATGCAGCGCCACGAGAAATTTATTGACCAGGATCATCCTATAGGTCCCGGGCTTTGCTCCTCAGTTCATTAAGCTCTTTCTCAACGTCCATGTCTTGAAATGCAGCGGTAACAGGGGTTCTACCTGGGGGTAGCTCTCCTTTCTGCTTGATCATCAAAGCGCAGAGACATTTAGAAATGACAGACGGTTTTAAGGAGCAGTGTTTACTATCCTAACTCAAGATCGACATTAAAGAACTTATTCAGCCTGGCGAAAGAAGTAAGCAGATATAATTCAAAATTGAAGGTCGTAACACGTTAACAAGATAAAGTGGGGGCTCTTCAACCCTAAAAATGGCAAGACAAAAGCAAGCTGCTCTCTTGAACTCCTTTTATTCTTTTGCACAGCTACGGTAACCATCTAATTTCTTTCCTTTCAGAATTGAAATATCGAAAGCAGATTTTTATGGACTGCCGGCATCTAGAAGTGGGCCAACACAACCTTAGACAACATTCACTTTCGATGTGATATCCTGCTAATAGTGACTGACAAAAACTAATAAAATAGGTAACCTAAATTTGTGCGGCCCAGACTGCCAAAAGAATTTTTGAATCATCAGAATTTAAGAAATTGAAACATGCAATGGTAAAAGACCAATGTCATGGCTGCTCGAAGTACCAACATGCAATTGTTAAAGACAAATGGCAAAATGATTATGGCTGCTCTAAGTAAAAGTACAAACAGTAATGCGATATGGATGCAATTCACAACTGAAATAAATCAACACATTTCGTATAAAAGGTTGTAGAGCATACTCCACACCAGTGGCAGTTCAAAATACTAATGCAATTTTGTGAACACCAATATCCTTATGATGCTCAAGAACTTAAAAACACAACGGCGTAATAAACAATTTTTATCCTGTGCAAGGTTTAATAGATTTTCTAAACCCAGCAACTGCAAAAGCCAGAGGTTGCACACTATAATGGTGTTGTACAAGGGAGAAAAAAGCAGTCACAATTAAGATGAAGAGTTACAAAAGAAATAAAAGAAAAGATAAAACTGAAAATTACCTTTGTACCCCCAGATAATTCCTTTTTCAAGGATGCCAGATCATCATCCACTGAAGAGCTCTCCAGTAAAGCAAACTAAATTGAGAAGAAAGTTTGGTTTAATCAATGTCGTAAGAGAAATGTTATACAATCAAGGTATCAAATAGTGATCTAAGATATGTAGTTAGCAATAGATAGTGCAGCATAAAGACATCCAGATACAAGCAAATACAGAACTACACACACGGTAAGCATTATGTATGCGTGTAAATGAAAAGATACCGTAAAAAATCCAACATCCTTGACAAAAATGAGTGTTGGACCAGATTGTAACTGGTGCAAGCACAGAAGGACTTGAAGAACACCTTAAGTATAATCAAACAGATAATTACATCACATTTAGGATTAAAAAAAGTTACCTTTCCTTCAAGTTCATCACTTGTCAGCTGATTGAGAGCTTCGGCTTGACCCTCCAAGGCCATCACTGTCAGAAAGACACGAAACTTTCCATCAGTAACCTTTCGCTTCTATATAATTCAGTTGTAAGCCTACTAGAGGAGTCTTTAAATTAACATTTGTTTTTCCACATCTCCAATGCAATGTGCTCTTCAAATCATTATACAACAGCTCCATAAATAAAAACCACAACTAGATATATTGATGGAATTCAACAACGACCTTGTCCAAAGTGTCTAGGTAAACAACTACCCTCTATTTGTAGATATCGGATTTGAATGAAGCTTTACCGTTGTCATCAACAGCTCATATACAGCAGGTATATGGAGTGCCCATCATAAAGATAAATAAATAGGAAGAACTAGTATCAAAATATACTACCTTTTTCCTCCATTCTTTCAAACGCAGAAAGGGCACTGCTTGTATTAACATTCCCCAGCATCTCACTAACTTTGGTGGCAGTCCTATAAGAGAAAGAATAGCATTGGGTGTTAAGAACGAAAATCTAATTTGCCATGCCAAACTGATCAGAATATAAAGGTTAGCTACAAAGTTCGAGTACACACTTTGCAGACTGCGCACGTGCTTTCAAAGTGTCTTTCTTTGACTTGGCCTCTTGTATCTTACTCTCCAAGAGCTGTGATGCAAGCATGTACAAACAATTACGAGACAAAACAAAGTGATCAATTGCCATGTCATTGCGATAGTACGAAAACTCATTGTTAAGGCATAGATCTATAGCTAATGGTTAAAATATCTCAATCATAAGGTAATAATTTCAGGTCAAGTTTTGATGTCAAACTGAATAGATGCTCCTGAATTTCTGGAGGAACTTTGTTATTACAGCCAAAAGAAACCAAAAACTAGAGACAAATATTTTTACTAACTCCTAGTGTTGATCTCAAATAAAGAGTTTCTCAAGTTTACTTTTTGTTTGAGGCAAATATCACTACTGAACCGGTTTCCCATGACACATTCAATTTTTCACCATGGTGGAGAGCTCCCATAAACTGTCCAATTATATCCATAGAAATAATATTAACGTACCCTTGTGTTGGAAACAAGATTGTCTACAACGCCCTTCTGTTGTTCAAGTTGTGTCTTCAAAGCATTTGCATTATCCTGCAGAAGTATGGTATAATAAATACAAAATGATCTGAAGCTGACTAAAATAAGACAAGACGGAAATGGAAGCCTTAAAAAGGATAGGTTTAGACAAATTGAGCAAGGGACTGAAGTGAGAATGACAAATTACTCTTTGGCTGTAGAAAAAGTTTGACTTGTTGCAGCATGAATGAAACCAACAAGTATTGAAGATATCATAGAAGTGCCTAAACAAAACAGTGTCAACAGCGACGCTCTACACTGTAGACATGATTAATGGAGAACCGGGCAAGCCATTGAGAATTAAGGCACAACATCTAAGGAACATAGTCATTTCTGTTTGTTTTATGCATTGATTGTGATTTGAAAAACCAAAAGTTCTCAGAAGTAAGGACAGCAATTACTCTTGAATTGGGTTCACAGAGTGTAAATCAACTAAGCTGCACTGAACACAGAAGGACTTAAAATTCGATAAAGCATAACATCTCAGGATTTAAATGAAGGCCTCAGATGGTCTTCATGAACTTCAAATGTAACATTTTTATTTATTGGTTTTTTCACTTCTACTAAAACTTATATAAGTTCACTTCCAGATCAATCAGAAAAGATTACTCCAACATGTTGGGTCTTACAGCATATGATTTCCTCCTTTTCAGAGCTTCACGGGCAAGATCTTCATCTCCTTTTCCAAGAGCCAGCTGTGCTCTACGGTACCTATGATCAAATTGAAGTGTAAAGATACACTTACTAAACAAATAAGTACAGAGATATATCTTTAGTTGAGATCCTACCAATCCTCAGAAGCTTGTTGTGCAGCTTTATATTTGTTCTCGAGTTGCTTTTGCGAAGCTAAAACCTTCAGAGTAGGAAAATATAAAATAAATTAGCTTCTGAGATATTTCTTAAGCAATGATATTTGTATTCTCCATCAAAGAAATCAAAGCATTAGAGGGGAAAGAAAATTTTACTTGAGCTGTAGCTTGACGCATCTTTATCAGATCATTATTCATCTCAATAACAGTTTGCTCCAAGATTTTTTCTGGGTCTTCAAAAGAACTAATAATCGCATTTGCATATGACTACACTTGCATCAGATAAGGAAAATCAGCGGTGAAAAGAGAATGAAGATGTAAGGAAGAAAGAAAAGGGAGAGTGTGAATAAACCACCTTCACTACTCTAGCAAATCGATCGAAAAGGTTCATCTGGGCACCCAAACCACCACCCCCTCCTTGATTACTATATCTGGCTCCAGTATTAGACAATTTCATACCTCTAAACTTTGTTGTACCCACTGCAGGACAAGTAAATACATTCTCATCATGAGGAAGGATATATCTTGAGAAGGAGAGCAAGAAAAGTTTTAAAGCAGTAGATAATACACGGATCACATTGACAGGAAAATCATACACACACATGTGAGTAAGCATTTGAACTCAAATTCGACTGTGCCTATCCATCATGATTAAGCAGCAATTAGGGAAAGCTTTTAAGCACATGTTAACAAGAATGTTTACAGGTCGATATTCAAGTGCATTACTACACTATCATTTTATGAAGATTTTAAGCAACCATTGCGAAAGGCTTTTGGGACATTTTCATTAACAAGGGCATCTTAACCCATCCACATTCAAGTAATAGCGAAATTTGAACTAAAGAGGACACTATGTACCAGTTAGCCAGTTCCCCGATAACATCTTTTCCAAAGGAGATGACAGTGAGACTTTATCCCTAGCTTAAAACTCAATAAAAAGCATAAAATAAGTGTAATTTGCATGATGGACTTCCCTGTAATGATTATGAATATCAAGTATAGCAGTTTCTTTTTTTAACCTTGTTTCTGTTTATCTCTACCGCACTACCTTGCACAATTTTTCTAACCTTTTTATAAACCGTATAGAGAAAGAAGGAACATGAAAAGATGTGCAACAAATGACTGAAGAAACAAAATACATAGTTAAATCTCGATGCATACAGCAAAACAACCATTGTGACCTTATACTGTAAACACATAGGAAACTGATCAAGTTCCAGCAACCTGAAACCATACAATAACATGTAAGCATAAGTAAATTCTTATTTTTATTTTTATTTTTTCCAAAATACCAAGATAAACCATCTGAAAAGCAATAATGCAAAACCCAACTAAAGTACTACAAATTCCAACATCGAGAAGTCACAAGAAGAGAAGAAAAGACAACACAGTGGCAGTAGAGATCATCTCGTACACAAATTGAAAAGGGTCACCAGTCACAAGAGGGAAGTCTGCCACGGCCAAATGAGCAAGCAAAACATAAAAGCCGGAAAAGGCAAGGAATCAGAACTTACCACCATAACCAAAAAAGGTAGTTCTCAAAGGTGGAGCCCGGATGATCACCCCTCTCTTTCCCGAGGAAACAGAAGAGGCTGAAGGAGCCATTATCATCCCTGATATGGGTGCTCTAACAGCCATCTCTTACTGTATATTGCAGCACTAAAAAGCAACCCCAAACTCAATTCACAGAATCGTTTATTGAGCAAGAAAAACTAGCAGGGCTAAAGCTTAATTCGTCAATAATTTGCTTGAGAATGGATATTCTGCGGCGCCAGGGACGAATTTCTGTCCTTTTCAAGTTTCTTCCTGGTTTGTGGTTAAGGACCTCGATAGAACAATCATATTTTCTTTTTCTTTTTTTTTTTTTTTTTTTTTTAACTTAGCAGTAATATTTTTAATAATTTTTTCTTGGTAATGAATTTTCCCATTTATGGGCCGAGCCGGTCTACTTTCCAGTTACAGATACGCAACTCGAAGTTGGGTCACAAACACAGAATTAATTAGCCGAATTATGTTTCTTGACAATAAACCCTCCTATTACATGCGCGTATATCCAGAAAAAAAAACTCAAAACAAAGTATACGGTTTAATTCCTCCTGTTTCAAAAAAAAAAAAAAAAATCCATATTGAGTTTTAATATTGTATATTATTTTTAATACGAAATTCAAAACTCAATAAAAAATAATTTATAATGAGTTTTAAGATTTATACTATATTTAGTACTAATATCAAAATTAATATATACCTTTTTGATGGAGCGGAAAGAATAGCTTGTCACTCATAAAATAACAAGAGATGCCCAACTACATTTTACTAAAGGCCAACTTTATTAAGCATGCATTACGTAATACTATTGTGTTACCAGACACGATAAATGCCACTGTAAAAAAAAAGTAATTTAGGAAGGAAAGTTGATTTCTTAAAAAAAAAGAAAAAAAAAAGAAGAAATAATCCTCAAGAAAACAGCGGATTTTCACCCCAACCAAAATTCCTTTCTTAGTATGGCGTACAGAAGCATTTTAGATACTGATGACCTGGTGCATGGAAGCTCTGATGATGTTTAGATTTCAATATGCCATCATGGCTCCAGAACCTTGGTTCTCTTGACTTGGTTAATACTCCCTCTGTCTCAAAATTATTGTCCAGTTTGAAATTCTATTTTTAGTACAATTTGAACTAAAAATAAAAATCCAAACATGACAATAATTATAAGACAGATGGAGTACAAACTTAAAATGGGAGAGTTTAGCATATAATTCTGAATTCTCTTAACATGAGCATTGAGGATCATTTCCGAGAACAGGAGATGGAAGATGGTCTCGATAAGAGTTATATTCTAGTTTTTCACTCAGAATTGGCATATGATTCTTCCATATGTTATATTTCTTGCGGAACTCTGGTTGAATGTCGGTTAATTCATGACTGCCAAAACTTGTAGCTTTAATTAATTTCATCTCTCTTGTATGGTTGTATCATTTTTTTTTTCTTTCTTTTCTCATTTAGTTCAGTGAAAAATTTGACAAGGAAATTGAGAAATTACTGGACTATTTTTTGGAACAGAAATACCCTAGTTTAATTTAATAAAAAATCCAACTTTTAAAACTTAATATAGACTTTTTGCTTGAGACAAGAGGTTTTTCTTTGGGGGTTCTGAACGGTAAAGAAAGGTTCACAGTTCATTCTTTGATTCTTGAATATTATTTCTAACTTTTATCTTTTTATTATTATTATTTGTTTTTAAAAAAAAAATTGAAAGGATTTGAGAGGTACATTTTTCTTTTTTTGGACTTCATTACATGTCGATGTAATGTTTAAAGCTCACAATGCAACCAAAAAAAAAAAAACGTACAGAATATTTCAATGGGGAAACAATGCGTACAGAAAAGGAAATCAGAGAAAAAAAAAAAAAGAAACTCTTATTGTAAGTGCAACACAATGGGGAAACAATCTTCACGATAATTAACATCCTATTTCCCAGTATCACTGTTTCCTCTATAGAATCTCAAAAATCATTACCATAATTAATCACATGGAATTAAGATATGGAAACCGAGAAAGCACTATATATATATATATATATATATATATATATATGTAACGCTTCACAAAGGCATCAAGCAAGAAAACAAAACCCTAGCAGCCAATCTGTCTGAAGTAGGAGATCAGAAAAAAGAACAATGTCGGAGAGAGAAAAAGGAATAGGGTGTTTCAACTTTGTTTATCAGAGGAGGAATAAAAGGAACAATAATCAGCAACAAAACGTGAGCAGAAATAACAATGGCGGAGGAACTTCGAGCAATAACAATGCACGTTATACATGGAATACGCAAGAGATTGAGAGTGCCAAACAGGAGCAATGCTGGCAGGGAAGGGATGATCATGATTGGCAATACGATTATTCTCGTTCCGGTTATTATTAGTTTAATTATCAGTTTATTGTTTTTTTTTATTATTTTCTTTTTAAATCTTCTGAATAAAAATAAGAATGGATTGTAGCGATTCCTTACTTAGTTTGTGACAGTGATCTGAATCACGACTATAAAGAATAATAATAAAGTTCCATAATGTAGAACTAAATTTTAATAAACTTTATACTATTTTGGCCTTCTCAGTTACTTTGTGTTTTGTTTTTATTATTTTCTAATGGTGATTTTTGATTGAAAAAAGAGCTCTTGATTTGATCCATCAAACTGCAGATTTGTAAAAGAGTTTTTGGTTAACTATTAGTGCAGGGACTTGCAAATTTTAGGGTTTGGTGTTTTAAATTGGAAGTCCGGACTTGCAATATTCAGACCTCAGTATTGGATGTCAAAGAATTTCTTGGCGAAATATCGGAAATTTGTAGCACTCCTATTTTGTTACTCAAATTTTCTGTACAAGTTATCATTACTACTTTATTCTAGTTATTGTGTTTTGTTGCATAATTTTACGTGGTACAACAGTTACACACAATTTTTTTTTTCAACAGTTACACATAATATTTTGTGTTATTTTTATTTTTTAAAACTGCAAGCTAATTAAAAAGAAGAACACACATCTATAGTACTTAATTAAAGCAGCAAACAAAAAAAACATGTGTCAGCATCACAATGAAAATTTTCCCGCTAAAAGCCATTTTCAGTACAAAATCATTTTTGACACGTGGCACTCTAACTAATCAGAAAAAAAGATAGAATAGATAAATACATAAATCCCTTAATTATAGCTACATAAAATTATCTTAATTATAGGTATATACTAATCTTTTAAAACAACAATATTTAGTTGATAAAATCAAATGTAAGGAAATCTCCTTAAATCAAGTGAAACACCAGTAATGTCTTTTCAATCTCCAATTTCAAAGAATCTCTTCCATTCCGCTCCTCTCTCACATCCGGGCCTTTAAATCAATTACTTAAAATCTGACTTCAATTATTAATCCATCTCTTTCTACAACAGAGAAAAAATAAGCTGTCATGAAAGAAATTTGATTTTTTAAGGATGATTTTTTTATTCTTCTCTTATAGATCTTGGTTTATGATTTATGTAAACCCGGACATAAGTTAATTATTATAAATTAAATATTATAAATCTGGCATAGATTTATGTGTAATAGCTCACTTTCTGTCCTTTCAATCTATTTTTTATTCTTCTAATTTTTTTTAATTCTTTTAAGAATGATTCGTATTTTTTATTTAATCAATTTAAAAATACAGGCGACACCCCGGGCATTCGCCCGGAGCAAGCATCTAGTTTTAAGTAAAACCTTGGGATATTAACGATGTTATTTTCGCTTCGAAGTAGCTATTTTCAAAGTAAACATGAAAAACAAAGTAAATTAAAAATAACTAAATTGGCTTGTAAAACATTTTTTTTTAAAAAAAAAAAATATTTGAAAGGAAAAGAAAACTAATCATATTGGCAATTTTTGTTTATTAATCTGACTATGGATATATATATATATATATATATATATATAATATGTATGTATAAAGCGTAGAACGAAACCCCATCAAATTTTTTTACTTTTATCGTCTAAAAAAAATAGTTTACAGTGCTTTGATATTTCCAAGCCAATCTCTCTTCATATGGTACCCGATTTTTTTTTTTCAAAAAAAAAAAAACGGAATTTCAAAAGTGGTTGGACAGGGGTTCTCCTCACTTATCTCTACTCTAGATTCTTACGGCTTGTTTGGCCAACATTTTGTTTTAGTTTTTGTTTTGGTTTTTGATTTGGGTTTGAGATATGATTTAAAATGTGATTTGAGATAAAATTTAAAAAATTATTTGAGTGATATTTTAAATAAACTAATAATACTTTTAGACCACCATCGGACCACCTACACCACTGTCACCGCCGCCGGACCCCTTGCTGCTACCGGAAGACTGCCGTCGGCCGGCAGCGGTCCGGCGGCGGCGGGTTGTGGTGGAAGTGGTCCGATGGTGGTGGATGAAAATTGTGTAAAAATAATTTTTGGAATATTTTTTAAAAGGTAAATTAAAAAATTGTTTGGATAGTATTGGAATTTGTGTTTGAGAGGTGTTTTAAGAAATAAAATGAGACAAAAATGTAAAATAAGTGTTGGGCAAACAAGCCCTTATCTTCTTCGACGATCATCTGTTGGCACGAAACTCCAAGTTCCGTACATTTTCGCTACAGAAGTTTTCGCGGGATGTTTTTGGATAAGTGATTAATTTACGAGTGCAAATAATAATTTTTCTAGTAATAAATATATTTTGCCCTTGTTCTTCTTAGTAATAAATAGTAACAAATTAATAATTAGTGAATTAATTGCTTTCCATTTAAAAAATAAAATTCTTGAATCTTAAAATTAATTTTTCTTTTAGGAAAAAAACAAATCCTTGGTTGAATTGAGTAGTAATAATAAAAAGAAATTTACTGACAACCAAAGTGGTGGCAGGCTTAGTGGCGAATACTCATCCTTGATAGTCAGAGAGGTCGTGTCTTCGAATCTTGACCCCAACCAACAATAAATTTGTTACTGCACGTACTAACAGTCTAATGTTCTTCTACCCTAAACACCTTTCCAACTCTGCTAACTTTAGGTGTCGTCAATGGATTTAGACCTGTTCGATGATCTTCTCGGAGACAATGCAACGAAGAACAACGGTAAGATTGTCTTTTAAATTGGATACTATACTTTGCAACCTGACATTAATCATGCAGAAACTCATCTGTTTGCTTATCTATATACCAAAAAGAAAAAAACAGTTAGGGCTGGTGGCAAGTTTCAACCTAAAGCTAAGCCACGACCCTTTACCAAGAAGAAGGATTCGGTGGGTGCCACTCAGCCAGTTTCTGAGAATGTAAATTGTGCTGGAGCTTCTGAAGCAGTAGTTGTGGATTGTTTGCCTGATAATAACAATGATATCTTGCATTCCATCTTTGAGGTAAAGTTTCTAGCTTTAATTTGATTGTCATATTTGGATGAGGTTATATATTTATTACCTGAAGCATGATAAACCCTTTAAAACTTTCAGAATACGGATATATTTATTGGTTTGGAATCACTGGATGATGATTTCCTATCTGTAAGGGAGACAGTTTCTGGTGAGCAGTTTATATATTTATTGGTTTGGAATCACTGGATGATGATTTCCTATCTGTAAGGGAGACAGTTTCTGGTGAGCAGTTTATATTCTTTTCGCCATGTATTTAAGTGTTTTATTGTCTGTGAGAGTGTTGAGTCGGATGATTAGGGCGTGGATTATCCGTTATTGTCCGAGAGAGACTTCAAGATAGAGGAAGTGTGTGAGTTTGAATTGACTTTTTCTTATCAAAAATGCTGATGCAGATGATCCCGTTTCTTCTTCTGAGGAACCTTATATTCATGTTTCTGGCAGTCCTGGTGATGCTGAACATAAAAAACTCGCAACTCCTGTTGCTCATGTGGTTGATGATTCTGTAGGCATTCCTTCGATCCACGACCTGGACACTTCTGAGTTCACGTCTAGCTATGGTCTGCTTGATTCTTTTCTACTAAAGGCTTCTCCTATTCACTTTTGCATATTATGTTTGTTTTACAATTTGCTTTAAATGCAGGCCAGCGAATTGGAAAATTCAGGCCGAAATTAAAGCAGCAGGGAAATAGATTGGGAAATGATACCGACGTTCATGATCATAAGTCTGCAGCTGAGCCTGTTAACAATGAGCAACATACTCCATTTGTTTCTCCCAGTGTAGATATTCTGGATTTGAGGCCAGTTGCTGGTTTTAACCAAGATGATGTCTTTGAGTGTTCATCTGAGGGAGTAAGCAAAGATGCTCCTTCACAGTCTGTAATCGAAGTTCTAGTAGATGAAACCTTCATAGATTTTGAGGGGTTTTCTCATCAAGAAGTTGTTACTTCAGGAGAGAACTTGGAGGCTGATCATGCATTACCTGGAAATCTTGTAAGATGATCCTTATATTTTAGAGTTCTTGATGTGTTTCCTTTTTGTTCAACCTTTGCTATTTCTTATGCATTTTTTATACTCTTTGTAGACTTAGGTTTCACCTAGCGCAGATGCTGGAAAAGCTAAAGTTGTTCCTGAATCAGATTGTTCATTTCAGCAGCACCGGGCTTCCACTTCCAATGAGACTATAGTGGCTAGTGGTAGAGTATTTGGAGAGCGAAAAAGACCAATAAATGCTCACAAACTTGTTGATGAATCTGAGGTCGAGGGACTTGAAAATTCAGATATCCAAGCTGAATCTCTAAGCAATTCTTTTGTCAATGAGTATGATATGGCGGAGGAACTTCGTTCGGATGATAAAACCCAAAAGAGAAAAACACATAACACATCGAAGAAGCTTGAGGCTGAGAAAGAGAAACCAGTTAGAAAGAGGCCGAAAAAGATTACTGAATCATCAGAGCCAGCTAAATCAGGACCTAAGAGATTTTCTCATTCAAGTCAGAGGAGACAAGGTCGTTAATGCTTGCAAACAGAGTGTTGGGACGTTATCATATTCTTTCTACATTTTGCTCATCTCCTTGTCTTTTTTTACAGTTGACAAAGCGTTACTTGAAATCCCAGACGACGAAATAGACATCCAGAAGTTGGTAATGAAGGATGCTATTTGGCTTACAGAGTACGGGGAGCGGCTGAAACTAAATTTCTTACTGGATTTTAATTGATTTTTTTTCCCCATTTGTTGGAGCCTTAAAACTAGTTCTGTAAAGCAATGAAATCGATTCTGACATAAGGGTACCTTTATATTTTAGTTGAATCTGTGGTGGGTTGTGTTCACTAAATTGTTTTTCCACTGCACTTTTGACCTAATTGATTTTTGTTGGATTTTTTCTATTGAATGTCTCTCGCAGAAAAAGGAGGCAAAATCATCAAAAGAACAGCTTCAGAATCAGCGGTAAGCTATTTTGTATGTCACTGGGGTTATATATACACATAGTCCGTACACTAATTTGCATCTTCATCGTCTTTGTATTCTACTATTCATTATTACTTAATTTGCTTATTAAAATTATGAATTCTGCAGAAACTTTTGTTTACTGTCAATATGCACATGTTCATCACAGTCATCCTGGCAATTTACTGCGAAGTTTTATCTTTTTCTAACTTCTGTATCTGGTGACAATTTTTGTTTTGTAGTAATGTTAATCACAATGTGGATGGCGATGAAGATGGAACTTTTGGTGAAGTAAGCGATGGCGAAGAAAGCTTTATGGTTGAAGAGAGCTGTGTCAACTATCATACTTTCATGGCCAAAACTCCTAGATCAAGATGGTCAAAACAGGACACAGAAGTGCTCTATCAGGTTTTTCTAGTTTGAACTCTTAAATATAGGACAGGGTAGAAGTTAATTATTTAATGTAGTTTGATCGAAGCTGTTTACTGTGTCATCATATGATATAATTATGGGTGTCGGCCAAGTTACATCTTACTGGTGCTAGCAGGGAAAATTTTGCAGGCTTTTCGGCTACATGGCACTGATTTTTCAACTATCCAAGTATGTTCTTTTCCGGATAAGACACCAAGGCAGATTAAACTGAAGTTCAAGAAAGAAGGTCAACAGCATGCTTGGCGAATTAATGAAGCTCTTACAAAACCCGTCAAAGGTAAATCTGACTTCCTGTTTATTTTCTGTTGCTGATTTCATGAAACATGGAAGAACTTCGATACTGTGTCTTGTAAAAGTAAAGTTACTCAATCTGATGCCAGGGTGATTAATTTGAGGAGAGCAGTATCAACTTTTGGTAGCAATTGTTTGACACATTATTGTTTGGTCCTGAAGATCTTTACCAACTTGATTTGAATATGGAGATCTTGAACCAAGTTACGGCCAGGATCCAAGATTTCTGCAGAGCTAATTCAGTCAGCTTGACGGAAGAGGAAGAGAATCCTGATGCTAATGTAAACATGGTTGTGGTTACTTTTTGCATTTTTGGCTTTACCCCTGTTTTCTTTGAAAGAGTAAAAGAAGTGATTTAAATGCTTAACAACAGTGAATTTTGGTCTCCTTTCTAACGCTAGTAAAAAAGAAAATCGAAACCTTAATAATGTGCCTTTTTTTCTTTATGATGTCTGATTTTGTACTTTTAATCCTGACAGGATGAAGCAGCAAACTCTGAGGAGATAGACGAAGCAGCCAAGCCTGAGGAAATCGATGAAGCAGTTTTCGATGGAAATACCAGAGCAGAAGTTGCAGTAACTCAGGGACCTGCTGTAGATCCCCAAGATGATGATGATGATGATGATGCTCTCCCGCTGGAGTCAATATAAGAGGGATCTCTAGATGTGATCCATTTATCATATCTTAAATCAATACATTTTACTCTACTATCATCACGTATTATTTTAGATTACTGATGAACTCAGCTAATGTATTGGCTGTTTTTCTTTCCAGGAAACTTAACATTCAAAGTATCTTTACCGTGCTTTTCAATAATCATATTTAAATACTATAAAAATTCTTCTATACAAATACACTGGCTAAAAGAACCATTTTGAAACAGTAGTTTCGAATGACCCTCTTTCTTTTTAGGTTCATAATCACAAAGTCACAAGTGTAGTGAAATTGTGAATTTTCTAGGAGGGGGGGAAAAGCGAAAACCAAAAAAACAAAGCAACTCACTAGCTATACAAAGGAGAGGGAGGGAGATGCAGAAGACAAGCACACTCGCTCAAACTATTACAAAGTTGTAACATTTTCTTTTTTCTTGATAACCACACAACTATAATAGTGCTTCAGATGGGACTCGATCCCCTACTGTTAGGGATGGCACACACACATCAAGCTACGGCACCCCCAACCTTGGTTTCCCAAAGTTACAACAACATGGAACACATCCTGACTCTGTTGTCTAATACTCTGTAATCTATGAGGTAGCTCTCTGCTCCTGTCCGTTGTAACGTTCTTTCAAAAACTTTTCGGATGGATTCTGCAATAAAACAAGAGCCAAATCTCTTGTTATTATAAATAGAATACAGAAAACAGAAACACAACCACTAATAAGTATAAAAATGGCTCTTCGGAAGCAACCCCCTGCAGGACTTACAGATGTCAATTAATCACAAATCAAATGATAGAGCCTAACACGAAGTTTCTCAGGTTTATTGCACTAGTGATTTTAAAATGCTTAGTCAAAGAATTCTGAATCACTACGTGATCCTCAAAAGCCCTAGCTAATCCTTTTTACTTGTTCGCATTAAACAAATAGGGATCACAAAAACTATTAAAATAGGGAGACTTCGATTCGAAAGAAACATCAGCTGAGATCATATAAAATAATGCTTCGCGTATGAATCCAATACTTTACCAGGATATCCTGTTTTGTACATCATGGCATGCAATTGCATTAGAGAATATATCAACAAAAAATCAATCCTTCCTTCTCTGATCCAACTATTTCCAATCCCCAAACGCAAAAGAAAATATTTCCTCGTGCGGTTGTGCCTAAAAGTGATAGGCAGACCAACACGATCATATGCATGGACCGATGATAAATGTCAAATGGAGCAAACAGTTTCGTATGTATCCGTGAATGCACACACGCTGATCAAACTCACAACTTAAACACCTAAAATCCAGCATCAAGCTAATCTCAAATCCAGAATTGCTTAATTTAGTAAAAACCTAAAACTGGTAAGTTAAGTTCGTTGAAGCCTAAAAATCAGAGAAAATTGAGGAGTAAATAGGTCTTAAACACCGCTACAGTTCCCCCTCCAACCTCGGCCCCTCTACATTTAACACTCCTTAGCTCTGAACACCACATTTTGCTCCAACATTGCCATTGCCATTTATACGCACAGAAATCAAGTCAATTCGTAAATGAACCAACTCAAACACATATAAAACATCTTTCAATGATAAATTCAATTAAAAATGAACAAGCAATACGAGCTCACCCAAAAAAGGAAAAAAAAAAATCCAGACAGGGATTCCAATAATTGCACGTAGACTTGCAAAAGGTAAAGTTCGATTTTCAAAAATGCATAAAAACCCAAGAACGTATTAAAAAAAAAAGTTTTAAGCGAATCCCACCTCAATATCGCGCTTACGGGACTTCAAGAACGAAAGATCAAGCGTCGCAGGAAACTGGTCATCATGATCATTCGCACCCTCCTCGGCCGCAGGCGCGGAGCAGTCGTGGGGAGTCTCAAACAAAGACAAAGAAAACTGCTTCGAAACGACACCGACATCGAAATAAATCAACCCAGAACTCGGGACATCAACCTTAATCCCCTTCACAGGAAGCCAAAGAAAGAGCTCTTGGGACGCAACACCAGAAAGGTCCGAGATTTTGCCGTAAGAAATAACACCGGTTACATTCACATCGTACCTGACGGGAGTCTCAAATTTGGCGTCGCAAGGGGAATTCGCCACCTGGAGCTGGAACATGCCAGAAGCGGGGTCCAGTGAGAACCCGGAAATCAATTTGGGGAATATCCCAATCGGAAGGGCGTGGGCTTTAAGCACATCTTCGACGGAGGAACTGGGATTCGACGACGGTGTTGAAATCGAATTGGTGGGTTCTGTTGAGAAGATGATCACAGCCAGTAGGAGGAAGGTTGATAATCGGAAGGGATTTGTGAAATGGGATGGAGCCATTGAATTAAAAAAAAAATCTGGGGAAGTTAGGGTTTATGAAGGGTAAAATGAATTGGGGCTTTTGGCGTTTGGGAGGGAAATTGTTTTTTGGGTGTGGGGGGGTTTTGGAACATTGACCTGAACACATCATTTGGTTATGACTTTTGTTGGGTGAAGAGTCAATTTGTCTCCACAGATTGGTCTCTCTTTTTGCTTTTCTTTCTGCTTTTGACTTGAAGCACACATTTTCTATTGATTGATCTCTCTTTTTCAACATATTAAAGTCTATTTTCTTTTCTTTAAAGAATGCATGAGTTGTTTTTTTGAAAAAAAAAATATAAAACAAGCACATACCACATTAATTTCGTTCCATTCGATTTATTTGAAATTTAAAGATAAAGTATAACTTTCTAATAATGTATTTTTTGAAATTATGTTTCCGCTCACAAACATAATCTGTATACGCTTGAAAATCATAACGATTTTTAGGTTCAAAGCAAGGCTTTTTATAATTGATACTCTCTCTTCTTATTTAATTTTTCAGATAAAAATCCAAATCGAGAAGTGAAAACGCCATTTATATACTGAATGGAGGATGTACTATACTGTCAAAATTAGAGGGGGGATTTACCCACAAACTCGCCATTGCAACCAGTGGGTTTTACTTGTACCCCAAAATTTGAGCCTACTGAGAAGGTAAGCCACCAAGCATCATGTTTAGCTCAAGTACTACTACTCCACAAGGCAAGAATACTAGTAGTATACATGGCCTTATGTTGACACTTTCCTACGATCTATTCAACACGAGAAAGCTTGCGAAGCTCCTCAAATGCATGCATTGTTTCCGCATCAAATCCTCCAGCAAACTGCACGAGTTGATACAGGAAAGTGTTAGCGAGTTGCATAACTAAAAGGCTACCAAAAAGCCTTATCCTTTAGGTTTTTTTAGCGCCATTTTGCTTCTTAAAATGGCAACACCATGATCTGCTAAGCTGATCCCATACGGTAAGATAAAAGGTTAGTTGTTGTATCAAGAGCATAAGAAGAAAACCAGCATGGTTTATTTGTCAAAGAAGTTGCAACATATGTTTAGTGCCAGAACTGAGAGAAGAACACAAGAGACCGTTAGACGGACAGACCTGATGGATTCGAAAAGCAAATCTGACTCCCTGCAGCAGCATATAATCCAGAGAAGAGTCCTTCTCTGATGTTCCTTTGCTTTGCAGTTCCAAAGCTACCCTCTTCATGTACATCTTAGCCAGTTTCACAGAGGCAAATTTTATCTGCAATATAAAAAATCTTTAGTCAGTTGCTGTATTAGTCCTTAACAATTTCATAGAACACTAAACAGTGCCTGATTACTTCTCAATTCCTACTTGTCCACAGTAACCAGATATTTCTTTCCTAAATAATATAGTACCAAATGCTTCTTAGAAGTCAGGTACCAAACACTGGCCCATAGTGGTCATGTCAACATAAGGGAAAGGGAATGTCTTCCAAGCCTTGAGGCAGAAGCAAAAGTTACTCCTGTACCTCTTGCCGCAAGTTTGAGATGAAAGATTCTTATATAAACAGATGGTAAGACCATCTAAGTTGGGCTTTAATGGCTTGACCCTTTCCCGGACCCTGCAAATGCAGGTGTTTCTATACACTGGGCTGCCTATTTCTCTAAACTGGATATGAATGACTACAAGTTCTTACTTTGCTCAGAATTCCATTGTCATGCATCCAGTCAGTCGGAATTTGGAACTCCTTGCAGCGTCGGATCAACAAATCTCTCATTCCAAGAAGATTATACACCATGCGCTCCATCCTAGGAAGACAATTCGGAAGTTGAAATCAAGGACAGCAAAAGGGAATCACACAATTAACATGATTATGCTCATGAACATCAATACTTACTTTTCTGACAAAGAGACCAGTTTCCTCAAAGCTGCGTCACAAGACAAATGAGGATCATCTCTATAATGTTCAATTTCATGCTGTAAATTTTTCAGATCCCTATATCCAAATGCAGCCTCACGTAATGTGTCAGCTTTCTTTTCTGGCCATTCAAAATGCTTGAGAACTGCCCTCTCATCCACCTTTAAGATATCCATGCAAAAAAACAAGGAGTTCAGAATTGAAAATGGGCACGGTAGTCATCTTAACCATAAAGATCCAAGTATTAACGTCAAAATTATGCTTGCATTTAAATTACAGTGGAACTTATGCTTCCCTGGATTTTCTGATCAAATGATATCAAAATTTCATGTCTCAGATTGTCAGGTTGATAAAACTATTTCAATATGAAGACAATAAAACGATGTTAAGAACAAATACTCAATGTTAATATCATCAGTTTCTTCGTCATTGTGTCCCAGAGTTGTTTTGGATTAAGTTTTATCACATGACACATGATTTCTATCTGTCTGAACCTTAGAATAAATCCAGTATATGGCATTTCAGAACAAGAGCATAAATGCTAATGATTAACTTACAAGAAAGCAGAGCTCATCATCCAGCCACTTCACAAAAGATACCACATCTTCAATGTTCTGATACATGGCATTGTTCACCTCTTCTATGAGGGAGTTTACAAACTCTCCTTGAGTCTCAACGTCTGCCTTAATCTGGCAGTTGAGTAAATGAGTGTTAAAATCAGATTCATAAGAATAAAGATCTCTCATTAGAAATTTATCAGATTAAGAACAAAATGAGATATCTACTACTTTCAGATCATCAAAATAAAGTTTTTATCTACACCGAAAAAGGACAATCATTAGGTAAGTGCAGTTGGATAAAAGTACTCACTGCAAGCAAGTATGATGAACGGTTCTCTATTTCACCAATCATGTTACTTCGGACATTTGCAACATCTGAGGCATCACATGTCCCGCCATTTAATGAATCCTTCCTGGTGTCCCTTTTCATTAGAGAATGATAAAATTCAACCACTTGCGGAGCACGTTTTACCTTTCCTGTCATATTGCCCCCCAACAACTTTGGAGGAGGTGGTGGAGGAGGAGGGACAGGAGGAGGTGGTGGGATTTGAGAAGGAATTTGTGCTTGCTCAGTGCTTGGTGCAGAGCATGAAGGTCTTGGAGGAGGATTTGGAATGCGCAATGCCCTTTTCTCAACTGCCAGAGAAGCAGTCACTGTGCAAGCTTCTTGGCTGCCACTAAGGAATTCAGATCTTTGAGTAACTCTTGGATTGTACTTCTGCGAATCTAGTGACTGGACTTCTTTCTCCCCTTCTTTGAAGCAAATAAAACCATCAGATTGTCTTCTCTTGTCAAGCATGAAATTTTCTGAACAGAATTTGAACCCGCTGATCGAGTGCCTCCTAACAGGATTCTGAGAATCATCCCAACTATGATTACTAAAATCATCATTAAACTCGAGTTGTCGCATATCTTCATCAGTGATAGGCCATTTCTTTAACTTCTTAACAAGACTTAATCTCAAGTTACTGCCTTGACTAGAGTTGTCACTTCCATGAGATGATAGGCCAACTGAATCCCGAGGCCTCTCAGTGACTTGGGGACTAGACTCTGTATCAAATTTTGAGTTCTGACAGTTGCGCAGCTCATTCCGCAGACATGAGTTCACCCATCTTAAATAGGCAACTTCCTCAACCTCATTCAGACGACTCAATTGAAGCCCTTCAACTTGTTTGCACAAATCCTGATTCGTGTATCTAAGCAAGGAAGCCTCCTCTTTAATCTTCTCCACAATATCAATCTGAAAATAACCAAACAGTTTCTTAAGTTAGGAGGAACACCAATATCACTGAGAATTTCTGGTCTATTCAATTAAAAATATTTAAAGACATCACTTTTTCACTCCCCTTATTGACTGTGTAGCTTTTGAAGTTTAAACTTTTACTGTGGAAATAGAATAGGAACAGCACAGAATAAACCAGCCATTCCATTGCACAAACCACAAAAAAGCATGGGATTCCAATAATAGACACTAATTAATAATTCAGAGATATAATGTACAGTCAATATGGCAATGCATTGTTGAGTTGTATTGCTAATTACCTCAGAAACTTTAGGCGAGGTGGCAATCTGGGATTCCAGTGAAGAAAGCCTGCAAGCAAGATTTCTCTTCTGTAACTGGAGCTCCTTGTTCAAGCGCCTCAGCTCAACAACCTCCATTTCCACACTACTCAAGTTTTCACAAACTTCCCTTTTGGGCACCTCATTTTCCCTCCCGGAACTAGAATTCAACGACGCCAACTGTTCAGCAAGGCTCAAATTTTGAGATTCTAGCAACCTGACTTTCTCCACAACCCTATCAATTTCACCTCTTTTCAGCTCAAGCTCCCTTTCCAGCTCAAAAACCTTGGGATTCCTCTTGCACTCAGACAGCTCAGCTTGCAATTTGAACTCCCTGTCTTTTGATTCTTGCAGCAAGCTCCTAAGATTATCAAGCTCAAGAAACAAATCCCGAGAACCTGGAGAAGACTTTTTCGCATTAAACGTGTGGGGATGAACCTGAGCACCGCTTACAGTACATGATAAGTCACCCATGAGAGACCTTTTAGCTCTAGACTGAGTTAGCCCAAATGGGATTTTCTGGTTTGCGACATTAGAGCTCGTGAGTGGAACCTGCTTGCTCTGTGATACTGTCTGCTGCTTACCCTTCTTCTCCCCTGAAAAACCCTTCACAATTTGGGAACCCCACGAAGACTTCACCTTGGAAAGATTGCCATTATTAGCCCCTTTCACATTGTTCTTGCTGCTGAACCCTCTATTGGGCACCTGATTTTGATCAGCAAATTTCAAAGCTTTAGCCCCATTCCGGGATGCATCGCCTTCTCTCATCCTGATGATCTTTGACACCAAAAAAGTCCCACCTTTACAGTAGTAACTTACAGTTACGAAACCAAAACCATTTATGAAGCTTTCACGAAATAGTACTATAATTGAACAACCCAGAAGCTGGAGTTTATTGGATACGGAAAACCACGAGAACCAATCAACGCATTCAAAAGTATTAAAGATGGTGCCTTTCCTGTTCAATTAGTTCCTTTATATCATTTTCACATCATCTTCAGTTTGAATTTTGCGAAAGGTTTTGAAGCTTGGGTTGGGGGGTCAGTCTTGGGAGTGGGAAAGGTCGGGAAACATGGAGTGGAAGAAGGCTCCTCTAACACTACGCTCTTCTTGAACTACTACTAATTTAGTAGTATTGGTGGGAAAAAAGAAAAGAAGTGGTTCAGTTTACCACAGTATCGGTGGCAGCTTTCTTTTTTTAAATTTTGAATTTTGAATTTCTTCCGACTAAAGAAATTATAAGTCTAAAACCTAGCCGTTAATGCCAAACATCATCAAATGATCTTCTTGGCCTTAAATAACATTGACATTTGTATTCTTTTAATAATAGTTTTTCACTTTGGGTTCCTCTCTCAGCGTTATTTTTATTGGCTGAAAATTTAACATGGGAAAACACAAAAAGTTGAGCACACGTCCGAGTTATTGTTAGAGAGGTCAGAAGTCTTTTTGCCCGAATGTGAAAAAACTTGCGGAAATCAAAGAAGGAAGATTGCAACGTACTGTGTTATTTGATTCGAGGATCCAGTATCCTGTGCATAGGCTTTCTGGGCAGACCATGACCTCGGAAGAAGATAGATTAGGCTCAACTTAATTTGCAGCAATAACTTTATTTTGGAAAAAAGCAATTTCGAATTATTGGGATGACGATTGACCATTCAATCGATCTCATGCTTCTTGAAAGATTTTGGGGAATTTTTCTGACCTTTTTTTAAAATTTAGGACTCCCAAGAGTCACTACAATTCTACAGAAATATATATATTTTTTTTTCTGTATATTTACAAAATGTCCCTATCAGCAACAGTAACTAATCCCTTTTGTTAAATTGTAAACATGGATGAAAAACTAGCCAAAGTATTTAAGGTTACTCCATGTCCATGGCGAGGTTCGAACCCTCGACCTGTGGTTAAAAGTATACGGAAAAACTTTCTTGTCGAAAACAATGGAGAGATCAGCATCAGTTAACCGTCTATTTAAAATGTTTTAGCCCTAAAATTTCCTGATGCCTCGAGTAATCAGATAAATATAAGCTTGTCAGGTGAACAGAGAAAAGGTATGACTGGATAAAACCACATAATCAAAGATTCTCTAATAAAACAAAATTAAAAGCCAAAAGCACAATTCGGCCAACATCAATTTCCACAGCATCGCAGGTTTCAAGCTCCCCAAAATCCGATTTAAGATACACAAACAGCAGCATCATGTTAAATCCTACAAACGGTTGTGTAGGCCAACCACTTTTAGAAATCCCACCCAACCAATAAAGGAGGAACTCTCAGCCGCATGAAGCTAATATCGGTCAGAACGCCTGTCAAATAACAGAATAGAGAAAATTCAAGATTAGAAATTCATGGAATGGGGGAACATTAATACACAGACAACAATCTAATGCTTAAATTCCTAGTCAAACACTGAGCCTCTTAAGCAGAAGTCAAATAGTAGATCAACAACGCATTCACATTAACCAAAATACGGTATGCTAGTGGGTTGGTCTCAAGGTATTTTAAAACAGGTCAAACAGGAGGAAATACTCCACAAAATAGTTGATACGAATAGACTTTCATCCTGGTGCTTTTATGCCAGTGACATTTCCAGTCACGTTTTTCTTGGAGGCAATCACCTTCATATGTCAGATACGAAGATCTATACACAAGGACTTAACTGCCTACACCCATGTATAGGTAGGTGTAGGCATGCCAGAATACAACATTTGCAAGTACTCAGAGGAGAAAATAAATTTCAAGACTCAACACCATGTTAATGGAACTCTATGGTTGTCTATTCCAAAGAACTATAAAGCATGGAGTACCAAACAAAACCTGAAGAGCACCAAACAAACCAACCTGTGGCGATCATAATCTCTAGAGCGCTCTCTTGATCGTGAACGTGATCGACGGCGACTCCTTGAATCATAGCTGTGAGAACGATCTCTTTCCCTATAGGTACGATCACGGTCATGATACCTATCACGATCCCGGCTCCTCTGATCACGATCCCTGCCTCTTTCACGACTGTCTCCATGTTCCCTATCTCTACTTGATTCGCGATCATGACTTCTACGCTCTTTTGATCTACAAAACCATAGTTAAAACTCCTTTCAGGACAAAGGAGAGGGAGAAGTCGCAAAGATAAACAGTAAATGGAGAAAAAGATGGGGAAGATTCTACCTCCTTTCTTCTTCATAGACTTTTCGCTTCTTGTTTCTCTCTTCCTGAGGTATTATTGACACGGCCAATCAATATTATAAAACCAAATTTCTAGCGAAAGTAAATAACAAAAAGAAGACATGCGCCAAACCAAGTTAAAAACCAGCCATGCTACCCAAAATCATCCGCGTAGGTGCCAACAAAGAAAAAGGTTAGCAAAACAATGAGATCTGCACATAGCTCCAAAGAAATAGTGCCACCAGTCTTACTAAATTTACTGTTGTAAAAACTAACAAGTGCATATGGCTTTCTTCAGATACCTTAGTCATAATGGGTATGACTTGTCTCTAACTTTCTGCCAGTTACTTCCAAGTTTGAAGCCAACATAAAATTATATATGAACCGAAAGGACGCCATAATGCCAAATTCAAATAACGGTACAGTTCCAAGCTAATATGTTGAGATGTTTTCCTCATATACATCATTTCTCCTCACTTTCTAACTTCGATACAGAAAATAGCCCAAGAACAATTACAGAATGTAAGGGTACTAGTCAAAATTTTATACAAATTTGCTCAAAGCATTAGTAAGGCAGCAGCAGAGGAAAAAGATAATTTGCATTAAATTTAGATAAGTAACTACATCCGAAAAGCAATTTCATCGCTCATTTATTGGCAGTTGAGATGGGAATTCTCAAAACCAAGTAATACACTTGTCCATAAAATGTACCAGCATATTCACCATGTTTGGGTCACTTCAACACTAAATCAGCTAAAGCCATTTATTTATTAGCTCGATATCTAATTTAAGATGCTTGCTCTTGTCGACAAGTAGGATTTCTTTTTACATAACAGGTATAAGAAACTCCTATCAAATTGGCTTCAATAACAGTTCTACTTATCTTATACTGAAACTCCTTTTTGAATTCACAAGCAAATACAATAACTTTATTTTAGAAAATAGCAAAAACACCATACGTTATACACTCATTCTCTGAGGATAGAAAAACTCACAGAGCCCATCTAAACTGAGGACCTCTACAGAAGAAAGTCAAACATAATGCAGCACCTGAACCAAATATTCAGAGTACCAACTTAAGTATAAAATCAGATAGAAGCTCAATTAAGAAAACAGAATCTACAAATATCAAGACCACACTTTCAAGCTGTAGACCTCAGTAACTACAGAGCATGAATTGCCCCCACAAGCTAAACAATAAAGGCCCAAACCTCATCCGTATTTCAGGAAATCACCAAGGCGGCAAAATAACAAAATAAAAAAGTAAATAACATTGTCACTTGGCCAATTTAGTCTCACCTGAAGTTCAGCCAACTTTTCACGAATTTGCATATAGCCCAAGTGAAGCTTCCCTCCAAAATGATCGGCTAGACGACGATCACTGAAAATGACAAAATCAAGTAAACCATGATCAAGCATCAATTATCCATATACTACTAAAGTAAACTTGGAACAGCTTGCTCAAATGTTCTAGCTATAGATGGCATGATCAACAAGCATAAAACAGAAAAAAACGCACATTCTTTAGCTGCAAAAGTATATCCTCGTAAAACTGGGCCCAAAAGCCTGCTGGTGACAAGGAGGTATAATTGACAGGTCAAGCACTGTAGAACTCCAACTCTAAAACTAGATTTTTCTGTCCTAAAACAGATATAAGATCTATGAAAAATAGATAAATGTTCACCTGTCATAAACACTCAAAAATGCCCCACATATGTCACAGACGCGTAGCTTCTGATCGGTCTGAAAATGAGTTAAAAAAATCATATTAATATCAACAAATAAGCATTCCCTGAAATGAAACTAAAATCATCCATTGATTGCATCCTTTGTATTTCTTTATTTTTCCAGTCCTTGTCTCATTCACTTCTAAGACAAATATCCAAAATTCTGGATAAATGATAAATAAAATAAGTTAAATTACTAAAACTGCATAAAATAAATAACTTACAATTCTCACATCTGCAGCAGTGTACTTGGAGGAATCCGCAACAGGCTCCTGCCGTGTAGGGAGCTGATCACCAAAAAAAAAGTGAGCCTTAATACCAAAAGGAAAAAGAAGCATTTTGCAAGACCAGACAGAAGAAGACAGATAAAGAACCTTCTTAAGTGCCTCAGCCTCATCCAATGCTTTCTGGGCTTCATCAATCATACCTTGTTCACCTAATAAATGAAATTAACAAGATATATAGAGTATTTCAGTCGACGTAGATAACTAACACCACAAGGATATAGTAGTCAACCATACAACTCCAGAGAGTACGATTAAGCTATGTAGGAGTTCAATGAACTTAGATTTCAAGGTATTCCACCAGAACACACAGTGCAAATCAAATTGGATATACTAAGCAAAGCAGTTAAGACTTCATTCTTCTTGTTTTCACAAAATATATTCAGAAACAAAAAGATAAATACATTATAAACTAAATTTATAGGTTTCTCTTTTGCTTCTTTTAAACCTCAGAAGTAAAAAAAAATAAATATATAAAACATAAAAAAAATCTATGTCAGGATGCGGGGAAAATGAGGTAGAAATTCCATTCTGAATTCTGAGCATGTCCACTCTATAGAGGCATCAGAACTGAGACAAGCGCCACACAAATTCAGCATATTAGCCATATAGTTTATAATAATATAACAACATGGCTTTGACTTTTAGGAAAAAAATATTTGATGTTTTCTAGCAGATTTTTGTTAATTTTACAGAAATCATCAAAAATAAAATAAAAAAAACCTTGTGTTACAAAATGACGGGCTTATGGATTCTCAACAAAGAGCAAAGAAAAACAATTTAAAGTAAATGGATCATTGGTGCAGTAACTTCTTTAAAAGAGAAATTATGAATCTCCGGAGAAAACAACCGTGAAAACGCTCTACTAAATTTAGAGACAAACATAAAAGAAGCAGTAAATGCAACTGGCAAATAGTTTCCACCAGTTTAGATAAAAGCAACACTTGGTATTAATGAATAGTTAGTATTAACATACCAAGATCCTCTGCTTTCTTTAGCTTCTCATTTATCATCTCCTGTATACGAGGATCTGGAGGAGCAGAAGCAGCAGCAGTTGCCGCTTGGGGAGCATTTGTAAGAGGCTGCGGTAGCGAGGCTCGGTCCTTGTTGAAGGCATCCAAAAGTAGCATAGACTGCCAATTAAGAAGAGAATCATTTATTACAACAAAGAAGAAAAATTCACATTATGTATGATGCCTCAGAATTAGATTTGTTGAAATGAACCCTTCTCAAGGGATCACAGAAATTTTAAGCGGCCAAAATTCCTCTAGAAACACTTCTCTCAGTAGAATATAAATTGCAAGAGTACATCCAACCAGTATACCTGCTTGTCTGCTCTTTTAGTTCTCAGCTCTTCCACCACTTCAAGAGCACGAATCTTCAAATCTGTCTTGCCTTCAAGATCTGTAAGAATTGAAAACCAAAAAGAACATCAGTAACAGAGAGCAAATACCATAGTCAGTATACCCTCACTAATCATTAGATATATGACTTTCCATAAGATAATTTACTATACATAGACATGGATTCTATAGTGTACCAATTCATAAAGTATATAATGGCAAATTATACCACACACAGTTGAGAACAACTTTAAACAAGAGTTAAAAATCCCTTTTAACCAACCTGGCATATAAAAAACATTGAATTATAAAGAAGAGGACATTCATTTGACATGACATAGTGCATAAGATGAAGATATGAAATACTTAATAGCAATTTTAATCGGAGTACAGTGGTTGTTACTTAAGTCCAGAACGAAACTGATTGTGCTCAGAATAAAAATCACTCCTGAAAGGGCTGATACCCTAAGAAACCAGCTAAAATGGACGTCTTGACACCTTACCATGTAGATCAGCTTCTTTCAGCTTCTCCTTAATTTCTTTAGACATCTCAACTATTTCTGGTGTCTGCATAGAATAATATAGAATGGATTATTAACAAGAAAGGAAGGAGAGAACGTGCTGAAAACTAGACAGTCATTAATGTTTACTACCTGTGTAACTTCTGAAACGGAAATGGCAATAGCAGCCTTAGCATCTTCATCATCAAGCCTCTTAAGAGCTCTCGCAATTTTTCGATCACACTCAACAATAAGTCTATCAATGACATCCTCCAAATCCCTGTCGTAATTATCAGTACCTTTTGCCTTCGCTTCCTCGTATCTAAAACAGAGTTAAAGGAATACTTGGGGAAACTGAAGCTTCAAAGTTCCAAATGAATTTTTACTTGTTCGTGAGTCATGCAGAGGTTTGCAGCCCAGACCAAAACCAGACCACTCAAAGAGAATTTGCAATATCCCTTCTCAAAAGTTGGTGTTGCAAAACCAGGGGAGCTAAAAGTTTTCAAGTAAGGTACAAAGATGTTCTATCTAATCAATTATCCTAAAAGTAAGTCTGTAGGATCCCCTGATCTCAATGTATATAAGGAGATAACCAAAAAAATAAATACAAATAAACAATCAGACATTTGGCTACAAGAAACTCGTCATAACATTCAAAAACTAAAACATCAAATCTATATGGATTTTCAGACAAGGAGAAGAAAGGAAACAGAATTCTTATAAAGTCAGAAACAGGATACTCTTTCCTCAACTGCAAAGAGTGCACCTTCGGGCAAGGTCCCATGTCCATTTTCTGCAATATATGTCATATGATTAGAACCAGATAAAATAAACCAGAAAACCGCTCCAGAGGCAGAATGCGATAGTTAAAGACAAAAACAACACAGGCAAACATGGCACGGCATCAAACGGAGCAAATAATTTGCATCCCCATTCTCAAAAACAAACTCCCCAACCCACACCCAAAAAAAAAAAAACCTAGCTTTTATAGTTTGACCACAAAACAAATACACTAAATTTGAAAAGTAAGCCCAATGCTAACACACACACAAACACGCACACACAACGAATGGCGGTACTTTCCCATTATCAATACCAAAGAGCCAAAAAATACCCAATCATTCAATCTAGAAACAAAGAAAGCTTGATACAGAATTGATTAGGATGATAAGAAAGTTACATACAGTGAGTTGGAAGAGCTCGTGGGGGCAAAGACCAGAGAGGAAGAGACGACAGACATCACGGTCGAAGTACTTGCGATCCACCTCTGCGACATCGCCGTTTCGATTGGCTCCCATTAACACATCCAATTGTTTCCTAAACGAATCCATTGTGGAACAAACCGTGGATAATCACCCTTCTCTCTCTCTGTGACAGAGGGTAGGGCTTTGCAGAAAGAATTTTCCAGAGTTAGGGTTTTTGTTTGATTTGGGGGAAAAGCGTGCTCCGTTGTCCGTATAGGTTCGGGCCGGTTAGTGCTTAGTAGGAGTAGCATTAGCTTAAAAGTTGGAGTTGGACAAGCTTAATTACACTCCGACCCTCAAGTTTTAGCAAAACATTCTTTTAACTCGATTAATTGAAATACTTTTCTTATTTCCCTCAAAAAAAAAAGATAAAATAAAATAAAAGAAAAGTGTTGTATATAGGTAAATGACCAAAAGATCAAATGCCTATGATCATAGGCTCAGGAAAATGGAGTCATGTTGTCTCCACATTTTTCTCCTATAAATACATGAGTTTCAGAGGAGAGAATGACACATAATTTTTTCTTTCCTCTCCTTCTTTCCTCCTACTCCTTATGCTTCCTTATTTTTCTTCTTTTTAAATCTCATAAGGTCTGTTATTATATTTAAACTATTATAATAATATAGTTTCTAACAGAGAAGTAATAAATATCATCACTAAATAAATTATTAGTTACCTTTGCATTGGATCATAATATATAGACCCTAGTTTTACAACACGTTATCAGTACGACCGTCTCTGCAATCAGCAAAGGTATAAATTTTCTTATTCAGTATTTATATTTCATATGGAAGGTTATACCTCCTAATTATTTATTTATTGCAATAAAAGGGCGGTTGTACCGCCTGCTCGTTTAATTATTATTATTTCATGCAATTTAATTAAAAGGACGGTTGTACCACATGCTTGTTTATTTTTGCAATTTAATATGAGGTACTTTATAAATCCCTATTTATTTATTCTTGGATTGTTATATTATTTGTGGGATAATTTTAAATCCATAGGTATTTTTTCTCGATAATTTATATTCTTGAAATTTAAATTATTATGTGTTATATATTTGTCTATGATATTTATTTTCTTGTATATATTCTTCATCTCATATAGAATATTATAATATGTATAACATGTATGCAGCCGTTATTTTAAACAGTATGTATAAATATCAAAATAAGTATAAAAATACGTATATAGCCGTTTTTCAAATACGTATATAACCGTTATTTTCAAACGGCTATAACTGCTATAATCTTCAAATTTTTCTATAAATATATCATTTCTAAATCTCATTTACACACCTTCAGTATCCTGGTGATTCTCCTCTTTCCTCTTCTCAGAAAAAAATGTCTTGGCCTATCTATTTTTTTATTTTTATCAATAATTTCAGTATTTATTATATCTTTGATTTATTTAGATGATAGAGAATTTTATTTACATTTGTTTTTTATAAATTGGATTTTAATTCTGTTTCTTGTCGCAATATTTATATGAAAAATTATGAAGTTGTAAGCTTGTATTTTGAATTTCAATAATATGTTATATTATTATTGTATTTTATTTGATGTAATAATTCTAATATTTACTATTTTTCATCATTACATTATTTATGGAATGAAATTTTAATTATGTTCTTTATGTTTTAGTTGCCAACAATGTCAAATTTATCAAAGCTCGAGTTTGAAGCTCTGAAACACACTGGACAGAATTATATGTGTTAGAGAACGAATGTTCTAACACATTTACGATCAATAAGTCTCACAGATACTATTGAACCTGAAAACAATGCCTCAGACAAAGATAAGGCAACTGTGATGATATTGCTTCGCAAACATTTTGATGATTGTTTGCAAAATGAATACGTTGATCAAGATGATCCCAATGAATACATCTGGAAAAGCATTACCTCCAGATTTGATAATAAAAGGGCAGTTATATTGCCAAATGCTATTGATGAATGGAATTCATTACGATTCCAAGATTTTAAAAGTGTGGATGAATATAACAGCACTGTTCAGGATTGTCACAATTAAAATTTTGTGGACATCCTAAGACTGACAGAGAAATGATAGATAAAACTCTGTCAACATTTCATCTATCTGGTATTATTCTTTCAAATACTCATAAATTGATGAAGTACGAGCATTATTCTGATTTGCCAATAGACTTTTGATAAAGAATCACCAGTCACGACCTACTGGCTCGATGGCATATCCTGAGGCAAACGCCATAAATTCAGGATACTCTGGAAATTTTAATGGCCGTGGACGTGGCCGAGGCCGAGGTCGTAGTCGTGGTCGTGGTCGTGGTCGTGGTCGTGGTCGTGGTCGTGGTCACAACCGTGGCGGCCGTGGTGACCGTGGAGGTCGTAGAGGCTATGGTGGCCGTGGAGGCTATAATGACCATAGAGGAAAACAATTTTCTGGCCATAATCATGGTAATGCCCCATATGGCTATAATCATGGTAATGCCTCGTATAAACAAATGGCTCAGCCTCAAAAGAAAATTAAAATGACCAAGAATGATGCTCTAGAAAAACCTCAAAAGAATGCTGAAGATGCATGTTACAGGTGTGGTACTGAAGGTCATTTTGCAAAAGTCTGTAGAACTCCAAAACACCTTTGTGAGCTTTATGTCGCATCAAAGGTAAAGGAAAAGAAGTAAATTTCAATGAGCATATTGATCAAATGGAGGATAATGGTCAAACTCAGTTGAATGCTTCAGATTTTGCAAGTGAATTTGTTGAATTTTGAAACTATCAAAATGTATTTGAATGTTTCTATTATATGTTAAGAACTGAAGCACTAAATAAATAATTATATTGGATGAGGTTCTGTAATAGTGTTGTATTGTCAATTAATATTATTTTAATGAATTTTGTTTTCTTCAACAAACTTGTTATCTTATTTTTTCTTATTAAATTTTGATTATTTATCTTTCTTTTGAAGTTTGACATGGATTTCAGTGAAACTCAAAGTAAAAGCAGCGTTGGAAATTTTTGTATACCAGATAGTGGTGCCTCGCACACTATCTTGAGAAATAGAGAATATTTCTCTGAAATAAAACCAACAAAGGCAATGGTTTGTATAATATCAGGTCCTGTAGATCTGATTGAAGGAATTGGTAAAACCAAAATTACATTGCTAAGAGGAACATAATTTGAAATTGAAGAAGCTTTGTTTTCTCCAAATTTTAGGAGAAATTTGTTGAGTTTTGATGATATATACCAAAATGGGTATGATACACAATCTATGACTATAGATGGTGTAAAATATTTGAAAATCATCAGATATGAGTTTGGAAAAAATCAAACACTTGAAAGACTACCATTTGCTAATGGTTTGCATTATATATACATTGAATCAAACATGACAATGAGATCAAAATCCTTCGATCATTTAATGTTAAATTTATGGCATGAAAGGCTTGGCCATCCAGGTTCAATAATGATACAAAGGATTGTTGAAAATACTCATGGACATCCGTTAAAGGGACAAAGGATCCTTCAAAGTGATGAATTGTCATGTATAGCTTGTTCTCTTGGAAAATTAATATTGAGACATTCACTGCTAAAGATACAAAATGAATCATCTGTATTTCTTGAAAGGATTCAAGGTGATATATGTGGACCGATACATCCATCAAGTGGACCATTCAGATATTTCATGGTTCTAATAGACGCATCTAGTAGATGGTCTCATGTATGTTTATTGTCAACTCGTAATGTTGCCTTTGCAAAATTTCTTGCACAAATTATTAAATTACGAGCTCAGTTCCGTGATCATCCAATCAAAAGGGTTAGACTTGACAATGCTGGTGAATTTACGTCCCAGGCATTTAATGATTACTGTATGTCTACTGGAATTATTGTTGAGCATCCTCTTACTCATGTACATACACAAAACGGTTTGGCATAATCGTTGATTAAAAGACTACAGTTAATTGCTAGACCATTAATTATGAGAACAAAGCTACATGTTTCAGTTTGGGGTCGTGCAATATTACATGCTGCTTCATTGATTCGTATAAGACCTAGTACGGATCACAAATACTCCCCATTGCAATTGGCATTTGGACGTGAACCAAACGTTTCACATCTTAGAGTATTTAGTTGTGCTGTATATGTACCCATTGCACCATCACAGTGTACAAAAATGGGTCCTCAAAGAAGATTGAGAATATATGTTGGGTTTGAATCACCCTCTATTATTAAATATCTTGAGCCTTTGACTGGCGATGTTTTCTTAGCACGTTTTGCTGACTGTCAGTTTAATGAAACTATTTTCCCAACATTAGGGGGAGAAAGAAAAAAAGTAATTAAGAATATCGCATGGAATGAACCATCATTATTGTATCTTGATCCTCGCACAAAGCAATGCGAAGCAGAAATACAAAAGATTGTACCTTTACAAGTAATTGCGAATCAATTGCCAGATGCTTTTGTGGATTCAAAAGGAGTGACTAAATCACATATACCAGCATCTAATGCTCCTGCTCGGATTAAAATCCCAAAGCTGAAAATTGAGGATAAAGTCTCTCAAGAGTCTAAACCACGTTTGAAGCGTGGAAGATCGATTGGTTCAAAAGATAAAAATCCTCGAACTAAAAAGAGAACAGAAAATAAAGGCAATACAAAAGAAACTATTTCTGAAGAAACACAGAGCAAAGAAATTCCCCAAGAAGAGAAAAAGGAGATGAATAAAGAAATCTCAATCAATTATAACAATACGGGGATACTGTGGAATAGAGATAAAATCGAAGAAAATGATGAGATTTTCTCTTATGCTGTAGCATGTGAAATTATGGATGAAAATGATGATCCTGAACCAAAATCAGTTAAAGAATGTTAAAATAGACATGACTGGTTAAAATGGAAATGCAAGCTGAATTGAATTCGCTTAAGAAGCGAAAAGTTTTCGGACCTATTATCCTCACTCCTGAAAACGTAAAGCCTGTAGGATACAAATGGGTTTTTGTACGAAAACGAAATGAGAAAAATGAGATTACCAGACATAAGGCTAGACTTGTAGCCCAAGGTTTTTCTCAAAGGCCTGGAATTGATTATAAGGAAACATATTCTCCTATTATGAATTCAATTACATTCAGGTTTTTAATCAGTCTTTCAGTTTCTAACAAATTAGAAATGTGTCTTATGGATGTTGTTACTGCTTATCTATATGGATCACTTGACAGTGATATTTATATGAAAATCCCAGAAGGATTTAAGATGCCAGAAACTTCAAGTTCAAAACCCAAAGAAATGTATTCGATCAAACTCCAAAGATCGTTATATGGGTTAAAGCAATTTGGATGCATGTGGTATAATCGTTTAAGCGATTATTTGATAAATAAGGGATATATCAATAATGTTATTTGTCAATGCGTTTTTATTAAGAAAACAACATTTGGATTTGTTATCACAGCTGTCTATGTTGATGATTTGAACATCATTGGAACACATAGAGAAATTGATGAAGTTGTTGCGTACTTAAAGAAATAATTTGAAATGAAAGATCTTGGAAAAATTAAGTATTGTCTTGGTTTACAAATTGAACATATGCATAAATGGAATATTTGTGCATCAATCAAATTATATAGAAAAGATCTTAAAACGCTTTAACATAGATAAAGCAAATTCTTTAAGTACTCCAATGGTTGTCAGAACAATAAATGATGAAAAGGATCCATTTCGTCTAGCTAAAGATGATGAAGAAATTCTTGGTCCAGGGGTACCATATTTGAGTGCAATTGGAGCTCTTATGTATCTTGCTAACTGTACTAGACCTGATATTTCTTTTGCAGTTAATTTATTAGCAAGACATAGCTCATCCCCTACCAAAAGACACTGGAACGGAATCAAGCATATATTTCGTTATCTTTGAGGAAGTATTGATTTGGGTTTGTTTTACTCTAACAATTCGAAACAAGAGTTAGTTGGTTATGCAGATGCAGGGTATTTATCTGATCCTCACCATGAAAAATCTCAGACTGGTTATGTGTTCACATGTGAAGGAACTGCAATTTCTTGGCGTTCCCAGAAACAAACAACAGTATCTACTTCTTCGAATCATGCAGAAATTATTGCATTACATGAAGCAAGTAGAGAAAGTGTATGGCTCAGGTCAATGACACAATACATCAAGATGTCTTGTGGTCTTCCAGTCAAGAAAAATCCAACCATTCTATATGAAGATAATGCAGCTTGTATTCATCAACTGGAGGAAGGATATATCAAGAATGATCGGACCAAGCATATACCTCCAAAATTCTTTGCATATACCAAAGAGCTCATGAAGAATAATGATATTGATATTTAATATGTTACTTCCAGTGAGAATTCAGCTGATCTTTTTACAAAGTCACTTCCTACAGTATTTTTCAGAAAACATGTTCATAACATCGGAATGCGTCATTTACACAACATATGAAGAATTACCGATGTTATAATCAGGGGGAGATAATTACGCACTGCACTCTTTTTCCCTTCGCTAAATTTTTTTTCCCACTGGGTTTTTATTTAGCAAGGTTTTTAACGAGGCAGTGTTATAGGTGTAATTTATTTGGTCATTTAAGGGGGAGTGTTGTATATAGGTAAATGACCAAAAGATCAAATGCCTATGATATAGGCTCAGGAAATTAGAGTCATGCTGTTTCCACATTTTTCTCCTATAAGTACATGAGTTTCATAGGAGAGAATGATACACTGAAAAGATAATTTTTCCCTTCCTCTCCTTCTTTCCTCCTACTCCTTATGCTTCCTTATTTTTCTTTTTCTTTTTAAATCTCATAAAGTCTGTTATTATATTTATACTATTATAATAATATAGTCTCTAACAGAGAAGTAATAAATATCATCACTAAATAAGTTATTAGTTACCTTTGCATTGGATCATTATATATAAACTCTAATTTTACAACAAAAAGTACCTTTTCGGTATCATTTTTATTTACAAAATGGACTATTACATAGGCATTTGGCTTGAGCTTGTAAGTTTAAAAATTAGTGTCATGGTATGTTGACATGAGAGATTGAAATTCAATTCTAATCCATCAAAATACCGAATTATTTTCTGATCGATTCCAATAAAATTACAGCTGCATCCAAATATAATTTAGTTTCGCTTTGTGGTAACTTGATGCTCTGGAATCGGTTCTATTAGGTTGAGTTATGTGTAGCTCAAAAAAAAAAAAAAGGTTGAGTTCTGGTTTATATCAAACAAATACTCCTAATAGATTAGTTCTAAGTTGATTTATAATATTGACCATTCCCCACCCCCCCGGAAGTTTAGTTTGAAACAGTGACTTTTAGTCGTAAATTCGATTTTGATTGCTGAAACTAAGTTACCAAAAAAAAAAAAAAAAAGAGAAGTTTATTGACCCAAATATTTGCGTTTTAAGCTTGCCAATAAACTAAGGCTAAACATAATATTTGGAAAAGTTTTGGTTTAAAATCTAAAATATGTGTATGAACGTGTATACAGTAATATTCAAAGTTACAAAAAAGAAACAAACCAAATTCACTCCAAGTCACTCAAGAATCATCATAATGCTCCATTGTGCGGAAATGCTTCAGAGTTTTGTACAAACTAGGGTTCATTCTAATCTTCATATATAGACTGGTCAACACAACTTCAGCAGCACAAAATAGAATTTCAGCTCCTAAATTCACCATACGTAAGTTATCCAATGGAAGAGAGCAGACACAACTTTACTCTTGGACTAATGTACAAACATATTTTAGAAACTCAGAGGCAACAAGCTCCTTAATGAGAATAGACGGCATTATCCTGCACACCCAGAAGATGAGTGAATCATTCAGGACAGCAACCAGATCTCAAAGCCATAGGAATGACATATCACGAGCTTATCATCTTCCAAATGCTATTGCAAGTATCAAAGGAAGTCTGCTTCGCAGGGTCAACTTCAAATTTCTGCACTGCTTTTTTGTCCCCCTCAACGATATCTAGGATCAATCCAAGTAAAGGAAAACGAAGTGCAACAAATGCTGAATGGAGTATCTTCTAATAAATCTACTTGGGAGAATAGAGATGAATTAAAACCCAAATCAGAGATTTAAGAGGATACGTCCTGATATTTTGGATTGATCATTTAGGTTAGGAATAATGCTCGTAACTGAAGCATACATTGAGAGTCTCATCCTGCAGGTTATAATGATCAATCTTTCAATTTCAGATGTCCTTAACATTTTCTAACATATGAATACCGGACAAGCAAAAATTATAAAGCATGGTGCACAGATGCTACCACAATGGCAGGGGAAGGATAGACAAACGAATCAGCCCAGCTTTAGAATAAAGATATTTCAGCCATTTGACAAGATCATGATTTCCAGCAACCGAGGATGTAAGATGTATAAGTTCAATGAAGAAACCTGAGATCATATGGAAACGCAACTGCAGAAAAATATCATAAAATCCACACTATGCAGTTTGAAGATTTTCATTAAGTTGCCCAAAAAAATAAAAAAAAATAAAACATTTGCTTTACTCAAGCATAAAAAAGCATCAAGAGGACTCGATAACTACTTGGCCAAGCAAAATCAAGCTAACACCTAAGAAAATAGCTAACCTGGTTTTGGAAATACAAATAATCAACCAAGATAAATTGCCATATCTCCTCTTATGCAAGATGAAAACAGAAGAGAAAAAACAGAAATTCCGCACAACTTACTCTCTCTTCAGGTCCTCTTGTTCAAGTTTCCTCAAAGCACGTTTCCGCTCTTCAATAGAGACACTCTGCTGTTCAAGGCTATCGATTTCAGCAGCAATCGCCGTGCTAATAAAATTAAACATAGCAACAAAATCAGTAACACTAAGAGAAATTAAAATTGGGGAAGAAATCAATTAGGTAACAAAAATACACTTATCTCAATTCCTCCTTCAGCATGCGTTCTATCTGGGAGGCTTCTTCAAGCTCTTTTGCCTCTGATTCTGTATCTTCATAGACATCAAGTTCCAATTTTGCTTCTGCAGTTCTCTTTCTGGACAAATCTAACTTCTTCTGATATTCTGTTACAGATAATTAGTCAGAAGTGCAAGGCTTTTTGATGCAATCCCAATCCCAAAATTTTACCCAAAGTTTCAAAATTGCAATTGCAGAGTTCTTTCTAAGAGCTGTAGCAAATTAATACAGGCAACAACAACAAAAGAAAAAGAATCCCGTGGCATAAACGATTACTGTAAGTACCTGCCCCTTGCTAATCCAGAATTGTAAATAAAAGATCTACTTCAACAGGGTAATTACATAAAAATTCATACTCTTGAGCAACTTCAGTTATGAATCCAACAACAAGGTATTGAATGCTTCAAAGGGGCATAAGCAATGTAAACATTAAACAGGAAAATACAAGAGGGCAACCAGCAAAACTGCTTGGCAAGTAGATTTTGATGCTCTAGCATCTAAAGAAGGTAACTAGTCTAAAGGACCCAATAAAATCAGCGCAACAATGCAGATTATCCAAAAGGAAATAACAGTACAAATTCATTCTGAAAAACTAATAAAGCTAGGTCTAAGTGAAACCCATCAAAAATTTCAAAAGAGGGACCGAGGGAAGAGGAAGAGAACCTTGAACAGAACACTCTACTTGTTCGAAATCGGCATCACACTGGGACTGGAGAGCTTGAAATTGGTGCAAACATTGCTTCAAATCGTTGATGTCCTCGTTACGTTCTAACAAATTGTTCAAGTCATTCCCGAAAGAAATCAGTTTCTCCACCTCAATTCTTGCCGCATCTCCCATGATTTTTCAGTCTCAATCTTCTTGTAAATCGAATAAATTACGTGGGTCTTCTCACGAAACTCAAAATCGGAGCGTACAAACTAGGGAAATTTACTATTAAACGGGGGAAGAGAGAGACTCAGTAAAGATTAAAGGAAAGTTTAGGCTCCAAATGAAGAAAATTTTAAACAAAAATCGTTATTTATGAAACTTCTTTATTCGTGTCCTTTAAATTTAATTTAATTTAAAATTAATTAAAAAAAATTAGAGAAATAAATATGTTAATTACAAAATACCCCCCCTTCTTGATGCAAATACTACAAAAAGACTCCCGACCAGCAAAACTTCTTCGATTGTAAATTTGTAATTTCAGCTTTGACAGTGATTTTCCTTCTTCTAACATTTTCTCTACCATGAACCACAACGCATTTAAACAATATGGTAAGTGAATGATTTATCCAAATAAAAAGCGAAAAAAAAATCTATGAACTTTAGGGAACGGAATAACTATATTTACATATGACCATTGGATTTTGATGTATGCAAATGTGAAGAATGGGGATATCGAAAATTTTCAAATCTTGAATCACTAAATCATCGAGAAATCGATTTGCAACGATATTGCTAGTAGCATAGTAATAATCCAAATAGTACAATAAACATGATTGTTTTTTCCTTTTTGGGGTAAAAAAACAATAAGAACAGTAGTAAAAGCAGCTGGTTTGAAGATAATAATTGGTAAAGTCAAACTACTTATTAAGAGTAGCCCTCAGGCCTCAACATTTGGACTTAGCCTCCTTTAGCAGCTTCATAACCTCATGCATTGAAGGCCTCTTCCAAGGGTCATCACAAGTGCATTTCTGAGCAATAGCAAGAACATCCATCATTTGATCTTTCCATAGAGAAGAAGAATCCGAAAGACAAGGGTCGAATACTTCACATTCTCTTCCTTTAGCAGCCATCCACCTTACCCATCCAACAAGATTGCCTCCTTCAATATCTGTCTGTCCAACTGGTGCTTTTCCTGTTAGCAACTCTAGTATCACAACTCCAAAACTGTAGACATCACCTTTGACTGTAGCTATCATAGTCAGACCATACTCGGGCGGTATATACCCGAATGTGCCAGCAAGTATGGTGGATACATGAGTCTCACACGCGCTGATGATCCGTGCCAGGCCGAAATCAGATACTCTCGGTTCGAAATTTTTGTTCAACAGTATGTTGCTTGACTTGATATCCCGGTGAATTACATGAGGCACAAAACCATGATGTAGAAAAGCGAGACCCCGGGCTGAGCCAAGACAAATCTTGAATCTAGTAGGCCAATCAAGGGGTGGCACTGCATTGGCCTGATGCCTCAACCAAAAGTCAAGGCTTCCATTTTCCATGTAATCATATATTAAGAACCTCTCATCAGCAAAGACACAATAGCCAAGCAATGGAACTAGATTTTCATGCTTTATCTTCCCAATTGTTTCCATTTCAGCCAAGAATTCGCGATCACCACGTGAGTGTCCTCCATTAAGTCTTTTGACAGCAAACACTCGATTTGGAAGCGAAGCTTTGTACACTGTTCCAAAGCCACCATCACCAATGATGTAACTCTTGTTTAAGTTTTCTGTAGCTGATAAAATATCAAAGGGATTTATCCGCAACAAAGAATGCTCGAAAGTTGCTATGTTGATGCTTGGAGGTCCATTCGGCTTTTTCATCAAAAGCTCACCAGAGGATGTTGGTTCAACAGATATAGCAAGCTTATCCTTACCTCTGTTGAGAGTGACAACTTGATGTCTTAGCATTCTCCAATTAAGGATAAGAATAAGGAGGATCACAAACGCAACTGTTGCCCCAAGAGCAATGCCTAAAACGGAAGCAAGAGACAGAATTGGTGATGAATTAAACGGATGCTTACGAGGTGAAATACCATTCTGGCGTCGCAAGCATTGTTCAGCTTTCTGACAATATTCTGGCACATATCCTCTGAATTTGTTGTTGGAGAAATTGACAGAGACTAGGCTTTCTATTCCACAGATGTTACAAGGGAAGTAGTCTGTGAAATTGTTGTTTGACAAGTCAAGAAATGTCAAGAAAGCAAGCGTTGAAAGAGATGATGGCAATGGGCCTGTAAGTGTATTGTTATGGATATCCAATGTGCTAAGAGATGTCAAGTTTGAGATGGAGTCAGGAAGCGCGCCGGAGAATTTATTGTTACTGGCATTAAAGAATAAAAGAGGACTGCTGTTTCCAAGATTGATAGACAGAGCTCCAGAGAAATAATTCTTGCTGATGTCCAAGTGTGACAATTTAGAAATGTTGAAAACTGAACCTGGAAATTGGCCTGTGAAGAAGTTACTCGAAAGGTCAAGCGTTTCAAGACTTGGAACTGCGCCGCCAAAATCCTCAGGAATGATACCACTCAACTGGTTATGTGAAAGTATTAAACCTTCTAGATTCTTCATTGACCAATTAGAAACCAAAGGACCTGCTAAATTATTGTGAGACAGGTCAAGTGATGTTAAGTTCAAAGCAAATAGTCCAAATGGAATGCTCCCATTCAGTCTGTTGCCCTGCAAATGTAGTTGTGAAACACCACTACATTGGTTGATTGATGCAGGAATTGGACCCTCAAGATCATTATTGGATAAATCAAGCATTCCATGGTGTTGAACAAACTCAGAATCCGAATAGGTAAACTTTTGAAAAGCCGCGCAAATCTCTTCAGGAATAGAACCAGAGATGTGGTTACCAGAAAATACAAGGTTGTCAATTGCTTTCAGTTTAGATATAGACTTCGGGATCTGACCTGTCAGTTTGTTCGACCCTAGATCTAGAGTCACCAGCTTTGTACATTCGAAAATTTCAGCAGGAATCTCTCCGGTCAAGTTGTTTCCATTTAAAGAGAGATTGGTAAGATTTTTTATCTTCCCAATGCTACTTGGAATGCTTCCTCCGAAGTAGTTATGATCTAGCTGCAGCCTCTGCAAGGTGGAAACTTTTGCAATCTCCTCAGGGATTGGACCTTCAAGAAAGTTGTTACCAAGCGTGATCTCCATGAGTGTACGCGATTTCCAAAGTTGATCAGGAAGTCTTCCAGAGAAATAGTTCTCTGAAAGCTCCAGAGTTATCAATGGAAGGTCTCCAAGATAGGATGGAATCTCACCAGAAAGACCATTTTTTGATAAAATCAAATCCGTCAGGCGCAGACAACGGCTGAAAGTTTTCTCTATTCCACCTGAAAGGTTGTTATCAGACAAGTCTAGGAAGTGCAATGACTTGGCATTGCATAACTTGGCTGGCAAAACCCCGGAAAGATTGTTGCTACCAAGAGCGAGAGATGATAGCATGGGCAAATCCAATGGTGGTATGCTCCCAGTAAAGGCATTCTTTGAAAGCAGAATCTTCTGTACTAGCTTCCATTCAGAAATCCATTCAGGAACACGGCCGGACAAATTATTCGAATCAAGAGAAACCGATTCAACTGACTCCATTCCTGCAAGTTCCTTTGGTAAGGTACCACATAATGAGTTAAATGACAGGTCGATGGTTTTCAATCTCTTACAGTTTCCCAACTGTGGAGGAATTTCTCCAGTCAGTCCAGCATTCGGAACAATCAGGTGAACAAGGTTTGCAAGCTTGCCAATTCCTGCAGGGAGGCTTCTTCCCTTCAGACTATTCTGAGCCAGATTCAAGTAAGTCAAGCTACTCAGCTCAGATATTTCCTCAGGGATGGAACCCGAAATTTTACAATTCTGAAGATTTAGAACCCGGAGATCTTTGAGGCTGGCAATTGTAATAGGCAGACATCCGCTTATATTATTTTCTGAGAGATCAATATGCTTCAGCTTCAGTAGGTTTCCGAAATTCAGCAAGAGTGGCCCTGCCAGATGGTTTTGGCTTGCATCAAGATACATTAGACCTGTCAAATCGCCGAAACTGGAAGGCAACCTGCCAGAAAATCTATTTACACTGAGGTCAAGAGATCTTAGATTCCTCAAATTTCCTAGCTCTATAGGAAGATGCCCAGAAAACATATTACCACGGACTGAAAGCTCAATCAGTTCTTCCAGCATACCAACCGTTGATGGCAAAGTACCAGAAAAGCTGTTATCATCAAGCACAAGTGTTTTTAAGCTCCTCAGGTTGGATATACTATCAGGCAAGACACCAGTTAATTTGTTGCCACTGACATCAAGACTTTCCAAGTTCTCTAAACTCCATAAACCTGGAGGAATACCACCAGTAAGGCCACAATGACTCAGGTTTAGATATCTCAGCGCCCTGAATGAATCCATGAGATTAGGAAATGGAAGATCCACAGGCCTCGTCTGACAAGATAAATCGATATGCGTAACAGTTGCACCATCGCATCTTATCCCAGTCCAATTACACGGAGGGGTTCCGTCATCAAACCAGTTAGGAACCGCAGTTCTTCCAGAGGCAAGAGATTGCCTTAGAGCTTTCAACTGCTCCACATCCCCTGGGGAACTGTCAGCTGCCAGTGCTGGAGAAAGAGCCAGGAAAATGATGATTGCAAGAACATAGAAAGTCTTCCATTTGAAACTGAGCTTTGACATTGTGCACTAACACAAAGTAATCCCAATAGTCAAGATTACTTACAACTGGCTCAGTGGTTTCAATCAGAGCTGGATTCTGCAGACTAAATAAAATTATGAATAAGGAATTTCCCTCCTGAAGGACTCAATCAAGAAAGCGAAGTTCAAAAATTTATTAGCTTATCTAATGCTCATAAATACATCAATAAAGGAAGCTGAAAGAAGTCAATCTCTTCAGCTATAATATGAGCAAATGACTTGACTCCACCATCAGATTCCAAGTAAGAACAAAACATAAGGTTGAAAGGCAAAAGATATAGAGCCAAAAAATCATTATGATCATGATGCCATGTCAAGTAACCAAAAAACATGGTGTCTATTCTCCCCACAAAACATGATCACAACAAAATAAAACCCACAAAAGATATCTCAATTCTCCATTTTTGCCTGATGGAACTCCACACACACACACACACACACACACACGCAGAGAATCAGTGTATTCTCTTATTCCACAACAGGCTCAGATTTATAAAAAGGAAGACAGTTAGTGTAAAATACATGCATCAAAAAAAGCAAAAGAATAAAAATCCCAACTTTGGACTTCACAGCTTGTCAATGAACAAACTCTCAAATGAGGTATATATACTTATAACATGAATTAAAAGAAATCAGATTTCATAACAGATAACAAACATTTAATATGATTTTCGAACACTCACGTTATGAAATTTAACTAAGAATGGATCAGAAAAAACGGGAAGAAAGAAAAGGTACCTTACAAGTTCAGAGCTAGCTTAAACAAAACTTCGAGAGCCGATTCCAAAGGATCGTTCCTCTGGATATCGGCGTTTTTTTCTGAGTTTTTGCAACAAAGAGATGCTAGAAAAAGAGAATTTTTTTTTTTTGTGCTAATATAAAGAGAGGAAGACAGCGGCACCGTTATGATGGAGAAGAGAGTTTTTGTACGCAGAGACAGATGGCAACATATTCAAAATGTAGAGAGCTTCTAGCACATAATACAGCCATAACTGAAAACTCTCCTTTTATACGTTAAAGTAAGTGTTTGAATCAGTACCATGACTTCACCATATTCATGCCACGAGTTAAATACAGCTGCAAAACAAGAAACCAGCAAACAAGGAAAGAAAAAGAAAACAAAACACAACAAAAAGGAAAAGCTTGAAAATCACTACATTACTTTTTAGTTAATGAATGTAGGAAAAAAAATTCCATTCTTCCGTCGATTTGATGGTTCAGTCATTCGTCTGAAAATTAATTATGTATATTATCGATTATACATGTACGTCATTTTAAGAATATTCATTCTTGTAAATTATGAGTATTATTATTTCCTCTCTTCCAATATATATATTTTTTAAAAGAAATAGTCTACTTTATGATATGTGAATTATACTTCACAAACGTAACGTAGATTATTTTCCTGAAATAAAAGGAGTATTATTTAAAACAACAAAAAAGTGACTGATATTTAGAAGATTAAAAAAATAATTCTATCCTTTTACTACGTACGAAATATTTTTACTGTCCGTCTCTGTTCTCTCAGCAGCTTACAAAAACTAGTAAAAATCGTTCTTTTTGGTACAGTAGTCAAGTGTTCCTTTCCAGTTTCCACAACTCCAATTCTGAAACAATGAAGATCGTCAAATTCCGGCGACATTCAGCTCGGATTCCACTTCCGTTACTTATTTCTCTCTCTTTTCTGCTGACGGCGTCGTTCGCTTTCCAATCCGACGAGCTCCTCGTCGACGACGAAGAATTCGGTCTCGAAGGCGGTTCCGCCCCGCGATCGACCCTTGATGTGCCTTCCTCTGTTCCCAGTCCACCATCTCAACCGACCAAGAAGAGGTCCTCGGAAGCGGGTTCTGGATCCGAATCCGACTCCAAAATCCAGTTTTCCCTCGAACACGCCTTCGGAGATTCCGATTTCTCTCCCGCCGGCACCTTTACTGCCCGGCTTAAGAATTCGCCCCACAGCGGTCAGGTACGTCCTCAAGTTTAGGTCTTGTTAATTGGGCATATTGATCGTATACTGTAGACGCTGGAATTATAGTTGCGAAGTTGTACTTCCTGCAGATAATGTTGTACACTTCGAATTGATTCTGTTTTGTTAACTATTTCTGACTGTTAGGCCCCTTTAGTTCTGCATTTGTTGCTAAGTCTGCTTACTGGGAGTTGCATCTGAGTATTGATGCGTGGAATTACTGACTATGTAGTATAATTTACTTGAATGCCAAAGGGGGTTCTTCTGCGTCAATTGCTTTTACATTTATGACTATACCTGATTTTGTCTTGTTCTTTGATTGTTATCTTCATTTTCATGAACCAGACTCTGGCAAAGCTCCGTTTTTCAAGACTTGACTTTACTGAGGCTGAAAAGGAGAACTTTAAAGTGAGTATTCGTTTCACTGGGTTTGATTCTACTTGAGTGGGGAGAAAAAGAAAGAAATATCTGATTTCTAGCCTGAAGTAAAACCGGGTATGGTAATAATTGGTGGAATTTTATCTTGCAGAAACTACTGGAAGATGATGACTTCTACAAGATTAGAATTGCAACCAATCTGTTGACTCCTCCCGGCAGAGATCATGTTGTTTCATCCGTAAAAGCGGTAATTTATGTTTAACCTACATTGTTGATTATGAAGAACATGTTCAGAATTAGGAAGAATGTTCTTTTGTTGCAATGCTGAGAGTGGATATTGTTAGGATATGTTATGGTGTCTGATCATTCTCAGAAGTTAAACTTGAGGGATTTTATCTTACAGTTCTGATGTTTATGAATGAATTTTCGTGTTAGAATTTATATCTCTCTGTTCATTTCAGCTGCGAAGTCACAACATTGTGTTTGAAGTTATCTATGTTCACTGCTTGCTTGGATAGAATCCGAATGTAACCCATTTTCTTCATGTGTTTGCTCAGAGCCAAACCCTTCCCCACCTTTTTACTTTCTTTTCAAATTTTACCAATACCCATTGGCTTATGGACCACTGATTTCTAATGTTTTAAGACCAATTGAGCATGATTAACCTTCTTGGAGATCTGTTCGTAAAGTAAGTCGCATGATTGTAGGGATTGATCTTTCTGGTTTAATGAACGCTTTTGCCCTCTGTAGTCCCTTGAAAACAAATTCTAAATCGTCTCTATGTTGCTATAAAATTTTATTTGCGATGAACTGCTGATATCATTATACAGAATTTACCAATTTATATTTTATGTTCTTTAATCTTTATACCTATTTTAGTTGTTAATCTTTGACATTGTGGTTGGTATTTTTTATGTCTACCAGAGATGTCTACCACGAAACGGTCTGGATGAGCATATTGTCATTCACATGGTAATGATCTCTCTGACATAGTTTACCGGACGTAATGGAATTGAATATGATCTTATCTGAATTTTTTTCTAAAATACGTACTCTTTTTATTTTCAGTGTATTTATGTTCTTGTTGTCATCCACACATTTGAATCTTAGTGTTCAATCACTGTTGTTCATGTAGATTAGTTGAATTTAATGTTTGCAGAAAAGTGTTGATCAGGATAAAGTCAAGGTCAAGATACCAGTTTATTTGTAAATAATGTAATGTTCTGAACCTATGAGGAATTAAAGGTGGTTTTTGGTGTGGTTTAAATGTCTACATTATGACCTCCATGTTTGGCTTCTACATATCTTCTTCTGCCACACTGATAACAAATTGGAGTGAAACACCTATATTATTCGTGGTAGCTTTTTATGGTCTTGTAGTCATTGCATTGTGTTAGATGAACTGAGCTGAGAAAGCTCCCATAAGGTTAACTTAAAAGTGTAGTATATGATGCCCATTGATTAAGGAAACTGATTGAATGGTGTCTTTGTTTAAATAGGGAGTTTGATCTACTTGCTTTGTGTGGTTGTGGATTGGAAAAAAAGCATGTTATATACACTGGGTTTGCTAAGCATTTGAATAAAACGTGAAGATGGATATTAATTCTACCAATAAGCAAATGGAAATTGGAAAGCCTGGATCAGACTTAGATTCTCAAGTACATCCATGAAAGCTCATATTTATCATTGTTTGTCGCATATTACAAGGATAAGATAAAAGAGATGAAATAAGGGTGGAGAATTTTGCAAACTTGTGATAATAGTAGTATCATTTCATATTAATGAGCTGTCGTTATCCCGAAACTGGTTCCTGTTTTACTACATCATCTGTACATGCCTCACTATTTCCTTATAATACTAATTGCAGGATGGCGTCAATGTTTTGGCAGTTAATTATGGTTCTCAAGGAGCATGTCAGTATCCTCGCAGCTTGAAATTTGTAAGTGTGCCCTCAAACTTGCTTGCGTCCCCCGCAATTCCCTAATTTGAACCTTTGTAATATTTAAAATAAAAATGTAAATGCCGGGAACTAAATTGCACCTAATGCACCAATTTATTGCCAGTTCTCATCATGAAACACTTGTATGTTTCAAAATAATAATAATAAAAAATGAAACTCCTGCATTTTCAATAGATAAGTTTGGTCCTAGGTTCCTAGGGAATTCGGATTTCACTACATTACTAACATTTGGCTTTTGCTATTTTTGCAGCCCAAGAGGTGGTCATTTAACTCGCGCACTTTCTTAAAGAACAGCGAGCTGGCTCCAAGGTGAACCTTCACTCCTCTGTTAGCCATTTTTATTTATTCTACTCACTATGGGAAACTATTATTTGTCCGTGGTGAAATAGCATTTGTTTACTGTCCACGTGCCAATAATGGTTCTCAAGTATATTGTTCTCCTCAGTTCACACATAACTCAATCTAGTCGTTTTCTTGATGAGGATGAAGGATGCATTTCATATATTATCTGGTTCATAATGTCATCTGTGTGTTCTGACTTCAGGCCTCTTTTTGTGGCTCATCTCTGTGTAACAGTCTGAAAATTGGGATCATTAAATTAATTAACAAGTCACGAAAGCTTCTTTGCTCGTTTATTGGTGTCGCTCTTTATTCCTCCTATCTCTTAAGTTGATTGATTTCAAAGGACAAAAAAATCTGTAAGTTGATGCATGGAAATTGGGATCTTCAAACGTGTCAATCAAATTGGATTGGTTTGAACAGGACTCCAGTATTTTCAGAAGATATTGGCGGTGGTGAGAATGCAGAAGGTGAAGCGATGGCACCTCCTGAGAGGACTTTCTGGCAAAAATATGTAAGTATCAGTGAATCTCTGAGTATTTCTGTTTTTCGCGGCTTATTGATGAAATGCTTGTGAATAATATTTTGTGTTGTTTTTTCTGTTTTTGTTTCAGTGGATGTACTTGATTCCTCTAGGACTCGTAGTCATGAATGCTATAACTCAAGCAATGAACATGGCCGAGGAGCAACAGGGTGGCGGTCAAGCAGGCTCTCAAGTGCAGCCACGTGGCCAACCAGCTGCAGTGCGGAGAAGATGATTGGCAAATCATTTTTCCTTTTTGGGGGATGGTGTTATTGAGTTCAACTGCTTTTCTCATAATTAGGTAGAGTAGGTAGAGAAACGATGCAATTTTTGTAATTTCTTTGGAGTTGGATTGTTGTTAACTTTCAGCCTAAGATTATGAAAGCTATCAGGGAAGTTAAGATAATGTTTGTACCTCCAAACTCCTATCTCTTCATTACGAACAGAACACACATCGGGGCTTGTAACTTGGTCTTCTCTCCAGAGTCCACTGCAGCATACTAATACGTTTATTTTTCCCAACCTATATGGATAAATGTCACTCAAATTTTTTTTTTAGAAATAAAAATAAATTTATTAATTTGCTAGAATTCCTCTAGCAGCGATTGATAAAAGTAAGATACAACCATAAAAACACAACTTACAAATACTCACAATGCCATTATTGTATTTCACTACATGAATAAACTTATATTGCTCTATTGCATAAAATAATGGTTGTAGCACATGCCAGACTTTTAATCCGGTCAAGGATACAATTCTAACCTTCGTTGAAATCCTCAAATCGTAAATCTAATAATAATTAGATCTACTATGACTGAATCTTCTTGGATCATGCCTACCAAACCGACGAACACCTTTAACGAAGCAGTCATTGCCGTATCTGCATATATCATCGACGAAATCGTCGCCATACTAACAAATATCAACAAGGATGTTGCCGCCATACGTGCAAACATCGATGTTGCCGCCATATTTTAGATTATAATCTACAACCTGTTTATTAAAACTAAATCAAAATCACAAAAAAAATTGAAAAGATATGAGTAGAATTATTTTTCCCTGATTAATTTTTTTTTTTTTTTAGAGTTTGACGGAGAGGGAGGCGGCCAAAAGAGAGAGCCAGGTAATGCTCACTCAATTTGGTTGGCATAACTTTTGTTGTGTCCCTTGATCATACTAGTTAGAAATTAATTTTTTAAAATTGTTATGAATTGAAGAGGTTACAATTTTTACGTAATAAATGAATAAAAATTATCAATAATTTTAAATTTGATTTTTTTTTTATCAGAGCATTTAGAGTTTGAAAAGTGAATTCTAACTCTTGATATTCTTCATTTATTCTATTAGTCACCATTGTGGCCATCTTTACTACAGTTTTCTCATACATATGATTACCTTTATCTATTTAAATTTGTCATTTAAATTTCTCTTTATCCCTTTTATTATCCTATTAAAGCAGAATACATAATGTTGATGTGACAATTTCTTATTAAAAATTTTTGGCTCCAAATGCACCATATTACATTAAGCATTCTGTCACGTGTCATTCCTTTTTAAAAGAAAAAAAAAATTCTTATCCGGAGAAACAAAAGCTACTTTACAAAAATAGCTACACAATTTTAACTCTTAACATTTATCATTTATCAATCAAATTAAAATAACATTTAAATTTACCCATAAACTTATCCCGTTTATTACTCCACATTCTTTTGTATGATTTCTGCATCGTTGTACTTTTCAATATTTTTTCTCTTTTGGCAGATGATTTTTTTATTTTTATTTTTTTGACTAAAAAAGGGAAAAAAAACCAAATGTGTAGTTATTTTATTTTTTCTAAATCAAGAATTCATTTATCTATTAACATAAGATTAAAGTAGAGGGTCGCTCGGGTATCTACCAACCATCTAGTTAATTATTATGACAAAAGTGAATGCAACTTTTCATCTTTTTCATTTGCTTAATAATTATTGCTAATTGTAATAAAATAGATTTTTTCAACTATTCATTTTCTTGCTCTGTTTTGTCCCCCATCTTTTCACTAAAAAAAAGGCTCCGTAATGATCTAACTAACAAAAGTTTTCAGTTTGTGAAATTATATCTTTTTTTTTTTCTTTACCTTCTTCCTTTTTTTTGTTTCGATTATTTCTTCCTCTTTTTTTGAAATAGAAGGGAATTTCATTAATTTGATGGAAACCGCCCAACATGTACAGAGGTACAAAGTCGAAAATAATGTCCCAGTATTTTTTGAATTCCTTTTTGGACTTTGCAAATTGTGCTAAAGCATGAGAGAATACATTAAACCTCGGTGGATCCATTTGCAATTGAAGTTCACTTGGTCTCGAAACCTAGCTTTTGCATCAGAAATTACAAGTCCCCAGTCTGATAAATCTTCTTCTTCAGAGTTAAAGCGATGGATGATGGAAGATGAGTCTCCTATAAGCGTGCATTGGTCAATGCCTGATGCGGCAGCCAGCCTTGTTGCCTCTCTCGCAGCCACAACTTCTATCACTTTTGCGGAGAAAAGACCATCGTAGCTCTTTGCATAGCCTCTGACAAAGCCTGATGAACAATTCCAAATAAGGATTCCAGAGGCTGATAGCTTAAGAGTTGTGCTGATGGCACCGTCAAAGAAGATGCACGTCCCCTGCATGAAGTCAAGGGAATTCTCAGGCCTTTCTTTTGGTTTGGGGACAAGAAAATGGTGTAGCTGCGCATTTCTCCAGGCTGACAGGATTGAATCACTCATCTCCTTTATCGTTCTAGCCATGAAAGCATGGTTTTCGAAAACCAGAGTGTTCCTTGCATGCCACAGGTTATAGCAGATGCAGGCGAATCGACTCAGGCTTGATTTCGGCAAGGACTCCAAAAGCTCTATCAGTCTGATGGTGGCAATTGGATAAGGATTTCTGTATACCTCTGAAGAGAAACCCGTTAGCCGCCAGACTTCTCTTGTGATGTTGCATTCGAAGAAGACATGGTTTAAGTCTTCCAATTCACCGCACATGGAGCATTTTGGGGTTGTGTCAACTCTGCGCTGCAAGAGATTCTTTTTTGTTGCCAGAGAGTCCGTAATCATACGCCACAGATGATGTTTCACCTTAGGAGTAATGTCCACATTCCATAATCTCCTCTAATATGAAATCTCCATATCAGAGATAGAACTACCTGTAATTGGATGGCTTTGGAAACCAGGATGCGAACAAAGGACCCTATATGCGCTTGAAACAGTATACTTTCCATGAGTGGTATAATGCCACATCCAGAAATATTTCTCCGCCGACAAGCTTAGGGGAATGCTGGCTATGATATCAGCCTCATCTTCCCAAAACAGATGCTTTAAGAGACTTTGATTCCAATTTCCTGAAGTTTGGTTTATGAGGGCATCCACCGTACTTTTTCCCGCATTAGGAATTCAAGGGCTTGTTATTTTGAAGGAGTAGGGTTTTGGCAGCCATGGATCATCCAAATTTCAACTGAATGACCTTTCCTGATCCTCTTACGGCACCCCGCCTTCAATGCATTTCTACCTTGCAGGATCGATCTCCAGCTAAATGACGGTCTCGGACCCAGCTTCGCATCCATGAAATCCTCATTAGGGAAGTAACGTGATTTCAGGATTTTGTAAAGCAACGATCGAGTGTTAGTCAATAAATGCCAAGCTTGTTTGCCTAGGAGAGCAAGATTAAATAATTTAAGATTTTTGAATCCAATTCCTCCTTCCTGCTTTGGCTTACAAAGATTCTCCTAGACTTTCCGGTGTATCTTTCGTTTGCCCTTCGAATCTCCCCACCAAAATGAAGCCAATATCGAGTGGATTTCGTCACAGACGTGTCTGGAAGCTGAAAACATCCCATGGCATATGTGGGAATGGCTTGTGCAACCGACTTTATCAAAACCTCCTTTCCGGCTTGTGAAAGGCTTTTTTCCGCAAAGCCTTCTATTCTTGAGCGGATCCTGTCTTTTATGTCACTGAATATGTCCTTTTTCTTTCTCCCCAAAACCGAAGGCAGCCCTAGATATTTCCCATGTGATTCTACTTTTTTAACTCCAAGTCGAGAGGCCAGAGTGTTTGCAACATTTTCTGGGGTGTTGCGGCTGAACAATACGACTGATTTTTCCAGATTGATGACTTGGCCGGAGACGGTCTCATAGAGTTGGATAATGGCCGAGAAAGCGTCTACTTCCAGCTGGGTTGCACGACCACATAACAAGGTGTCATCCGCAAATAATAAATGTGTTATGGGCGGTGAAGTTGGCGCCACTTGTTGAGTTTTTTTTTGCAAGAACCGAAGTGTAATGGATGAGTCTTTGTGAGGAATCCGAAGTTGAAATGGAAAGTGTGGGTTTCTGGCCTCCACCGTTCCACCAATGCGGAGTATCTATCTACATAGATCGTGCAAAAAAGATATTAATAACGTGATAACTATCTTTATTTGTACTGAAAGGAATTAGGTTTTTGTTAGTTATATACTTATTTTTTATAGAAGAGTTTTTGTTAATCATCCTGCCTTTATTATTCGTCAAATGATTATATTAGGGAAAAAGCGAAAGGCTTTTCATTCTTCACCTTTTTTCAAAACTTCAAATCTGAAAACACAGGAGCAACTCTTCTGCCTCTGCACCTCATTTGCCGCTGCTCATGACTAATATCCCGTTCCGTCGACGGAGATTTTCACGCCTGTTATAGCCAAGAAGATCCACTACCCTGGGCGGATATAATTCAAAGGGTCAACCTCAAAATCTGATAGAAGTGAGTCCTTCAACTATCTTGTTATTAGTATCTGCCTGTGCCTTTCTTTTGCCTAAATCTTGCCGTTTTAGCATATATTGCGGTAGATATGGCTGCAAAAACTGTTTCAGATTTTTTATCCACCGTAGATTCTACCCCGAAAGCTGAGGCAGTAGCTGAAAAATATAACTTCCCAGTAGATCTAGAATATCGAGCCCCTATAGGAAATGAGAGGGCTAACGCTCCACCAAAGGGAAAAATTACTATTTACGATCGATTTATTTTTCTAGGGCTTAGATTCTCCCTTTTCCCCTGTTTGGAGTAATCGTGCAGTACTATAAGATTCCACTCGCTCGATTCACCTTGAATTTAATATCAGTTGTTCTCGGATTTGTGATACTCTGTGAGTTGGTGAATGTAAAGCTACGATTACTTGTATGGAGGTATTTCTTCAGGGTTTCCCTCGACCAAGTTCAGGGACTGGTACAACGTGAAAAGAAACCCAAAATCAAAGGTGATACAAATAGTGGAACTCTTTGACGGTTCCCCAGTGTGGAAACCCAATTACATATATGTGCAAGCACTGAAGAAGTACTTCAGTATGGCCTGGAATTATTGTGAAACCCAGGGTCTAGATGTGATAGTCGATGTGTGGACCAAGGCTGATAAGGCCAAAGTCGAGAAATACAGGGGCGACATCAACGCTATGGAGGAGTTCGAGGAATACATCCACTGGACAGACATCCAGCCCTACATTCCTCCGGTTCCTGTCGAGGAAAAAGAAGTAACTAACTTTTGCTTAATTTTTTTTGTCTTAGGTTATGTCGTCGAGCAAAAACACCATTGCCTTGTTTGG